GATGATCAACTCTCAACCTCTTCTTTTCAACAGCTTTTGCTTTGAAACACGAATACGGTAGTAGAGAACAATGGAATACAAAACTCAACACCAAAGTACTCTCAAAGTCAAACCTCGACTTATCATCCATGGCGGCGCAGGCAACATCCAGCGCCGGAACTATCCTCCAGACAAGCTCCAGGCTTATCGCACCGCACTCATCGATATTGTGAGTTGCTGTCTGATAACGCAACCCCTGGGACGTTTTGCTGACTAGAAGCCTCTAGGTTACAAAAGCGGATCTGTACATGAGAAATCAAGCCGTCGTGGCCTCAGAGAAGGAACTTAAAGGGCGTCCTTCTGCGCTGGAGATAGCGACATATGCGGTCCGGCTGATCGAAGATAACCACCTTTTTAACAGCGGACACGGCGCCGTGTTCACCCGTGATGGGATCAACGAACTGGAAGCGTCAGTGATGGTATCTCGGGGCTTCAAGAAGCGGGGCGTGGGCGTCATGGGTGTCCGCCATGTGAAGAATCCCATTCTCCTGGCTAAAGCGATGCTCGAGCATGGCGAAGAGGATCTCGAAGGACGAGGCAAAAAAGCTCAGGGAGCGTCGTCAGATGATCTTGACGTCCCTTCGGCTCAAGGGCATACCCAGCTCTATGGTAGAGCAGCCGAGAAGCTCGCAGAGCAGTACGGGCTGGAGCTGGTCGACCCGAGCTACTTTTACACACAGCAGCGCTGGGACGAGCATATCCGGGCCCTGGAGCGGGAAAAGAGCGACCAGGGGCAAGCCACATGGAGTGCAACTGAATACCTCCCACAGGGCACCTGCGGAGCAGTAGCCCTTGATGAGGACGGAGTTATATGCGCCGCAACTAGTACAGGCGGGTTGACGAACAAGCTAACTGGACGTATTGGCGATACGCCCGTTGTTGGCGCAGGCTTCTGGGCCGAGGAATGGAGCGAAGACGGCGATCCAACGGGGCCAACCGCATGGGACCGTTTGAAGAACTCCGTCGCCCAGCCAGGACCGTCTCTCGTGCTGAGCGATGCTCTGAGGGGAGCTTTGGCGGACTGCTTGCCCAGCCCAATGATGTACTCTCCTCTCGATACCCTCAGCACGAGCAGCGGCGGAACCTATACGACCAGGTCCTTTGGAGGATCTGGAACTGGCAATGGCGACTCTTTCCTCCGCGTCAACGCTGTTCGAACTGTCGCCGCCATGGCAAGATGGAAGCCAGAGTCGGGAGTCAAGGCGATCGCCCATGTTGCTGGGCGTGGGGGAGAACTGGAACAGAGCGCGGGTGATCGATGGGGTCGCACAGGAGAGGGAGAAGGCGGCATCATTGGCATCGAGTCGGTAGTTGTCCGTGACTCAAATGGTCGAGTTATAGACACGCGGTCTGAAGTCCTAATGGACTTTAACTGCGGGGGCATGTTCCGGGCCTGGATTGACAACGAGGGTAAACCTCAGGTGGGAGTCTTCGCTACTGGGTTAGATGAGCTATAGATGAGCAAGTAGAGCATCGAGCAAGATAGAGCGGAACGGGGAACGTCGTTATGTATTCGATCTGTACCCAATTCGTCAAGAAAAAAAACAACGCAGCATAAATCTTAGCAGCAGGGAGTTCCCCTTCTCGTTTCGTAACCTGCTGGCCCTTTGTGCACTTCCCAATCCATCCGTCTCTTGGGGGTTGTACACATGATGCCCTTTTCTTCTCTCATCAGATATCCTTTGTAGGATAGTCTGCAGTTCTTGCAACAAGGATGGCAACTCCGTCGCTAAGCCAGAACACGCCCTTCCCATACCCCTCCCGATTTCTTCTCTATTATACATTGGAACGCCGGCCCGATGCGGATTGAAAGATTAAACGACAGCCGATTTTTTGTCCGTGGTGTGTGGTTGATGGTGGAAAATACAAGAGGCCAGCTCCCCTGACAAGAGCCGGCCTGCTAAATTCGTGGTGGTGGAGTTGAGAGGTGGGGGTGGTTGGTCTCGGTCGGTCGAAAGATTTCGATCGTGGTTCGTCATCGTAATGATTCGTCTCGTTTCACTCTTTACAGAGAAGCCTCCATGCTGGGAGGAGGCTGAGGAGCCTCGAGCTTGGTGCTGCCAGCAAGCATCTTTGAGAAACCGATACCGACACCCTCAATGACGGCGAGCAGGACAGCGCAGCCGATGGCACCGTTACGGGCGGCCTTGTAACCACCTCGGATAGCCAGGGAGCCACCGGTGAAGAAACCAGCGATGATGGCGTTGTAAGGGTCCTCCTTCTGGCGGACGCCCTTCACAGCGCAGTCAAACGTCGAGAAGAGACCGCCCCAGACACCGAAGTTGCCGCCGAGAACGGGGGCGCGCATCTTGATGGCGGTGATTGCACCGATACGTCGCTCGCCGTAGGGGGAGTTTCGGAAGCCCTTGATGCCGTGCCAGATGGTGCCGCCGATAGCCTGAGGGGAAATTCATGTCAGCTCATGCGTCATGTCGCGATTATCGCCCCGGTTCATCGGCTGAAAGAGCTCCGGGAACGAAAAGAGTCAAAAACTTACGCCCATGCAGAAAGCACCACCAAAGTCATTGAGAATGACCCAGGGGCAAGGGTCGCGTCCGTGATCCATGGCTGCTGCTTGGTGTGTTGAGGGAAGGAGATGGGCGGGATGGTGGGAGACCGGAGGAGGGCGAGGCTGAAGGCGAGGATTGTTGAAAAATCTGAGGTCGCTCAAGGAAAGAATTGCAGCCGACCGGGTTCCTTCCGTCTGAGTCGCGCAAAGAAAAAATCCGGGCAAGCCACTCACCTATCAGCCTCGGCGCTAAAACTGGAACCTTCCATCAGGTTTGGAGCTGGGTCGGCAATGAATGCCGTTTACGACGGTAACAAATAGGGAAAACAATAGATTGAAGAGTTGAATAAACATTTATAAAACTAGAAAATAATCTACACAAATTTTGACCAGTTACTTCTTCGTTGTAGTCATTGCAATGCAAACATGTTGTCTATCCCCCACTGTCACTCTGCTGACCATCCCCCGCTGAACCCCCCGCGTATCTGATCCCGGCCGAGAGCGGAGCACAACCATCTACATGCCTAAATGAGCTCGCCGAATGGCAGTGAATAAGAGAGAGCTCCCTCGTTCGATTTATTGTGCATATAAAACAGCAATACTTTTTGTCACTTGTACTCTATCATGTTTTCACCACAGGTCAGTAACCTCCGAACAATGCCTCTCAAAGTCCTTCCAGCCAACGAGGCCGATGCTCCCCGGGCCGTTGCCATCGAAGATATAGCATACGGACCAAACCCCCTGGGCCATGTGCTCTTTCCTTATCCCAGTTCTGCCGGGGGCACTAATAGGGCGACCGACTTGATCGAACGGCTACACAAGAATCCTGCCTGCCGATGGGCCAAAGTTATCGACACAGACCTTGAGGGAGAGAACATGATTGCTTTTGCAATGTGGTATATCTGGGAGACTCCTCCGAAGGCTTCTGATTTCTCTTCCTATCGAGGTCCTAGGTGTAATCCAGAAGCATGCGAGGCCTACCTAGGTGGTATGAATCGGATGCGCTTGGAACTCATGAACGACAAACCACATGCCTGTACGCCTCACCATCTATTTCTGATGCCAGAAACTTGAGAATTGTGAGAAAATCTGACAAGGTTTAATAGATCTAAAACTACTGCATACTGATCCGGCCCATCAAAGACGCGGCGCTGCCTCTATGTTGGTGCAGTGGGGACTAAACGAGGCTGATCGTTTAGGCATATCGGCTGTTCTTGAGTCTTCAGACGAGGGCCGTGGGCTCTATGAAAAGCTTGGATTTAAAGAGGCCAGAAGACTTGTAGTTGATCTAACACCCTGGGGAGGGCCTTCAGATGCCTCGGTCCCAATAATGCTTCGTCCTGTGGGAGGGCGTGAGTGAACTCTGAAGTATGATGTTGGCGTGTGGAATCCTGAGGAAATTAGAGGAGGATCTTGCTTTTTGAAATAAATCGAGAACAGACTTGGTATTCTAGGTGGTAAAGATCAAATATTAGGAGAGTTAGAGGGCTAGCCAAGAGGACGGGCATGGTGGAGTGACTTGTAAATGAATCGATATTCTCAACTTGCCAAGACATCCTTGATATTACTTATTTTCATATTAGGTATTAACATCGGATTGTCTGCAAAGAGGACACTGTATTTGATATAAAGAGTCTTGTTTCTCATGCAGTTCTGGGTAGATGGACATTCATTATGACCTTTGAAAGCTTCTCAATACAGTGGATAAAAACAATCTGAGTAACATAGTCTGTGAATAGTAGATAGAGCTAGGCACAAGAACTGGATATTAGGAAACTGAGAATGCATGTATTCGCAAACCTTATTTGAAAAGGCATACAAGTGTTCGGGGTTCGATCAGTAGCCAGACCACAACCGTTTTGGGTTGTCATCTACATTGCATATGAGACCAAGACCATGTCACCGTTAGATAAACGAAAACGAATCATCTTAGTCCAATTCCCATTGGGCTCTATGGGCCACGGTAGCTTCCGAATCCCGTTCAAACGCGAAAGTCGGTGATCGGTAGACGCGAAGCCCGACATGTCCAGCGCCGTTTCCTAAGCTCCAATAGATGGGTCCAGACCAAACTGGCGGATTCTTTGGACCCTTGACCAAAGACCTGTCAGGTGTTGATTTGCTGCAACCGTGGGCCCATGAATGTTTCGGAACGGCCGGGAATGTCAAAGATGATAATCATGCGGTCGACCCAACTGCCGGTGTTAGATCCTTGAGCTTATCTCGCCGATGGGCCAGTAACAACCATGATTCCACGACGGGAAGCCCGGGCGTCTGTTGTGTGAAAAGGTGGTAAGGGACCGAGGGTAGTGGGTGCATACGCGTCACCCTAGCCGTGGGATAACATTCAGGACAATGCTGATTGGGCATTCTGATAGCTCTTTTGAAGCTTTCACTCGATAATGGGCTTGATATATCCATTTGAGCCTCGGTTCTTGGGTCTCCCGGAGGCTGTGCAAAGCACCTCATTGACAAAAGTCAATAGAACTTGACAAGATGGCCAGTGCCAAGATATGTACATTTCATTCTAATCGTAAATAATGGTAATCATCGGCCTCAACGCCAAAAGTCATGTTCCGTATATGCTTCGTGACCAGTCGTTGACTCCCCGACTGGCATCGTGTACGCGTAATTAACCACCCCATCTATACCTGCTGCGTGGAACCCTCCTTTTTAAGTTCCTTTTCCGAGTCAATGCCTGCCTCCCACTCCTTCCTTTCCCGAGCCATATCTCTCTTGCACCATTTGATCGTGATAATGCCCCAAAGTGTAGCCCACAGGAAGGGGACTGCCCAGGCGACGCCGTAAGCACCTGTTGCTGGAACCTGGGGAATGACCGAGATAACAGTAAGAGGTATGGCGAGTATCAGAGCTGGAATAGACCAGAACCAGGATTGAACGTAAACCATCCGCCGGAAGCGAGGACTGGCCTTGTAACGGGCGGCCAAAGCTTCACGGTAGGGTCGGCCGCCGCCAGCATTAACCGCGACAACGTCCTCGATGAAGTAGTATGCGCCCGGTAGTACCTGAAAAAGTCAGCATGACGTGGACAGTTGAGAATGGGATGTGAAAATACCTGTTCTCCCTTGGCTGTGGAGCTGATCCGGAATGGTGCTGGCCAGCCCATGTAATTATACAACGATATAAGAAACAGCACACCTCCAAGACAATACAGAATTGCTGGGGCAGGCATGCACAGAACTCTCAACCACACATTATGAGGAGCGCTTCCAATAATAAAAAGAGCTGTGACAACAGTGATGGTGAGGGTAGACGCCCACGTCAACATGTCAAAGCACCATCGTGAATTTGTCCCAAGAGGCCGATAGAACCTATCCACCTTCATCAATCGGAGCGTACGGATCGCGAACTCGAGATACGTGGGGCCTCCCCAGATGGTCGTCACGACGGCAAAGATGATCCATCCCTCGACGTCGCCAGCGTAGTACATGCCATAGTAGAGCGCGATGGGAATGGCCGAGGCATCGACAAAGACTAGAAAGGCGAATATGAAGAGTCTCCAGCGTTTCCAGCCGTGGTGCCACGTGAACGGCAGCTGTGGTAGTAGATTCGGGTTATCATCGTAGTACTCTTGAAGAGTCTTTGCTCGTCGTCTGTATTCGGTCTGTGTGGCAGCTCGAGAATCGTAATAAGCGTCGGCTACAGGTCGCTGAGCATACGAAAGGCTTCGTCGGGGTGCTTCCGAAAAATCCGAGCCGCCGGTATCCCTTCGCTGGGTAGGTTCTGGAAGGACATCGAAGCGCACGCGTTCGTTTGACGATTGGTGCGATTGAGAGGGACGAGTGGGATTCGCAGCGTCAGGTAGCCCGGAGGCTTCTGTGGATGAGACGCCCGAGCCAGACACAATCTGAAGACTGCCTCGTCGCACCTCGGGCATGGTATCGGCGACGGCAGCGTTTACGTTTGGGGGAGATAAGGAGGAGCTATTGGAGCTGATGGAAGATGTGGGAGTCGACGAGTTAAAGATGGTTTGCTAGTAGAGCATTTGGCACGAGCAAGCTAAGGGCCATTGCATTGTTTAGGAAGAGTGGGCGGGAGAGTGAGAAGGTCCATTGCAGTGGCAAACTGTATCTTATTAAAGGGGTCTAGCTTTGATAGGTAGAAAAGCAAGAAGCTTGACAAAGCCCCGATCGAGACCGCGAAAAAGGTCTGACGTTGCACGATTTGGATGGGGCCGTGAATCCCGTCAAGTCCGGGCGACTTTTAATGGTACGTACTGACGTTTGCCTTGCACAAAATCTCACCGAATGGGAAGGTCGGGGGCCTTTTGGTGGTCAGTTTTGGATGGTCTTTTCTCACCCGAGACGAAAAAGGTCTGGGCCTGCTTCAGAGTGGAATGTCACTGTTGTGAATGGATGACGTCCGACCTACGATCTCACGGGTCTTGGCCAAGGTCATGGAAAGGAAGAAAAGGTTTGGACCCCAACTACGTCATTATCGGAAGCCCTGTGCAACGCTCGATACCGACGGGGCTTGCTGTGGGGCCCCGAATGCCGATTCGCTGATGGAGTCGGGCGATGAAGTCACCGATCGCCCGCGCGGTGCAACTTGCAAACCGAACGCCGCTGACTGGGCTGGCTTGTCTGAGAGGAAATTTGGTTCCTGCTTTATGCCTTGAAGAGTGTAGTCGGGCTGAGTTTAAATCTATTTATTTATTCCGTGGTTCCGGCTTGATGAAGATCTCCATGTGATTTATGGTGAAGAATGAAACGTGTGAAGGCGAAATATCAATGGTATCTTGAGGCTTCTACTACAGCGTCGCTAAATAACATAAAGAAAAGTCTATCTTATAAACAAAACGATTGTCCAGGTTTCTTTCAACATCAACACTGACAAGCTGGTGCGTGAAGCATCAAACTCGCAAACGTGCCTTATCACGTGCAGCTACCTGGCTGAATTCCTTGTCCAGATTCGGCCAGCCACTTTAATCCCCAACTATCGTCCACCATTCCTATTATTTTGGCGCCATCGATGCGTGCGCCCTGCATCAGAAGTGAGGCTCGTGCGACTCATTCTTGGCGATTGCCGAGTACTTGGCCTTCCCGACCACGTTCGACCCCTGACCCTGGGCGAAGCAGTTGTCAACCTCGGGCCACTCGCTCGCTCTGAGGTAGAAAGGATCTCGCTTCTTCATCGTAAACATTCCGATGAAGTCGAATGGATCAGCCACGTACGCGAACCACGGCCGGTTGTGGATCCAGCCAGGTCCCATGCGCTCCGTCTTGCCGTCAAAGTCGAGATACTGACGCGGGTCGCTGGGGAGGTATCGGCCGGGATGCACAATGTTGAGCCAATACGTGTATAGGGCAACCGGGATGGTCTCGAGCACGTAGAAAGGCCACTCGTGCTTGAGGAGCGCCTCGTTGTTGTCCCTTTCGCTTGAGAGGATGTCCCTCAGCTGGAAGGTCTCAACGGCGCGGAACACGCAGCGCACGATGATGAGTAGTGATGTGCCATAGAGCATGATGAATAGAGTTCGCACGTTCTTGGGCATCATCTTGGCCTTGACGCAGCGGTGGTGGATGATGCCAACCAAGGCGATAAAGGCAATCTCAACAACACCCTGCAGGACCACTGCGATGGCCATGAATGTCGAGCCTGAGACGTACCGGTCCTTGTCCTGCTTGCCATTACCAGCGGCCATCCAAGAGGCACCAATGGCAGTGAGCGTCTCGACGAGCGCACCCAAAAAGACAAAGATGTAAACGACGCGGTTGGGGTTGATGATGGCGTGCATCGGTAGGTAATGCATCAGTCGCCCAAGAGTGTTGTACTCTGCGGCCGAGTAGATGGGCGGGGCAAGGTAGACAAAGATGCTCTGGATCATATAGAAAGCAAGACTGTCTGTCTTGCGGACTGAAATGATTCGAAAGACCCAACCGATGGTGTAAAACAAGCCGGCGTAGAACATGAAGAATGTCACCCGCCAAAACTTGTATCGACTAAAGGTCATGTTAGTCTATGGTTTGATGAAGCTGTGGTTGGTGTGTTACCTGTTCTGAAGGGCATGGCCAATGCAAGATACCGCAATCACTGCCGCAGCAATGATTGGAAGAATCTTGTTGGCATTGTAGCCGTAAAGGTTGTCTGGCGTAGGGTTCGCCATGATTATGTGGTGTTGTAAGAAGAGAAGCAAGTCAAGAGAGAAGTAGAGTGATTGAACTGTCTTGTCTCAAAGCATGAACCACCTCAAACTCGAAGAGAAGGAGGCATTTATATAACCAGTTACATGAAAACGCCTAGATCCATCATCCCGCCCTGCAAAGGCCCATCCCGCAGATAGTCGAGATGGCCATTTCCGTAGCTGGATGGCGCAGCGAGCATCGAACAACTTCGCAGCCCTACAGCGCCAGGAAACGACAGATTGGGTTAGAGGGAGAACCTCCCTGGACGTCAATTCTGGAAACACCGTGCAGAACCCCTGTCTGATTGTCTTCAGCCGAAGATAAAAAGTTGCGTCGATTGGTTGGTTTCTGTTTGAAGGTGGAGGTGGGTATTGTCGGTGGCTGAAGCGTTTCCGGATTTCAAGGGTCGGTTACGAAATCCGAAGCAAAAGAATAACTTACTAATACCGTTGACGTTGAAGAACCGTTCTTTATAGCAGAGCTCCTTTTTTCTTCTGTTTAATAGTCTCAATAGTATAAAAACGCTTACTTTTGCTATACAAGAGTTTAAACATTTCGTCTAAAGCAAGTCTATCTCTGTCCAAGTCGTTTATTTTGAACCACTCACTATCAGAATATTCTTGAGGCCGCTCCCAGGGTCACCTTCAACCTGCTTCTCATTCGCCAACCTTTGCTGACACAAAAAGCTTGACATCATGAACTTGAACCACAGCGGCGCGTTAGCACTACTTTGGGCTTAGCGCCCGCTCCTCATCGATGCGCTTTCAATGCAACATGAACGAGCCGCGGCAGGTCGAACAACACAGCCTTGGGATCATCTTTTGTGAGTCGCTGGCGATGTCTTAATCGAGGGCTTTTGCGCCGCTGTTCGTTCATAGCGAGAAAAATTGCTTGTTTCGTTTGCAGATAGTCTTTGAGTTCAACGACAATGACATCTGCCGTCTAAGTTAATGACGAATTCGTAGTTATGGTTGAGTTGTGTTGTGTCTTGCAAAGTCGAGATGGGTATAAAATGTGCGAGTTTCCAACCAAAGACGAAATACTGTAGAACAGCTGCGCAAGATATTTCTCTGAGTATCCTGACAACCATGTTTTCTCGGCAAACCCTTCTCGCTCTTCTCTCCTTCTCGGGTTCCCCCGTTTTGGCCGACTTCCTTGGCCCTCGATACCCTCCCCCCGCAGACCTGACCAGCAAAGACAGCCATGTCATCGCTGGGTGGGAAAATCTTACCGAAATATTGCAAGGGTATCTCAAGATTGACCCTGAAGAAGACCCTATTCTGGGCACATTGAAGAACACCACCTTTTCCGTAGGCCTCTTCTCAACTCGCGACGATGGGGCGACCAGCAAGTTCCAATTCCACCATAATTCCCCCACAACCAAGAGGGCCAAATACGGTACCAAGGAAGTCGACGGCGACACCATCTATGGCGTCGCTAGTATAACGAAGCTCTTCACCGTCTATTCCGCCCTCATGAACTTGGATCCTACTGACTGGGAACGTCCCTTGACCTACTTCTTCCCCCAGCTTGCCGACACGGCAAAGGAGGCAAGAGACAACCCGGCAGAGCACATCCAGTGGGACAAGATCACCCCTTTGGCATTAGCCAACCAAATCAGCGGTGTTCCTCGAGATGGGTGGCCGTTGTTCACAACTGGCGAAAAGTTGGTTGGTGGCACAGCGGCGGCAGCGGCGCTGGGACTTCCACCCCTGAACATGCAGAAGGACCCTCAGTTGTCGACCATGCCATGCAGTAACTTCTCGGATCCGAACATTACAAGCTGCGCTGATGACTATGACAATTATGTCGAGAGCCAAGAGAATCGCCCACCAACCTTTCTCCCATGGGCTAATCCAGCCTATGCCAACACTGGCTTCATCCTCCTGGGAGCAGTCCTACGAAACCTTACTGGCAAGTCGCTCGACGAACAATTCAGCAGCGACATCTTTGATCCACTTGGAATGTCGAGGACTTACACTGAAGCCCCTCCTAAAGACGAATGGGACAACGCCGTTATCCCCGTTAACAACGACACGGAGCTTGAGATGGTGTACTTGCTGACCCCCGATCCCGCCAAGAGCTCGGGCACATTACTGTCCACCCTAAATGATCTTACAAAGTTTGGCTCAAGCATCCTCAACTATACCCTCCTCCCAGGCGACGTCACTCGCAAGTGGATGAAGCCCCATACGCACACCGCGCGGTTGGACTACTCTGTTGGCGGGCCTTGGGAGATCCCTCGCTATGTTCATCCTGAGACGGGGCTTGTCATTGATCTTTACACCAAATCCGGTGACGCGGGTTTGTTTAGCTCTTTTCTTGTTTTGGTCCCCGAGTTTGAGATTGGCTTCACGGTTCTGGCAGCATCAACCGACAGAGCATTACGAGCTCTGATTGCTGGAAAGATAGGTGATGCAGTGGTCAACGCTCTCATGCCTGCGCTCTTGGAGCAGGCGGCCACTGAAGCTGAGAAAAACTATGGCGGTACCTATGTTTCCACAATAGAGGGACTAAACTCCTCCATCACCATCACCCGAAACAAGACAGAGGGTGCGCCCCCTGGTTTAACTATCTCGAGGTTCATCTCCAACGGCGCAGACTACCTCCTCGCGGAAGCCGAGGCCAGTGGAGCACCCAATGACCCTGATGCCATGCCCAATCGCCTCGTACCAACTGTGGTCGACGAGAAGTCTGGTCGAGTCGCAATGCGCGCCTTGACAGCGATGGACGCCCCGAAGCTGAGCAAAGGCATAATCTCAGGCATTCTCTCGGCTGATTGGACCACGGTTGGAGGACCTACCTATGGAGCTCTAGATATGGGACTCTATATTTTTGATGTGGATGATGATGGCAAGGCGACCGGGGTGAGTCCTTTGGCATTCAGGACGACACTGAAGCGGAAGGACTAGGTGAACGAACTTTCTGGCCGTGGTCTTTCTGAGGAGGAGGACTGTGAAGTATCGCCAAACAAAGTTTAACGAATATATGCATATCTTTACTGCACTGGGATGTAACTCTACAAGCAGCAGCAGGTGCTTCAACAAACTGTTCAATCTCAGTGCATCAAACACCGTCTATATTATGCAGTCTATGTATCGTGCCACCTCTATAGTCTATAGTATCTCCCAACAAAGAACAAAGAGGAAAGTCAATCCTTGACGCCTGGTCCCAAATCGATGTCTGTTACAATTGTGCCATGGCTTAAGCGTACAGTCCGGGGTAAGCGACCTTGATGATATCGGCTCCCTATGAAACCCATTAGTTATCTGTCTGTGAGTCGCATCTCCATGTTCACTGACCTTCTCGGCAATCATGTAGACCGAGTTCTGGATGCGGCAGTCGGGGATGACGGGGATGATGGATGCGTCGATGACTCGAAGGCTGTCAACTCCAAAGACCTTGAGCTTGGAGTCAACAACACCCTGCTCGATAGACTTGCCCAGTCGTGCGGTACCACAAGGGTCTGAAAGAATCTCATTGTTAGCCTTTTGCAAGTAGTAAAGATTTAAGGATTGACTTACGGAAGCCTGTCTGGGACCTCTCCTTGATCATAGTGTCCATGGCCTCATCAGAGGTTCGAGGCATAGCCCAAGGATAGTCCTCCTCAATTATATCCTTCATACCCTCACCATTCAGCAGAATATCATCGACGAAGCGAACACCCTGGCGCATAGCTGCCAAGTCAAGGTCGTTGGAGAAGAAGTTGATGTTGATGTCTGCCTGCTCGAGAGGGTCGGTCGACTTCAAGGTCACAGTTCCGTTGCGAGAAAGAGGTCGCAGAAGATCAACAATGACAGTCATATAGTCACCGGTGGGTGGTGTAGGAATGTGCCACTGGAAAGCGTCGCAGAACATGGGGACAAAGTCAATCTCAAAGTGAGGCTGGCCCCCGGGACCAAAGGGGTCGACGTTGCCGTTGGCCTTCTTGTACTCGACGTACTCGGGTACCTTCTCGAGGTAGCTGTCAATACGAGGAAGACCGACGAGCTCGAGAAGGCCGCTGGTCATGGGACCCTTGTTCTTCCAGCGGTAAGCAGAGGCGGCAGCATCCTTCTCCAGACCAGGTCGCAGAAGGTGCTTGTCAAGGCCGTAGCCGTCCTTGATCTTGAAGACGTGAGGCAGAATGGGATGGTCAAGAAGGTTCTGACCGACGTGCTCAGACTTGACAACAGAGCTGATGCCAAACTTGTTGAGTTCCTGCTCAGGACCGATGCCAGACAGGAGCAGCAACTTGGGAGTCTCGTAAACGCCAAGCGACACAATCACCTCGTACTGAGCACGGAGAGAAAGAGTCTGGCCATCAGGACCAATGGCCTCAACACCAACAGCCTTTCCGTTCTCAAAGATGAGCTGCTTCGCGTTGGTCTGGCCAAGAACGGTGACGTTGGGCTTACCCTCCAGGAACCGCCAGCTGGAGGATCGCTTGCCGTTGTAGATGGTGTTGATGCACTTCCAGAGACCATGCATCTCGCCATTGTGAACGTCATCTGTGAGGGGCTCACCCTTGCTGACCCAGGCCTTTGTGAGGGCGTTGCGCCAGCCCTCAGTCTCGGGGAGGAGATCTGAGTGTGAGACGGGAAGAGGACCATTCTCGCCAATGTACTTGAGCTCGGGGCGATGCTCACCACGGTCGTCGTGGTAGGTAGCAGGCTAAGGGCTGTTAGGCATCACGGTGTGAGTATATTGTAGGAAGCACGAACCTTGTACAAATACTCCTTGCAAGTCTTCCAAGTCCACTCCTCGCCACCAAACTCAGCCCAATCGTCAAAAGTAGCAGCGGAACCGGGGATCCAAGTGTAGTAGTTGAGGCATGAGCTGCCACCAAGAACCTTTCCTCGGGTGTTGGGCTTCTCAATGCGAGTGTACTCGGGACGATCAATCATGCCAGTCTTGAAAGACCAGTCATACTTGGAACCTCGGAGAGTAAAGGCAGTGGCGGGAGTGGTGATGGCATCAACGGCGGAAGGGTTGTCAATGCCGGCCTCGACGACGAGGACGGAGACATTGGGGTTCTCGGCCAGGCGGCCAGCAACGACGCAGCCAGCAGTGCCACCTTTGGAGTTGTTAGTGGAGTTTACGAGGATGCTGAGAGGGGGAACAAACCGCCGACGACAATGAAGTCAAAGGTCTTGGGAGCTTCAGTGATGACAGCCATTTCGGGAGATTATGTATTAAAAGAGTCGAAGAAGCTTAAAAACAAGGTTGGTGATGTGAGTTTTGGAGTTGAGAGCGGAAGAGAGATGATTAGATGTTGAAGGCGAATGTTGCTTGAATGTGAATGCGAGTGGTGAGTTCATTCTTTGAGCGACATCCAAGACTTCTTTTATAATTCTCATTCATGTTGATACGACACAATGTAATCCATCGCCAAGTCCCATCAACGTCCCCAAATGCCATCTTTCCGAAGTTTCCATGGCCATTCTCACAAATGTCCGGCGTTCGGCAACGACAAGATGTCGCGTACGGGAGAAAGATGCCGCAGCCATGGAGGATCAAGTGCCATTGAGAGTCGGCGTTGCCGGAGGATGCGAAAATACGGCATATTGGCCAAGACTCCGGCAGTTTATGCCGTCAAGTTCAGGGAGCGGCCGCTACTTTTGGTGTTCTTATTCCCGCACGGCAGATTGTTGCCGGATGGTGACGACGTCATCTCTGCATGGGAGGATGCAGAAGAACCATTTAGCCGTACCGAGAGACATACGCAGTATCTCAGATGGGTAGTGACCGTATTGATGACAACTCTGTATGAAGCAAACGAGACTTTATCGGCTAACAAAAAGCCGGAAAGACGTTCTTGATACCAGAGGCATTCTATTATGAGATGTGAAAGATGACAAAATCCTAGTAGTGTGATTGTGCCACGGTTAATCAGACCTCTGGACTTGATGCCGATGAAATGCAAGTAGCCGAAAGTCGTGAGCTGGGGTGCGTTACAACAGAATGTGGTTGAAGAAAACACCAGAGTGAGGCATCACTGTCTCTCTACCATAGGGCAGCCATTTGTTGCGACGAAATGCGAATTTCTAAGGTTAAAGCTTTGTAGATAATCGTCTGAGGCTACCCTATGTTCTTGAAATTATTTGAATACCCTCATGTATGTTCTCACTGAGTTGATAGTAATATGTGAGACATGTTAGATGTGCCTTGTACTTTTGGCGACCTACAGAGTCTCACGGCATGCTTCGCACTCGCATCGCAAACCCTGATTCCGAAGAAATCTCTTGCCAAAATTCACCGTTATCTGCTCCCCATGCCTGATGTCTCTGACTGCCTCGATCCCGCATATCCAATGACCGGAAACTCGCAGTGGGCGCACGCGCGCCGATGCCCGGCAGTGGTGATTGAGGTTCAAGAAACAATTACTGGGGCCGGCCACGAATATCTGACAAACGACAGGCTCTCCACCAATGTCGGGTCGGTGCATGTCCATGACCCAGCTAGAGTTGTGAGGATAAGTGCCACTGGGTACGATCTTGCCGCAGATCTGCCCCATCACCTCGCCTTTCCTGTAGGCGACCTCTCCTTCACGAGAAGCCACTGCTTGGAGACCAAATCCCAGATTGCCCCATGACTTTATACGTGGCCTACGCTTGACCAGTCTTGTGTAGAGACATTGGCAATTGCTTTCGGAGCAGAAATCGCATTGACGTTCTGTTGAAACGATTGCGAGGGGATTGGCCTTCCAGGGCCATTCATCCAGCCAACCGGTTGGCTTGGCCCAGTCGGGGAACTCATCGCCATCATACTGGTTCTCTTCGCAGTATTCGTGCGGTTGTAGTAGTGATAACAAGATGTCGTCGGAGAGGCTCTTTTCCCAGGAGAGAAGTGCAGGATGCTCCTTTTCCCATTTAAACATCATATCGTCCTTGACTCCCAAGACCATGTCGATCAACGCTTCACACGCCTGACAGATGCGTTCCACGAAAGGGGTGTCGACGAGCTTTGCAAACCTTTCTAGCTCGCCCCCTCTCATACTGAGGTAGTCACGCCCTGACAAGCAGTACGGCTTTGCCGACTTGAAAGGGATCAGGCACAAGAGTCCTGGGAATCGTCCGCAGACCAGACGCCAAAACCGGCCTTGTGTGACCTGATGCTGGAACTTGGTACGGTCCGAGGCGCTGAATCCGAACTTGTCCATCATTTTGTTAATCTCGACTGGGTCGGCACGGATCCGGCCTTGCTTGGTATTGTCAACGGCCAGAGCCATTTGGTACTGCACGAGTCGCGACATGAAGCTGTTCAGAACCGACTTGTCCGTAATCAGCCTCAGACTCCTCCATAGCTCCATCGCTCGTTCAACGCCTTGACTCTGGGTTTGAAACAGGCCCATATCGGTGGTCCGATCCCTCCTCGCAGCAATAAGAGAGCAAAACTGGCGTATTGCTGGCCCGCTCTGAATGGCAGCAACTCGCTGGAGCATCGCCGCTGTTGGAGGGTCGGTTGCGGGGAATGAAGGGATCCGGCATAGTTGATCATGGTTTTTGAGCTTTAGGATTAGCTTCTCAATTTCGGCCGAGTGTGAGCCTCCCTTTGAAGATGCGCTGCCTTCTATCCTCGGCTTCTTGGTGGGTTGGCCTGGACCAACCCCGCCTTGCCTTTTGGCGCCTTTGCCCCCCGATCCGTTGGACTCGGTCGCATCACGAACCTCAACAAAAGACTCTATTGATGACGGGGTATTGGGACGCAAGGAATGCTCTGGTCGCGGGGTTGCCGGTGCGAGAGTTGCCTGGTCATGGTCGGAGAGTGAGTGATCCGGAGGAGACGGAGGGAGCGGCGTCCGCTGAGTCAATACCGCGGCGGCACCGGACGTGAAGGAAGCCGTTTCGGTTGTCCCGTTATCCAGATCGAATGAAGATAGAAACGAGGTCGAAAAAAGAACGGCTTCTTGAGCGATTGAAGTCAGATCACGAAGGGCGACTCTGACATGGTTCTGCGGAGTGGAGGATAACGATGCAACTGCAGCTGTGCCGAGGTTCGTTTGTTGGAGTGTTTGTTGTGTTTGCTGCTCTAGCTGTAACGCCGTTTTAGACGCCATGAGTCTTTGAAGAAGGCCTTGTGCCTCCTGAATAATGCGATCCAGGCTGTCCATGCTGAGTGCTATTGTACAAAAATCGATGGGATCCAAGACTTGGACTCTTAGATACGGGGACGAGGGGCAGCCACAATGATATTTGTGTCGTTGTGGCCCGTGCGCCGCTAGCTAGAAACATCGCTTCACCAAATCTGAATAGATGAAGCACATTTTTTAAGAGACTCTGTTCTTATTAGATCTTGTTTTTACGCTCTATTACTACTATTGTAAATCGATATTAAAAGCCATAGATGAGGATTGGTTAAAAATATGCTTGCTTCATCCATTAATTCTGACAGACTTCTCTGTTAAGCCCAGGCATAAGCACGAATTGCAGTGCGCCGGGCCATCGCGGGAAAGCCGGCCAAATTACGCCAACAGGTCATCTCTACACACCGAGAGGGAAAACTCTATGACTTTCGGGATTGACATTATATATTTAGCTATCATTTACATAGGCACACCATTGTTCGGATGCTGAGATGATGAACTTGCAGATGAGTTCTCAGCACCCGTTCCGCGTATTGCCCTTTTCGGAATGAGTGCTTCCGAGGTACCGTTGAGCCTCGACGGCACGGAGTTGAGGATATCAACCACGGATGTTTTCCACGTTTATGGTCAGGGATACACCTTGCAAGGAGAATTCGGGGTTCAGACTAGGGCTGATAGGAATACTTCATCACAGCGAGATAGAGCCCGCAGAGCTTATCAGCGCCATCGGAAGATGGAGATTGCTAACAAACTACTCCGTACACTCTCAGCTCACTGACCAAAGTTCATGTCCAGCTCAAACATAACCCGGAACTTTACTTGTTCCAAATAATTGCGAGTGGGCGCGGTAGATACGGCATGGCTCAGTGTTATCAACCGCCATGCTTCGAGATAGGCATCATCGGATACAGGGAACACCTCCTGTACTGTTGCGACAGTCTCAACGCGTGTCCCAGATCGAGCTCGTAGCTAGGTATGAACCCATACTCTTCTAGCAACTCACGCCATCATCACCAACTCGAACAACTCCCTGGCCTGCACAGAGTTCTGTCCCTGATGATCCTGACCTCCCTCCACGTCCCCTTACCCGACCCTCCGTGGCGATAACCCGGGGGACTCGGACAACCTCCTGATACCAAACCCGGACGCGCTGGCCCGAGTAACATGTCCGTGATTTCCGTCCCCACCCCCGCATCTTTTCCCATATCGTCTATCTCAAGCCTAGCCTCTCCCTTTTTACCCCGCGTCTTGGGATAAGGCTAATGTGAGCACTAGTGGGACCGAGACCCATGCTCGACGCCCAATCAGCTGAACCCCAAGTGCAGCTTATCACTCTTTCCAAACCCTTGTCGGTACCTATCTCGGAGGTACCGCCGACACTACGAGTCGTGGCCCCAGTCGGATGACCCAGTTTCTCTATCAGAGAACGAGGGCTTTCTCGACTAGGTATCGCGGGAGGCGTCGTACAGGAGTGGGAACACAGAGGCAAGTCTCCAATCGTGTCGTTGCCGATTTGTTCATGGTGTCCGCCCTCAGTTCTCCGCCCTCCTGGGGAAACAAGCACCAACATGTCAAGTGTGTGTGTGTGTGTGTGTGTGTGTGTTACCTCGTTCTTGTTTAGCACAGGGAATAGAGAAGAGTCTGGCCATCTCCTCCAAGGGCTTGCTATCCAAGACCTGGTCGAGGTGAGCCAAAAAAAAAAGGGCTCGAGCATTTCTCCGTGTTTGGCATTAAAAACGGCGCGGTGTCTCCGCATCCTGACTCGGTGAAAGAATTCGATCGACACTTCAAGAACCTTTTTCATCTCTTCTTTCCTTTTACATTAACTTGTTCATACAAAACAAAACATCATGTCGTCCAAGTCTAATGACGACCAGCAAAAGGTCGACATGGAAAAGGGAGAGAATGACGCCGGCTCCTACCGTGTTGCATCCAACACTACGTACGATGCGCATCAGGACGTTTTAGGTGGTGAGGATGTCAACCCTGTCCTCATGGCCAAGATGCATCTCGTCAATGACGTACGGAATTGGCACTCCCTCTTTCACGAACACAGCTGACTCCTGATAGGCAATTGACGAGATCGGCTGGACAAGCTTCCACCTGAAGCTCTTCTGCCTCAGCGGCTTCGGCTACGCCGTCGACTCCCTAGTCGCTGTCCTTCAGGGCATCGTCGCCTCCCAGGCCTACGCCGAGATTGGCTACAATGGTTACCCGACCGGTCTCACAATTGCCCTGTACGCTGGTCTCCTTGTCGGCGCTCTCTTCTGGGGCTTCGGCGCAGACATAGTCGGTCGCAAGATTGCCTTCAACACCACCCTCTTCATCACGTCCATCGCGACCATCATCTCGGGAGCTGCAACTCACTGGGCTTTCTTCGGCACCTTCATTGCCCTGCTCGGTTTTGGCGCTGGTGGTAACTTGGTGCTTGATCCTACCGTGTTCCTCGAGTTCTTGCCCTCAAAGAAGCAATGGCTCGTCACGGCCATGGCTACATGGTGGGGATTCGGACAGGCTTCTGCAGGATTCATTGCTTGGGGATACTTCTGTAAGTTGTCTTCTTCCTCTGCAGAGTCATGATGGTTGCTAACTGGACAACTACACAGCCCGAAGCGATTGGAGCTGCGACCCCGCGGACCCTGACTCCTGCACTTGGCAAAACAACAAGGCCTGGAGACTTATCATGTTCACATCCGGAGGCATCATCTTTATCATGTCCATCGTCCGTGTCATGGTGATTGAACTCACAGAGACACCCAAGCACTTGCTCGCCCATGGAAAGGATGAGCAGCTCGTGGAGGAGCTCCAGGCTCTCGCTGCGAAGCACAACAGGCCTTGCTCTTTGACCGTCGTCCAGTTGCAGTCACTTGGCCAGGTCGAGACGGAGAGGACACACCGAGGAGTTGGAGAGTTTGCCCGGGAACTTGGAAGCCATCTCAGGGGACTCTTTGTCACCCGAAAGATTTCCATTTCCACCAGTTTGATCTGGTTCTCCTGGACGCTCATCGGTCTTGCCTATCCCCTATTCTTCGTCTTTCTTCCGTAAGTCGCCCTCAGCACTGGATCACTCATGACTTGAGAACTAACAGCCGTGTTTTCAGAGCTCTCATCAGCAGCCGCGTTCCAAACGACAACCCGTCTCTCAACACGACCTGGAGAGATTACACCATCACAAGTCTCTGTGCCTCCATCGGACCGCTTATCGCTGCCTACCTCGCCGAGATCAAGTTCCTTGGACGCAAGCACACGATGGGAATTGGTGCAATCATCACGGCTGCCTTTTTCTTTGGCTACACCGCCGTCAAGACTTCTGCCCAGAACCTTGCTCTGAGCTGCTGCATCTGTAAGCTCCCCTTTCTGCCCCTAACCTTTTCTACAAGAAGCTGACTTTGATAGCCATTTGCATCAATGTATACTACGGAACCCTTTATGCGTACACCGCCGAGGTTCTCCCCTCTGCTCACCGTACCACTGGTAACGGTATCGCCGTGGCGCTGAACCGTGTCATGGGACTCCTCTCGGCAGTCATCGCCCAGGTTGCCGACACCACAACCGTGACTCCTCTGTACATCTGTGCTGGGTTGTTCATTGTGCTCATGATTGTCTCAGCTCTTATGCCATTCGAACCCCGAGGCCGACGAGCCTCTTAAAGGATTGTATCCTGGAAATGTATATGGTTTAATATGGGTGGGAATTTTGGATTTTATTGTTCTATTGGATGTACTCTGTACGCACTTCGGTCACATTCTGATGGCCGTGCGGTGGGATGAGAGGTCTACTTGTAGATGTTTATACAGCTCCCCAAGAGCAAACGTTGTTGAAAACTACCTTGAAAAGTGCTCCTGTGACATTAGTGACATTTCTAAAGATCGAAATAGTTAATGGGCACACATTGTCTACTTATTTCGTCATCTTCATAGTAGACTATTGTTAGAGGTACCTCGGAATTTCTCAGCCTTGAGTATAACTTAGTCTTTGGATGTATGCTCTTGGAGACATCATTGCGAGTAATATTCATAAATTGGTCGTGGAAATGGGTCAAAGTTCGAAATTCTGTCGGATACACTAACTTAAACAAAGGTATGATAACCAACGATCTGTCAAAAATAGTACATGGTGTATTCCAAGCTGATCAATTTTGGTATGCGCTACGTAATCTGCTTTTACAACTCACCACTCTACCAAGACAGCTGCTCCGACGCACCATCACAAGCTCCCATATCCAACTTTGCACAAAATGCCTCCTCCTCCTCAAACTTTCCCGTCTTCATGGCAGCCGTCGGCTGCGGAGACGCAGGCCAGATATCATGGCCCGCCTCCTCTTCTCTAGCACGGTGTTCCATGACCACCTGACGAATAGTCTCCTGGAAGAAGATGGGTCCCTAAAATATGTAAGCCTATACAAGTTTGCTGATGCCATTAGAGAGCATACCTTTTCCTTCTCTGGGTGCAGCTGGCCGTTGATGAAAATTCCTCCCTCGAGGTTCTTTTGAGTGCCGTTGCAGAGATCCTTGTCTTCTTGGAGAACCTGCTTAAAAAACTCGTTGATCCTCTTGAAATTCTCGTCGTCGGTGTTGTTGTGGCGGAAGACGTCGTACTCCATCAGCGTCTTTCCCGCGGACATGGGGATGCAGCGCATCATGTAGAAAAAGTCGGGTCTGTTACTCAGTTAGCACGATATTCGGCCAGATTGGATAGGGACAACTCACGTCACGGTGAAGCAGGCGTTGGGAAAGAGGAAGCTACTCGCAACTTGCATCGTCGTGTCGGTCTCGTCCTTGTTCTGATTGAAATGCTGGATATGTCCACCCTTGGTCTCAACGCGGTACGCAGCCAGGTTCGAGATGGCATTGACTCCAGGATGACCTGTAGGGCAGTGGTAACACTCATTGTAGTTGTCCGCAAGAGTCTTCCAGTTGTAGTCGCCCTCCATGGTCCACGTGTGATCATAGTGGTAGTCGTTCATCAGATCATACGGAGCCAGACGATCCTGTGTGTCGACACCATCAAAGTCCTCTTCCCAGGCGATGCTCGGCTTTCCGGCCTCTAGGTTTATCCAGATAAAGCCCTTGGCGTCGATGCGCAGGTTCACGGGGAGAAGGTTGTGCTTGGTCTTGTCAAAGTCAGGCACCGTGTCAAAACGCGGAGCCTTTGCCAAGTTGCCTTTGAAGCCGTAGGACCAACCGTGGTACTTGCATGACAAGATGGCAGAGTTTCCACAGGCCTGGGTGACGATAGGAAAAGCGCGGTGACGGCAGACATTGTGAAAAGCATTGATCTGGCCATCGCGATCCATGACCAAGAAGAAGGAGAAGCCAGCTTCTGTGAAGGAGACGTAGTCACCGGCCTTCTTGAATCGTAGCTTGTGTGTGAGGAGGATCCATTTTCGAGAAAAGATGGCTCGGCGTTCAAGCTCGTACATGGCGGCTGAGCGGTACCATGATGCAGGCAAGGCTCTCGGCTCATCGTGAGAGGATGAGTCTTTTTGAGGGGTAGACTTGACTCCAAAGAAGCCAAACATGGTGATGGATGTAGTGTTTTGTGATGTGGTGGTGGGTTTTGTTCTGACTAACACAATTCTTAGTAGAGATGGTTACAAAAAGTTGCTGGTGAGTTGTAGAATGTCTAGTGGAGGTCACAACACAGAGGCGGGCTCTCAATAAATGCTTCACAGAAATGGGCCAACAGAGTGCAACGCATTTGCGAAATCGGGATGGTTACATGACACGCGTGATGGTAAAAAATGGGTACCTAAAGACACAAGTATATTACCCTCAAGTTTCTTTTTAGTATCTTTTGATAGGTTGTTGCCGGTGGCTGTAGTGTTAGCCTCATCCACCGGTACGCTCATAATGACAGACTTGTCGGCCAAGTACCTCGTCCTCATCCATCCACACCAAACACAAACTCCACAGATATCGAGACAGGGCGGATCACGAACTGTGGGGAGACGATACGATAGCCGACATGAGATTCCCAAGGCCGAGAAAAAGTGTCAGATGACACAGGCGGGACGAAGCCGCTCATCTCTCTTCCGCCAAAGCCTGGACCGAGCATTTACAGTCATTTCCCCGCGTTTTCCAATCCTTGGGCTTGATCGTGTTTCGAACAAGGGAGAGGACGCCATGCGAGGTCGGGCAACGGAAAACTATGTTGGAAACTCCGTGACTCCGCCGGGAAACTATCACCAAGTGGGACGCGGAAAACTATGTAAATCTCCGGGGCGATAACACAAATTGATCAATTGCATTGCGCGTCCCATTCGTTCAATTGACCTCGGCTTTGTCTGTCACAATCTCATCTCTATCGCGGTTCCATTCCATTCCCATATCATCTGCTCAGCCTCTTGATACCATCCAGGCCGAGCTGTTGAGCGTGGAGAATCACCGTCCCCCATACGACTCCATGTGCGCTACCCACTGCGTGTCTTGGCCATTGGTGCCCGCAGATAACGGGAATTTTCCCCTCTTTCAGAACACGTTTCGGAGAATGGGATATGTAAAGACAGCAATCGAGGGCAGGGCAAGCTCGCGTATTATTCACCAATCTCTCCGGTACCTGTTCCATTAAGCCTCGCCACCATTCTCTCTCGCTGCCGCCCAAATCCTTAACAGAGCCCCCTCAGGTCCAGCAACAGGGTCCTGGCTAGGAATAGGCACCCCGCTAATCTCATCAACAAGCTCCCTCCCCTCCAACGGCGTCTTTCCAAACTCGCTGCGCCATTTAGGTGACCCATCTGGATACACGCCAATGTAGTGGTACTTTTCACTCTTGTCCTTGGCTTTGTCTTGTTCGTCCACTGAAGCGTGTGCGACTCCGGCTGGGATCACCACCACGTCCCCAGCCTTGACGTGACATTTAACACCGGCGTTCTCGTCATCGGCGCCGCCCGCGCCAAAGATTAACTCTGATTCACCCTGAAAGACTCCTATCGCGAGTTTAGCAAGCAATAATAAATACCTACCGTAGATGAGACTACATACCGTAGCACTCGTGCGTGTTGGGATGAAAGTGCTTCACCGTTATAGTCCCCCATGTGCCCTGATACTGTCAGTCTTGTCTATCACCAGCCACAACAAGTAATCCCACCTTTTTCGTCCACCCATGGCTCGTAAGTAACTCTGTAGTACTGGCTTCATCGTATGGCTCAGGAAGTACCCCTCGATAGACCAGCACGGGGAGTACATTGTTGGGACAATGGGGAGTTGGCTTGATGAAATACGTCTCAGGATTGGTCGACATGTTTAATACGGGCGATGCAACAAAAGTCTTGAGTGATACGATATTCACACACCAAGGCATCGAAGGAGCGAGGACGAAAGTATCTTCTAATGTGAATGTCTATTCCGATAACGGTTGAAAGACATCCTTCTCCACCATAAGCAGCAAGGAAGCGACGAGCTGCGCCTTAAATATCTCAAAATTCCTCCAATAAATCAATCATCTACTTGGCCGTAACAGGTGTTTCTACCCGCTGCCAACGTCATTCTTGCAACTGCTGTAAATCGTGAGGGGAACAACCTGTATCCTCGCCGAGAAATCTCCGCACCCTCTTCTAACCCCGGATTTGAGATTTTGATTGGAGTGTGGCTTGTGATTCTATTTCGTTGGTCATATCGGGTCGTCGGCACGGCTTTATTGATGCCAAAATTTAATGCATGCCCGACTATGTTTGTCAACATAGGCATCTCCTGGAGAGGTACTAGGTTAAGAAGTGTTTGAAAAAGTCATTATTAGGTTTTCAAGTTGCAATAACAGTACAAAGTCCTGAGTGGTTCATCTACCACTCCTCTCAAAACCCCCAAGGTTGTCACCAAAGGGAAACCACAAGATCAGTTGGGCCCATAATCCCAACAAATTCCTACGTTCAAAACAATCAACGACCTTGAGTCGAGTCTGGAGTGTTTGGGGGCGCCGGAGGCTGTGGCTTTCCTGGGGGAGTAGAGCTATTCATGGTAGCCTTACCCGAAGTCTCGTTAGTCAATGTGTTGTGCTGATCATCGATTGGGTGTGAGAGCTTGTTGGGAACCTACTAGTAGAACGAGTGTACCGAGTCGTCCCTCTTTCAATCCCTCTTTGAGGTGTTTCAACGAGAGTGAATGGTTATTGGTTGCCGGGGGCAGCTGAGAGGGTCAGATCTTGGAAGGAGTTGGTTGGATTTATACACGTCGTGGCCTGCTGGCAGCCTTCAACTCTTGTCTAGGATGTTGCCTGTAACATATCACAAGAGTCCGTACTGTGCAGTACGAGGAGCAAAGTCTGCTGTCTTGGCATCAGGCAATCACTCGTCTTTTTCTCTCTCGGACTAAACCCCCCACGTCTATCTTACAGCCCTCCAAGGCTCTCGTAACTGCAATTGGAAATGCCGAAGGTGATGGTGGTCAGGCCATAAGCTGAGCCTGCCGCGTGCTAAGGAACTGGGCGAAAAGTTCAGACGAGGAAACGTGGGGAAAAGGTGACGAGTCACAGTTGAGGCGAAAACGGAGGAGAGAAGAGAGAAGAGATGCCAACGTGGCAATGTGCAAGTCGACTGGTCATCTTGCAGAGAGCAAGTCTTACTGTGAGGGGTAGACCAGCCAACTGGTGTTGGTTGAACCCTGATTATCATTCTATTTGAAGGACTTTGAAACATGTTCGCACTTGTTCTATTAATATATATCAACGACAGCTCTCTTTGGTCACATGAGGGATGCTGAAAACCACCAGATTACAATTTGTTGCCCTTCGCCTTCCTCGACCTTGCGCCCAATTGCACACCTCCAACCGAATAAAATCGATCCCCCCTTGTCAGCCCGAAATCATGTCCCTTCATCAAGCCTTGCAGTTGAAAAATGCAACCTGCACAGTCGTATCATCTCGTAAGCGTCTAGCAAACGGAGCAGAAAATGCTAATCGGCCTGCCACCAACTCATGATGGTTTCCACCGAGCGAGTTACGTAGTAAACTCACAGCAGCATTGTTGTCTTCAGTTGTCATTCTCTCACCAGCAAACCTATAAGTCACTCCCTTCCAAAAGTGGCCAAACTCGAATGGTGCGTATGTTGGTGCGGGTTCATTTTTCGTGTCCCCAGCTGTTCTTGAATCCACCCACTTGCCCACGATATCGACGGCTTGCTGATTCTTGAGCGTGTACCACAGGCCGTCAGTTGCCAAGATTAGAAAGGAAGGCTTATTCGGGTCGATCTTTGTAGTCGTCACAACTGGTTCGGCCGTCAGATATGGCGGAGTTTTGAAATCATGCTTGGGCGTCAGGGGTGGAATGCCGTAGAATCTCTTGACTGCGTCCTGCTGAAACTCCAAAGGCCACTTCCACCGGCCGTCACCGAACGCGCGTGAAACCATCATGCCCAGAACCCGCCCATCTTTGACAATGTTTTCCTCCCCAGGGTGCTCTTTGGCAAGTCGAGCAATTTCTTCCTTGTTGTCGCCGGTTTGATCCACTGACAAGGGTGTCGCCTCCCATTTGCCGTCTGCTCCTCTCTGTCCTAGAACAGCTCTCGAATCGCCTGTGCATGCCACGTAGAGATTGTTGGTGGAGGGATCGTATAAAGATAGCAGAGCGCATGAGCCAGCATAAGCAACGGCCTGTTTCTTGATCTTGTCCTGCAGTGGCTCGGTACTCTCTGCCGTATCCAAGGCTGTCTTGATAATCAAGTTGTCGAGATTCACAAACGCTGCCGCAATAGCTCGCTGAACAATCTCATCGGGTATGGGTTCGCCCGTCGAAGCTGGTTTGAGTTGGCTCAAGGTTTGCTGTACATGAGGTATGAGTTGCTTTTCCAGCAAGTCCGCAGTCTGCCAGCCAGCATGTCCATCAAAGACACCCAAAGCCATCCACTGACTGCCGTCATTCCACGGTGAAGGAAATTTCCCATGGGCGAACCTATCCTCGCACGGCGAGTTGGAACTCAGTTGTGTGCCGTCGTATCTGTCAACTCCGGGAATATTTCTGACCCGACAGGAATATGCTTCCTGTGATAGAATCTGCGTTACTTCGTCTTTGGAGGGGCCCGGTTCGGTAAATAGATGCGTGGTTGGCGGACCGACGAGACTGGGCGCATCGTCGTCATTGGCCACCCACCACCAAAGTCCTGGCACAGCAACCGCACCCGCCATGACAGTGTATGTTGCGGTCATGTTCATATTAGATCCCAAGCGTGAGGCCTTGTTTGAGGAGAACGCTCTGAGCCGATTCCACAAGACCGGCTTAGCCGTCAAGCGTGCTGAGGCCATGCGCCATGGAAACATGGTTGCTAGTTTGTGACTGAATAGCACAAAGAAGATGACAAAGGCCGATAGCCAGCTTCAAGTCCCACCAGGCCGTTCGTTCAAAGGTCGTGATGGCCCTCTTATCGTCTTGATAGATGTGAGGAACAAGCAGTCGAAGGTCGGTGTAACAAATCAATCTCCACCGCGAAATCAGAGGATGGAAAGAAGGGAAAACAAAAACGGCAATGTCTGACCTCAAACTTGTCTTGTTGTGACCTGGCAGTCATGTGATCAAGCATGTGTTACTTGAGGTCGTCTGCCCGTGCCTGGTTCTGACAGCTTGGCAGGACCCCTTGTTGACGGACCCACCCGTTCCTGCCTTCTTTATGGCGGGAAGTCATCCCTGGGCCTCGTGTGCTCACCGCTTCAAAAGTCTCACAAATGGACGACCCAAGGTTTCAGGGTTGAAATTTGGGCAACTCATTTCCTCCCTTGAGATAAGCTATCGTTACCCGGGTTTCAGCCATGTTGTGTCACCTGAATCGGTTGTCGACCAGTTTGAGACAAATCTGGGGCCCCAGACTTGGCGGAAGTACTCATGGGTCTACAGAAGAGGCGAAGGCCAATGTGGCATCCAAGCACGCGAGGGCCAGATGAATTTTGTTCAAGTTGCTTAGCATAGGTTGGGCAGAACAAGGTTTATGTATCAGCACAGAAAGCAGTGTTCATGTAATCATTCTCGATTTGGCGCTTGGGGTTGAATTTATTTCCTATCTAGCAGATACTTCACCAACAAGACATGCTGAGAGATGGGATGAAAACAGGTAGATCAAGCACGTTGGCAATGATATACGTGACGGGATGATACAGTTTTAGATAAATCAAACGTCTATCGCCACCAAGATCCTCTGGATAAGGGTTGAAAGAGGATGACAACAGCCTTTCTTCGTGCTAATCGACAATGGTTACCAGCAGGATCCGGCTGGAGCTACCCGGTAGAGATGAGAGGCTGGCATCCTCCAGTGGGCATCAACACTTATGTTACACGTTTAAACTTAGGCATATGACTAAGGATATACTAATCATTTACATGACCTTTGTAGAACATCTCACCTACTCTAGCCACCTGGCGCCTTATTTGCAGTGATAAGTATCGTCTGTTCTAGAGTCTAGGTAACTAGAGATGGTTGAAAGTAGGTGTCACTCTGGCATAGGTACGGAACAGAACGAACAGGAACTTCACTACTACATTGATAAAACGTGAGATGTTCTCAATAAAATAAGAAGAGCTTTTAGGCCGCTTCATGTGGAGTTGAGCCCATAATGTTGAGATCACCCAAGTCACCATCACCATAAGCAAATGTACATGTGCAAACATGTATGTGAAACTAGACGGGTCGAAAAGAAATCAATGGCATATGTCCCCCCAAAAAAGGCAGTCTCTTTGCTTTGGCTAAATCGCTTAGAACGCTTATCTCTATCAAGCCTTCGCTCTGAAACACCATTCTACTATCCAGATACTCCCTACCCTCAGTACATAATCATGAAAACGTCTGCATAAGTATTTTACAATATTGAACAATATTCCAAACAACTCCAGCGTGCAAGTAATTTGCTCGCCGTATATCCTCCTTCATTACCTGTCTCAGTGTTCATACTGGTGTGTGAACAGACGTGTGGTCTGGTGTCTTGGTATGGTCGTGCTGGAGGATACTCTCTTGTGAGTCGAGCTCTGCAGCCCCGGAGCCGAGATATTTGACATTAGACATGTCTCTTTGTGTCGCTGTGTGACCTTGTCGATTCGCACTGAGCTCGATATCCGATCGGTGCTGCCCCGTGCGAGAGGAGCCGTAGTTTTGATATCCCGATGAGTTGTAATGCTTGTATCCTCCTGAAGATGTGTCGAAGGTACGGCGGCCCATGAGGAGATCGACGAGGGGTTGGAGGACGGGGATGCAGCATGCGATGATGATGGTACTCGACTCGATGCTAAGACAGAGTTAGTACATCTTTCGGTGTGTCAAGTCAGTGTGAGGTCTGTGTACTTACATTGTCCAGATGACTAGGTCCGAGGTATCATCTACACACGTGTTAGTTTCATGGAGCTTATCACCTCGAAACCTCGAAACTTACAAGAAAAGTCAGGGCTTGCTAATGATGGAAGCCGAGTACACTTGTAAATGGCGACGATGGTGGAACTAGATGATGATGAGCAACTGATGCCAAACCGAGAAAGGCAGCACATACATTGACCCAATTCCCAAAGCAAACGACAAGGCAATCTTCTTTCGAATGTTCATTTGCAACTTCCACAGAACAACCCCGGGGTACACGGCAAGGTACAGGTCGGTAGTCGCCGACAGTGCTATCGCATGTCAGCCAAGTCCGCGATGAAGGTCAAATGACGCCGACTCACCTCCAGCAAAGATAGCGAAATCGACCAGGACGTAAGGACTCCAGCACGTCTTTTCGGTGATGGAAAAGTCCCACTGGGATTCAACGGGTCTGCACTGCGCAAACAGGATGACGATGCACACGGCCAAGCTCAGCATGCAGCACCCAGCGAGACCCCAGAGGATGAACTGCTGCACTCGTCCGGGGTTCATTATGCGCGTCAGCAGGGCGACGACGGCCAGCTTGGGGATGCCAAAGGCCATGACTCCAAAGGGGAATCCCAGTATCGTGAAGAGGATGGCATCTTGCTTCTGCGACAGGGAGAGGGTATCAAAGTGTCTGCCATTGCCCCGACGGACAGCTATTATAGAGAGAGCGACCTGAGTCCATTCGAATATCTATTGGAAACTCGAAATCAGTATCATTCAGAGACCTGACAAAGAGGTGTGAAGCTTACCACCGACACAATCGTAAGCCAGTCATCAAGATGCAAGGCGCCCAGGATCTTTTTGCGGGTGTACACCCTCCCAGCGACAAATATCGTACTGAGAATAGAAACGGTCAGTATGACCCCCAAGATGGTCGGACCCTTGTTGGAGTCAAGGTAGGCCTGAGTATGATGTGTTGGAGCTTCGGTCGTCATTCTCGCCAGCCAGAAACAAGAAAAGCAGGAAGAATGGAGAAAACACAAAAAAGCCCCAAAGAACGACCAAAGGTAAAAAGAATGGAGGAACCAACAATCAAGAGGGAGGGAGGGGGAATAGGCGGTGGGTAGCGCCCAAAGCGAGCACCCTGTGCCTAATTATGCATGTTGGAACGCCACGAGCATTTGCGCTTCGAGGATCTTCAGCTCGTGCTTCCTCTCCCCATGTCAAAATCCCTTCATATTCAGGTGGACGAACAAGTGGCCATTGTGCCATAGATCGACGGCGGGCGGACAGGAGTTTGCACAATGCTACGGTAGTTGTCCGTTGTGCCCCGAACTGTAACTCGGCAGATTCCTTTCTGACTCGAGTCGGCCGACTGGATTATCTTACAGGGATAAACCAGGTATCTCATCCTCCTCATGCATGGCTTCAAAGCACAAGCAGCACTCGGAACTCAGGGGAGCCGTTAAGCTAACAACACTAGGGCGGCAGAGGACATGCCGCTCTCGCTATCTGCGGCACGTCGGATGTCAGCAGCGAAAGGCAATGGAACATGAGCTCGTGGCAAGAAAACGAGCTAGAGAATCATGATTAGTGTTAAACTCTGTATCTCAAACAAACAATCTAGAAGAATCAGATATATCACACTCGCTGTTGAAAGATGAATGTTTAAGCCGTCAACTCCAGACTCCAAAATTCCCACCCCACATGCAAGCCACTGAAGATCAATTTGCTTCTGGCCCCTAGCCGCGACAACCGGCACATCTCCCCGCCCTCTCTCCAGCTGCCAGAGGAGGGCTTGCATGAGCCGAGACATGAGCTGGCCTGGCCAGACCAACCCGCCCTGATCGACACGAATAGCGTGATGTTCGCCCAACCCTAGTCTGCACCGTTGGTTAGCCTGCGGCTCACAGACCATCTGGAAGCGCGTGCCGAAGCCCTACCCCGGCCCGCGTTGCAACGGCCAAGCCCTCTAGCCTGGGGTCCTTTAAGCTGGAACCAACAGAGGAATCATGTTGCGCTCCTGTTGTTTCCGGGGGAGAGCCTCAACTGCTCTAGTGCCGGTGTGATCACCTCACGCTATCCGTCCCAAATAGGACCAGACTGTTTCCAAGCCGCGTAGGAAAGCGCCGCGGCTTTGGCGGTTAGTGACAGTCGACGTTTTACTAATTTGTCCAGTCTATTAGTTGTCAGCCATTTTTGTCTCCAGTAAGCGCTTGGCGGATAGTTTTCCAACGGCTTTTAAACGGTAATCGCCTCTTCATTCCAGACACCAATGGCAAACGCCTGATACAGAAGTCGAGGTTATCACATCTAATGCAAAGCATCGACCTCCTTCTGTCCCCTTCCCCCCCAGGTTAAATGCCGTTGGTTATTAGTCTGCGGTTCCGCTGCCGGCATCCGCGAGCCAGGGGTATGGGATGCTGACGAGACCCCTTGTCGTTCGACTTCCGAGCTTACGCTACCAACATGGCACGTAGATCATTTAAAAGCAAGCCTGTTTGCTAATCAGGAAGTCTTGGTTCCAGGCTAAACCTCTTTTGCGTCTCCATGTAGCATCGTGAGACTCCCAACGCTGGTTCAGGTCGCATTCGGCGCTCGTCTAGTGACCAGGCCATCAAGCACGTTTCCGGAACATTTACGCCCAGCTAAGACCATACACGCGTGTACCTACCTACCTGCCCTTAGGGGAAGCCCTGTTGCGAGGTTGAAGATCATCTAGTCCCGGCGCAACTTGTCGTCGACACCAAAACCGTTAGGGGTTCATCCTTGGCAAGGAGGAGAAGGCGCTTCTTTGCGAGGAGTGGCGCGAGGCCGTCTCCAAGATGGCTCCAAACTGTTACCTAGACGGTCGCGGAGTATGATCCGGTGTCTGGTTTCGAACGACATGCGGCGATTCTGTGCCACTATCTCAGGGGGGAGGACCAAGAACCTTGGCGGTAGTCATCATGCAGGACAGGGGAGATGGACACAAGAGCCAACACACTGGTTGACCCTTACGTGGCCGAGGTGGCTTGCAGAAGTGCTTGAGTATTTCTATCTGCAGTCTTCTGTTCCATCCAAAGCAATTAATTAACCTTCTTAGTTGCATTCTCTTGTAGTCGTCTACACATCTCACTTTATATCTCTTCCCCAAAGTCTTTTCAATATGCCCGAGACCGTTCAACCTGAGACAAGCAACCTACCAGAGGTGGTTGCGTTCAAGGCTGCCGATGTTCAAGTCATCAGCATCGACGAGGACCAGAGTGTGAGCTCTGGAAGTGCATCAGTCCATGACGCGGCCGAGTCCGTTACTACACATGACCCCAGTGAAGACTCTGAAAAGTTTTCAGAAGAGGATGTGTCTATTGCATTGAAGGCTACCAATGCCGATGCTGTTCCTGATTTGATCAAGGAGATCACCGCTCTGGGTGAGACCTTTGACAAGGAGGACTCAGATGCCAGATTGAAGCTCATGGCCAAGGCTAAGAGCCTTTGGCAGTCACTTGAGACCCCAAGAGAGACCATGCTCCGTCACTGTTGGGCTGAGGTGAGTGCTGACACCTTGTACCAGTCCAAGTCGTCTAACATATCTTAGCCTTCACTTCACTGTGCCTTGACTGCCGGTACCGACAAAGGACTCTGGCCTTACCTTGCCAAGCTCAACGGCCCCTTCAACGTCGCCGAAGTTGCTGAAGCAAAGGGAATTGAGCCTGCTCTTCTCTGTAGGTTATCCCACTCCCGTTAAACACTCATGCTAACTTTCTAGCCCGTCTCCTCCGCCATGTTTCAGCCATGGGTTACCTCACCGAGATTGGTCAAGACCGATATGAGCTCAACAATTTTACAAAGTCCATGGCCTTTCCCTTTATTAACGCCGGATATCCCTGCATGTAAGATCATCTTCCAGTCTCAACTCCAAACATGCCACTCACATGCTCTAGTTCTGGTGCATGCCTCAACGCTCTTGGCAAGTTCCACGAGTACGCCAACAACAACGGATGGAAGGATCCCACAGACATCAGCAACTCTCCCCTCCAGCACGGATACAGCACAGAAAAGACCTTTTTCGAGCACCTGCACACCAACCCTCCCTATGGCCAAATGTTCCATCTTCACATGGGTGGCTACCGACAAGGTCGACCTTCGTGGATGGACGCCGGCTTCTTCCCTGTTCAGGAGAGGCTTCTCAACGGCTTTGACCAAAGTGAGGATGCAACTCTTCTCGTAGATATTGGCGGTTCGTTTGGCCATGACATCGGAGAGTTCCGTCGAAAGTTCCCCGATGCCCCTGGCCGTCTTGTCCTCCAGGATCTTCCCGTCGTCATTGACCAAATCACCAAGCTCGACGAGAAAATTGAGCGAACAAAGTACGACTTCTTCACCGAGCAGCCCATCAAAGGTACCTAACCCCAATCCACTCTCCTCAACTCCTCTCACTTTGAGTATAGGTGCCCGCGCATACTACATGCATTCGGTCCTCCACGACTGGTCCGACGAGACGTGCACAAAGATCCTCAAGAGTGCCATGGGAGCCATGAAGCCCGGCTACAGCAAGCTCCTGATCAACGAAAACGTCATCCCCAACACGGGGGCCCAGTGGGAGGCAACAGCCCTCGATGTCATGATGCTGACGCTGTTGGCCTCGAGGGAGCGAACCCAGGAGAACTGGGAGAATCTGTTGGGTAAGGCGGGTCTCAAGATCTGCAACATTTGGACTGTTGCCAATGGTGTTGAGAGTCTGATCGAGTGTGAGCTCGCATGAGATGTTATGTGTAATGACTGTATCCTGTTTGAAATATAACTAAATATTTATTGTTCTATGAAACTTGATAAACGCTCAAATCTGTCTCCTGAATTTTCCTAATACGCCATCCAGACCCAACCCGCTTAAATTACCTATTACATGTGCTTTTACTAAATCTTTTCATATCTGCTCTTGCTGTTCCTCTTGTCGTTCATCTTGAGCCTGGCCAAGATCAATAACCCTTCCACTGTCGCCGTCACCTTTTGATTCTGAAATGACAGCATATGGCCATTGCCTGTCGTTAACTTCCAGCTGTGACATTCTCTCATGCATTCTATGCAAAAACCTGGATTCCTTCCCGCCAACTGCAAGCAGGACGCGGGATAGGGTGGCCAAAACATCTCCAGAGCCAACGAGCATTCCATTTCCGCGGGCAGAGAATGGTGTGCAGGCAACAATGTCCAGCATTGCATCTGCTAGTCGGAATACTTTGAGTTCCTGCAAGGCATATGAGCAAACTCTGCTGTAGGAACCGTAGATTGACTTACCATGCCATATCCGTGAGCTTTTATGGCAGCGCTCGTCACCATTGAAAAAAGCGAAAGCATTTCATGGCCAATCTTGACCGGTAAAAACAAAGAGAAAGCCTGATCATCGGGATAGCAGGACATTATAAAATGTTGCGCCGTATACTCCCACAAAAGCAGTCGTATCCATTGCCGCGTAACAAACAGGTCGACCCGTTGGGCCTCGTGAGCAGCTTGATCGTGTGAGTCCAAGCACAAGTCGGCGTGGTATGAAACGAGTTTCTGTCGCTCAAGAGGCTCTTGGCTGTAGGAAGGCACTGCGAGGTTCCCTTCGAGATATGCAAAGAGCCTTGCCAGCGATATGAAGGATTGCATGAGGTGTTCATCACCCATATCGTTATCGAGATAAGGCATGACATTAATAGCTCGAAGCACAGATGGCAATCCGTGTTGAGCAGAGTATGTCCTATCATTGGAAATCAATTAACCGTTGATTGTCTGGGCTGATATTGCGGTTACAAACCTTTCAGATATCAAAAGAAGCCAATAAACGCGAAGCCGGAGTGCCCGTTCTCTCTTGCACAAGTGCGAATATCTTTCAGGATGTCCAAGCTCCAGTAACTGAACATAGGTGATCGATTCTCTCAAAAAGAGGCCAGCTGTGCGTAATTTGTTGGCGTTGGCGTAGTAAACGTGTAGAAAGAAGGGTATCAAGACGGATGCTATGGAAAATGTTTCACGATAATCATACTGCTCCCGAGATTGCAGACAGTCAGTCGCAAATTGGAGTGATGACAGCGTGTTCCGTTGGTTTGTGTGCTCTGGGAGTCGAAGCTGAGCTATTGTGGCTGCGCAGAGTGAAGCTGCCAAGGCATGAGATTCGTGGTCTTGGTCGTTTTGGGCTATATCTAAGAGAACCTTGTCGCAATCAACGACAGGCCAGATGGAATATGAATTTTGTTTGAAAACTCCAAGGAAGCGCTTGTAGTCGGCCAGGGGTAGGCGATAGGGAGGCTGCGGATTGCTTTGTAATGAGGGCGTCTCTGACAGTGACCTGCTCGACTCGGCATTTTCTTCGAAACGGTCCACCGGATGACCCTCGGCATCTTTAATACTCCTCTGAAACTCTTCAACTCTAGCCTTCGTCGCGGTCCTGGGTCCTCCTTTCGGGCCACGCTTCTTCCGGGTTCGTAAGACGGTGCACTCGATGCCTCTGAGCCGGCACTCGCGGCAAGGCCTCGAATCCTCACATTTGACGCGTCTGAGAGCGCATCCGTCACAGGGATTGGCGTTTCTCAGCTTGGATGACATGGGATGTCGTGCCGTTGATGAATTCGAGTGTTGAGGACGTGGCGGGTGGAAGAGAAGAGGTTCAAGTTGGTGTTCTGTTGCCCCACCGTTCGACATGCTTAATACGACCAGCCAACCACATGCCCATGTTGATCCCGTGAACATGGATGTAAGGACTAACTATACCGACCTCGGAATTTCAAAATTGTGCAACAGAAAGTGTTTGGAAATGTCGGATGAGACATGTGTTGCTAGCATAGAAATGTTGATGTGATTGACGTGGTTTGGAATTATTAAAGTACGCTTCGTGCTAATACCCACCTCAGTGGGTAAATAGATGGGCGAGTGAGCTCGGAAAGCATGAACTTTCAACTACCTACCTATCGTGAGAAATAAAGTTGAGGACTATCGTGAGTTCTAATCTCGGGTGGTTACCAGACCAGCCTTGATAGCCTAGGCTTGACAATAGTAAAGTCCATTACGTCGCTTTCAAGATCAACATGTCCGGCATGATGGCAGTTGAACAGACCACTAGCTACAGCCCTTCAACTCCCCCTGTTAACCTGATTCCTTCCCTCCCTCTAGCACATACGACCATAGCTCGTAGAAAATACGGGATCCCGTCTGCTCTCCCATAGTCAAGCTGCGAAGCGCTGGATTAGTAGTTGGGTCGGTGACGACCAGCGAATCCCCGGTGTTGTATGTTTTTTGCTCTTTTACCTATTTTCTTTTTGATGCCCTCATATACTTGATTCTTGCAGAGATCTACGATTGTGCCTCGTTGGAATATGTGGTTGTGTTAAATGTTGATGTGGAACTCCTTCACACTTGCACAGATGTGGCAGCTTTTCATACTGGGACACAGCCAACTAAAGTCCTTCTATCAATCTATTCCATGCTCTACCGATATATATCACTCTTTTATCCATCCATTTTATCGACTGTCCGCCAAAAGCAACTCCATCACAGGCCCAAGTAGCTCCTGGTCCAACCCCAGACTCATCAGCTGCCCAACCTTGACGGCAGTGGGCTGAGACGACTGAACAACGCCCCAGACCTTTTCCTTAGCCGCCATGTCCATCTGATAATCCAGAATCGCGTCCTGGATGCGCTTCGAATGATCAAGCACGCCCAGCTGCTTGTTACCACTGTCCAGCCCTATATAGAGGTTCCCCGACCCCTCTCCGGGTTTGATCTTCGGGATCTGGACCACCAAGCCGGGGAGATTGGGATAGTCGTCAATCCAGCACTCTGCCGCTATCGGATCCTTGTTGTCCCGAACCCCCACAGGCATTTCCGTTACCGATAGAAACTTGATGGTCCAGCCTCTGCCCGACAGGTGACCTCCAATGGTTAGAACCCCCGGAGACTGATCCCAGTCCAGAGAGAAGTCGCGATGCTTGCCCTTCTCACGTTTCTCGTCGTCCTCGAAACTTTCTCGGAGGCTAAATCTGCCATTTTTGCCAATAACGACGAGAACCTCAAAGTTTTCAGGGTTTCCGCAGCCATTCCCGGGTTCACTCTTCTTGTCCAGCGGAATGATGGCACCCTCTGGAGCAAGAACAGGAATCTCGTTGATGCTTCGATACATCTTGATATCCCGATCACCATCGTAAACCACGCCTGTGAAGATATCGACGTGCCGACTAGGAGGTACCCAAACGTCAACCGGCGCGCAGTTGGTCCTAACGCCGCGAGGCTTCACAATGGGCGCAACCACCAAACTCGACCCAAAGTAGTACTCATTCGGCTTACTATAAGCCTCATCCCTCTCGGGAAACTTCCAATAGAGCGGCTGCACAAGAGGCTCATCATCCTCTCTCGATACCCAATTCATCGAGTAAAGATAAGGAAGCATGCGATGTCGAAACTGGAGAAACTTCTTCATGACAGCCGCAAACTCGGGTCGGTACAACCAAGGCTCCTTGGACGTGAACTGCCCGTTCTGCGAGTGAAGCCTCATGATGGGAGAAAAGACTCCGTACTGCACCCATCGAGCTGCGAGCTCATGATTGCGGTATCCGCCCATGTGCCCACCGATGTCGTGGCTCCACCATCCGTAGCCGATATTTGAGGCTGTTGCTGTGAACTCGGGCTGGAACTCGAGAGACTCCCATGTCATGATGCTGTCGCCCGAGAAACCAACAGGATACCTATGGCTTCCGGGACCGCCGAACCGGGAAAAGATAATGGCGTTGCCTTTGCCATTCTGCTTCTCGTGGTCCAGGAAATGGTAGTGGTTAAGAAGCCAAAGAGGATCAAGACCAACGACCCTCGAGTAAGGCCCCTGCTGCCAATCAATCCACCAAAAGTCGCACCCGTCATTCTCAAGGCTGCGATGAAGAGTGTTCAAGTAAGAGTGCATAAATTTGGGATCAACAGGGTTGAACAAGATGGGCGCCTTAGCAGAAGTGTCGTGTCCAAGATCCTTGGCCATCTCCTCGTACAAATCCTCATGGTGATGAACTCCAGCGTGAGGATGATCATTCAGAGTAACCTTGAGCTTCTTGTCGTGCAAGGCCCTGTTGAAGGCCTTTGGATCCTTGAACAGCTTCTTGTTCCACGTGTAGCCCGTCCATCCTGCGTGAGGGATGTGATCACCGTGAACCTCGTGCCAGTCCATGTCGATGACGGCCACTGCCAGCGGAACCTCCTCCTTCTCAAACTTATCCATGAGCTGTAGGTACTGCTCGTCTGTGTAGGGATAATATCGACTCCACCAGTTGCCAAGCGCCCATCGCGGTAGAAGTGGCTGCTTGCCCGAGATGGCAAAGAAAGACTTCATGGCGAGCTTGTAGTCGTGGCCGTAGCAGAAGAGATAGCCATCAATGCGGTCTCCAGGTCTCCGAGGCGATGCCAGCCCAGCCCCGTCCAACAGCATCGACTTGCTGTCATCAAGAACAGAGTATCCAGCTCGAGACAGAATACCAGGCTCCAATTCGCAGCGTCCATTGACCTCATCAAGAGTCCTCGCCGTCCCACCCAAGTTCTGAGGAACCTCTCCATACCGCCAATCAGCACCCCAGAGGGTATTCTTGTTGCTGAAGCTAACAACAAGTCCGTATCTGTCGAAGCGCTTCTTGTTATAAGTGACCTGGAACGAAGAGGTCCTTATCTCGAGCTGCTCATCCGTATCCGACACTGAAAACTCGGGAGTCGGAAACTGTCGATTGAGGGCAAACGTCGAAGGACGGTCCTCAAAGACACCGTCTTCAGACCATTCGTATCGGAGAACGGTCTCATTGATCAAGGTGAAGCGATAGTGGTCACCGGCCACGATGGAGGCCGACTTTGCGACAGGCTCACACGGAATGGTGTACTTGTCCATTGTTTCTCTCGATCAACAGTCGTTGAGATCAATGAATGCTCCCCCGCCAGATGCGAGAGAAGCAAGCCTTCAAGTACCCCGACTCTCTTCTCCACAGTAACAAGCTGAATGCAGTGGAGAGATGGCTGTGCTCACTCATCTGCAAGCATCATTGGCAGAAGTTGGAGCCCTCCGGTGAAATTATTCGCCAGAGGCGTGAGAGAGAACGGCGACGTGCATATTCACCCAACGTCACCATGGCGCCAACGGTTTTTTCCTGTACGCCCAGATAAGCAGGCTTTGTCGTAATGCGTTGAGTGATGTGCTGATCTCTTTCTTGTCTCCGCTCTTGGGGTGAACTCTTCGGCATGGCTTGTTATTGGTTGGTGTGTCTCAGGTGAGGCTAGAGCGTGGAGATGTGGTGTTGATGGCGGTGCGATGCCCCTGACATTGTATCAACTATTGCCTTACAGACCAACTAAGAATAGTATTAGTATTGAAATAATTGCCTTCTTTGGCAACCTGGTCAACATGTCATGCTGGCTAGGCCAGAGATGGCCGGCGGTCTCGAGGATGCTGCAGGCCAAGACGCTACACTCCAGCAAACAGTCACATCTCGGACCGACATCAACTCCTCAAGATACAGCAAGTCTCCTATTCTTCGATGAATACCGCCGTCACATGAAAAGGCACCATCAAGTGAAATGACAAGGCATGGGGTATCGTCGTTCCTCAGACACAGTCGTACATACATGGATGCTATCCTGTGTCTCCAAAAACATACCGAGACAACATCTGCTCCTTCATGCCATTCTCCTCCCCTCTCCTCTTCCACCCACCCATTCAATCCTCATCCATGCCCCGTATCCCAAACACTCTTCCCGACATTGGTTGTGTAATAAAGGCAATAAGCAAAATTGCAGCTCTCGTGTCATAGCATGAGGCCGCGGGTATTACAGAGAACTAGATTGTAAAAAAGACAACACACTGCGAGCTTGCATCGGATTGGATGGTGGCGTTTGTTGAGTACTTTAGTTGTACTGTCGGTCAGAGCCCAGAGCGGGCGACTTGACGTCCGTGATCGACTTCAACAGCCTAGACTTGTGTTAGATGTCATGAACCTCATCATCAGTCTAGACTACTCACTGCAAGTTACGATCCCTCATCTCCCTATCGAGGGTATCCATTTGCTTGGCCGTCAGTCTAGCCTTACTTATCTGTATTCCACACGTTAGCCTCCAGTTCACTTCAAGCCTGCATGACAGCAAAGAAATCATGCCGGTGCATCATGCAAGGGGCTTTCGCACCGAAGCAAGTGCTACTGAGGAATGATCATCAATCTCCTCACCTTCCGCCGCATCATCCTTCGCAGCGGCGGCGTCGTCGCCCTCCTCTGCGTTGGCAAATCTGCTGGCTGCGAGTCCCTTGGGCTTGGCGATGGCGGCGTTGGCCTAGTGATGTGTCAGTCTTGGTCCGTCTTATAAACATGCCTAGCAGAGCTCACCTTGGCCTCAACGATCTCGGCATCCTTGACCTTGATCTGGGCCTCGAGAACCTCCACCTGTTTCTCTCCATCCTCAACCTTGGCCAGCGCCTCGGCAAGCTTCGCCTCCAGATCCTTAGCCGTCTTCTGAGCCTCCTCAGCAATGCCAGTCAGGCTGTCGTGCATGTCCTGGTAGTCAGCCTTGGCGGTCTTTTGCTTGGCCTCAGCCTCAGCCTTGACAGCTTCAAGGTCCTTCTGCGCAAGGGCCAAGTCGTCTTTGAAAGCTGCCAGCTGAGTCTGAGCAGCAGTCAGATCTCCCTGTGCACTCTCGTAGCGACCAGTGGTTGACTTGAGCTCGGCATCAACGCCAGCAAGGGCATCCTCATGGAACTTCTTCATTGTGGCGATCTCCCTCTTCAGGGCATCCACCTCAGAAGTATCAGGCTTGACGTTCCTTGCGTCCTCAAGCTCAGCGAGCGCTGTGAATCGCTCAGTCTTCTCCTGAGCCAGCTGGTGAGACAGCTCCTCAACCTCAACCTGAGCCTTATCGAGTTCAGCCTTCGCCTTGTTGAGTTCAGCCTCCAGACCTTGGTTGGCCTCCGTCAGCTTCTCAATCTTGCTCTCCAGCTGAGTGTCGTTGTTTCGGTGCTGTGTCATCATCTCATCGATAGCCTTGGTGTGATCAGCAGTAAGCTCCTCGAGCTCCTTCTTGGCCTCGGCGCCCTCGTTCTTCATACGCTCCAGGACTTCGCCGTTGAAAGACAGGAGCTTCTCAACCTCAGCAGCGTGTTCTTGCTCAAGCTCGAAGCGAGCCTCCTCAATAGCCTGCTTCTTGGAAGCCTGCGCCTTCTCAAGCTCATCCTTGGCGTTCTGAAGCTCAGCCTTCAAGGAGGCCAACTCCTCGGCGTGCTTCTTGTCGTCCGCGCTCTGGGCCTCTAGTTGGCTCTTCAATGCCAGGATCTCCTCGCTGTGGGCCTTTTCAGTCGCTTCTCTGGCAGCCTGGTGCTCAGCCTCGAGAGCAGCAATCTTGGCCGCCTGAGAGTCGTTGCCAGCAGTCTTCGCGGCCTCGATCTCTTCTAGAGCCTTGGCCAAGGCTTCGGCGTGCGCCTTGTCACTCGCTTCCTTATCAGCCTCGGCCTTAGCCTTAAGGGCCTCCAGCTCAGCTGCGTGAGTAGCATCACCTGCTTCTCGAGCATCATCCAGCTCAGCCTTCAGCTTGGCAATCTCAGTGGCGTGAGCAACCTCGCCAGCTTCTCGGGCCTCGTCGAGCTCAGCCTTGAGCTTAGCGATCTCGGTAGCATGTGCGGTCTCGCTTCCTTCCTTGGCCGTAGCCAGTTCAGATGCGTGGCCAGCGACGAGGTTCTCCTTCTCCTCAGTATGCTCCTTCTTGAGCGACTCCAGAACGCTGGCGTGAGCAGCCTTAAGGGCTTCGAGCTCGTCGGTGTGGGTGGACGCGTCCTCGGTCTTTAGAATCTCCAGCTGCTTGGCGTGGCTCTCCTTCAGGGAGTCAATCTCAGCAATGCGGGCATCCCGGTCAGCGGCCGCAGTGTTCTTGGAAGACTCAAGCTCCTCAGCATGGCTGGCACGAAGAGCATCAAGGTTCTTCTGGTGCTCGGCCTGCTTCTCCTCCAGAGCAGCGATAGCAGCAGCGTGCTCAGCCTTAGCAGCCTCGAGAGCCTCTGAAGTGGAGGCCTTGAGCTCGTTGTGCTGGTCTTCGAGTTCCTTGTGCTGACCCTCAAGCTCCTCAAACTTGCGCTTGAAGAAGGCGTCTCCTCGGAGAGACTCAATCTCCTGCTCGTAGTCCTGGGAAATGCTCTTCATTCGCTCTTCCTGCATCTCCTTGACCTTGACAATCTCCTCCTCCTTCTCAGCGAGAGCCTTCTGCGCCTCCTCGGCCTCAGCCTTAGCGGCAGCAACCTCCTCCTGGGCCTTGGTGAGATCTTGCTTGGCAGCCTCAAGTTCAGTCTCCTTCTCAGCCAGGCTGCTCCGAAGCTTGCTAATCTCGTCGTTCAGAGATGCAACCTCAGCCTTGGCCGTCTGAGCAGTCGTCTCGGCAAGCGCGAGCGCAACCTTAGTATCAGCAACCTGAGCCTCAAGGGCGGAAATCTTGGCTGTGTGGGCCTCCTGCTCAGACTTGAGCTTGTCGTCGCTGGCGGACTCGAGGGCAGACTGAGACGCAGTCAATTCGTCGATCTTCTTCTGCAGCTCAGCGGCAGCGGCCTCGTGGCTGGCCTTGAGATCCGCCAGAGCAGTCTCGTGGGAGGAAACATCGGCCTGATCCTTGTCATGCTCCTCCTTGTGCTTGCTCTCCAGAGCCTCGATGGCAGATGTCTTCTGGGCCTCAAGAGAGGACTTGAGCTCTTCAATCTGAGAAGCGTGCTCGTCAATGGCCTTCTGGAGTTCCCACTTGCTATATTCGAGCTGCTCTACGTTCTCAGCCAGAGCGGCCTCAAGCTGCTCCTTCAGTGACTCAAGCTCGCTCTCAGTAGTCTCCTTGGCGGCCACTGCAGCGTCAAGCTCTGTCTGGAGCTTCTCAAGCTCAGCTTGCGCAGTCTCGAGTTTCTCGTTCGCCTCAGATACCTCTCCCGTTAGGGCAGCAACAGTCGACTCATGCTCAGCCTTGATAGCGGCAAGGTCCTCGCCAATGGTATGGGAACCTGTATCGTCACCTGCCGCCTTGTGGACCTGCTCAGTGAGTTCGGCAAGCTTCTCCTCCGAGGTCTTCACCTCAGCCTTCAGAGCTTCAATCTCGTGCTCGCTCTCAGCCAGCTTAGCCTTGAGCGACTCAATCTCCTTGGTAGCCTCCGAAGAAGCGGAAGTGGGTCGGACCGCGGTGCGAGAAGCAGTCAGAGGTCCTGACGTAGAGAGGCGCTTTCGGGCATCGCTAGTAGGGGTGGCACTCGTTGTTCGAGTGGCAGTGGTTCGTGTCGCCGAGGGGGGGTGGGCGGTCGAGGTTCGGGTGCCTGTCGCAGTTCGCGGCGTCGTGGTGGTCGTGGTTCCGGGTCTTCGTGTCGCAGTAGCTGAGCCAGTAGCAGAGCTAAGAGGCCTCCTCTCAGCTGCCTTGCCAGGGCTAGACATGATAGAACTCGTCCTGCGGGCCGAAGCGCTCGAGGTGGTCGACTTCTTGTCGTCTTCGCTCGCGCTCATACTGAGCCTGCTCTTGTGGCTCGAGGTCGAGGTCGATGAGGTCGCGGTCCTGCGGACAGTAGAGGTGGGAGGTCGAGTCGGGGGCTTGCTCAGACCAGTAGCAGTACGAGTGCTGGCCGCGGTAGGCTTGGTAGCCGTCGACGTCGAACCTGGGCGACGAGTAGCGCTCGTGGCTGAAGCAGCCCCAGGTCGCTTCACAACTGGCTTCTTGTCCCCATTCTCCTTAGCCGGCGTCTCAGGCGAGGCAGGAGTCGCTGCGTGTGGGCTCTCGGGCTCGGCGTGGGCCTCGGTAGGAGAAGCGACAGCCTCCTCGGGCTGGACAATGTCGAAGCTCTCGGTCTCGGACATGGTTTGCAGGGGAATGTATATAAGGAGAGTTATTCTGCAAGATGAGAGTGTCAGCAAAAGGAAGGAATGGACAAGGAGGGTAGATATGGAGTTTGGGAGATGGAGCTAGACGTTGCAAATGAGCTCGTAGCTACCTCTGCCAGCCGAAAAGGTCGAACCACGCAGCTCGACCGTTCAGCCAGGGTAATCAGGAAATAGCAGGGAAACTGGAGGCACGAGCTATGGAGCCCGACGTCAAGGATACGAGAGTGAATGGGATCGATTAATTTCACTGACCTCTTTGTTCGGTCCCCTTTTTGCCTATCGACCAAAAACCACGCTCTCTCAAGCAGCGCAAACTGCTAAAGGACAGAATACCCGCACGGGCAGCAAAGAAGAGGCGGGATAGAGGGGCAATGGCAACGGAGCAGTCAAGCAAGGCAATAACAGCTTCTCTATCGACAGGATCTGAAAGGAGGGAGAAGGGAGTGCAAGTGGAAGGGGAGGAAAAGCTGTCCTGTCCCGTCTTGATGGGCTCAGGATATTAGACCGGGGTACGTACCTTACGACCCTGAGCTGTTCCATGGGGGCCCCAGGCCTGGCGCCCAGCTTTACGGACGTCCATTTCCACGACCGACTGGTGGAAGTGGGACTGTAGCTTGGCGCACCGGCCACTGACACCTGGCCCAGGCCTCAATGAGCCCCTGTGAGGAGCGGTTGGTAGCGAGCGTACGCTACGGCTGGCATCCAGGGGGCGGGGCGGTAGGTCGGGTGCCTAGGGGTCCTATCCTAGCCCGTGGACCGTGGACGGCGGGTGGCTGTCTTGTTCCTGGTCCAGAGTCATCGAGATAACGTCGTTGAGTGGATAACGCGTCTCGGCCAGTCTCTGCACCCTTGAGTCACTTGCTGAAATAATTGTTGCAATTTGTTAAGAGTTTGACACTAGATCTACACTAACAATTGTTTCGGATAAGAACCCACCCGCGCTTCCACCGGCAAAGAGGAGGACGTTTCTCTTACCTGTCTCTTGTCTGGCCCTGCATGCGAACGGCGCGCCATATGCAATGCAATGCGAGCCACCGCCGTCTTTTCCCTAAACCCAATGGGCCTTTTATCCACCAAGAGTACCGTAACTGTTTATTTATCATCATCCGTGTATATAGATACTCTGTCGTTTATGACCGTTTCAGTTCAACTCTAGCGCGCACAAAGTAATCAAAGGGCGGGGTTCAACGGGTTGATGGGATCTTCACATCCAATCTCGCAGAGCGCGTCAGTCACGCGCCGACCTGGACACAGCTCAATGAAAAAAAATGAAGCTTGATTTGTTGACTTGTTACCATAAATGAATTAGACCACCTGCCTCTGATCCTGCGCCATTCTTACTTTGGCAGTAGCGTAGTCCCCCTCATCAGAGCATGGCGCTTCAACCAATTCCAGACTCTCGTCTACAAGGAGTGAGGAGAGATGCGACAACAACTCAGGCTGCGACCATGAAACACATTCCCAGAGACCGACGTCGATTAGTGCATCGGATACTCGGTATGCATGCGCTGGCGAGGCCACACTCGTCTTGTCTGCCCTGCCTGTTGTGGACAATGATGTGACATGATGTGACGCCGGCAGAGCGTTGATGATGTGGCACGGCATCGTTGGCACAAGGCCACCTCCACGACGGCGTGAGACACGACACGCCCTCGCCCGTTCATGCATCGGGTTCTCTCCCCGGCATCAACGTGGTCGAACATTGAGATGGTTGAGATGACCTCTCTCATTGTATCAGGCGACAACGGGAACTCCAAGATAGCCGATTCTCTCTCGTAGGTAGGTAGGTAACCAGCCATGTCCATCAATGCCAATGTCAGCAAGGTAAGCCAATAGTATGTACGCTATAATCAGATCTAAACAAGACCATCATATCAATTTCACCTCAATCTCATAGGCCAAGTCACTTGCCGAATCCTTCCCGGGTATCAAGAAACTAGACAACCATCAAGGTTGGCTATCCCAGACAACGCTTGAAATCACATAAACGCCTATGCCAATAAACCGTTCTCATCGCATTACTCATGTTCATAGGTCCAGAGTGGTGGATCCGTTCCAGCCCGTTCATACTTACGCCGCACCATGTCCTTCAAGTACTTCACTCGCTCTATAACCTCTGCAGAAGATCGTTCATGACACACGGAAGCGAGCACCTGATAATCCGGGCGCCGCGAACTCCTGATAGTTCTGAGCAGTCGATCATCTTCCCAGTAGTACCATCCATGCTTTTCAAAGTACTGGGCCTCTTCTTCTCGGCTGAGTCGTGGCGCATCGGGGTGCGATTGACTCCCCGTTTGCGCCGGTCGATGCGATGTTGTTCGTGAAGAACTTGTTCCTTGTGTCGGTCGGTGCGATATCTGTCGTGAAGAATTCTTCCTTTGCGTCGACTCAATGAAGAGCTGCATCTGCCGGGCCTGGACCTCTTTTGCTTGCTGCAGCTTCTTCTCGCGCTCCCGTTGCACCAACCGGTCATTCTCGATTGCCTTCTTGAGCTTTTCAGGCTCGTTCTGGATTTCTTCGATTCGCTTGAGGGCTTTATCGATTTCCTCCTTCACTGCCTCGACAGCGAAATACAGCCCCCCCCAAGCCTCTTTCCTCTCCATCCAAGCTTCTACCTCTTTCTCCCAATCCTCCTCATTCTCAGCCGGCTTAGGTGGGTTGAGTTCAGACCAGTTCCTCAGAGCCGCGCAGAGCCTCCGAATCCAGCCTGAGATCCGTAACAGCAACTGCAGGGTCAATAGTGTAAACTCGCCAGTATGATTGACAGCTTGGTGCAGTTGGGTATCCGGGATATCACACCCAGCAAGGAACGCGTCTCTCAGCAACCATACGAGCATTGGGAGGATGCACCTGTGCAACTTGTCAACGATCCGACGATTGTTGAGTTGTTTGGCTGGAGCATCGTGACCAGGGCCCGGCTGCTTCACAATGGTCTTAACATATAGCTCGATGCGGCCACCAGTCTTGGTGATGAGCCGATTGAATTGAGCCTCGTGCTCACGGAAGTACTCGTTCTGTTCATCCAGTCGCGGTGGTCGGGGGACTTTATGGCACAGTTTCCATAGGTCATAGACGCGGGCAAGAATAGCCTTGGATGGTGGAAAGGGCCTCGAGTCCTTAAGAGCTTCTTTAAAGTCTCTCTTGGCAGATGCTGCGTCCAACTTTGCGTCTTTGTCCCATTTCCTTTTACCCATCCAACCTGATGAGGACATGATGGTGACAAGCCTTTGCACCACCTTGCCCTGGATCTTGGCTGTCACGGCTGTCTCGTTTTCCTTGGGTGGTTCGATCAGCAGAGAGTCTTCAACGCAGCTCGCATCATTCTCCGGCTCGGGTTCATCCTCTGACTCAACATCATTCCCCGATTCGTGCTCTGTCGCAGGCAGCTCTGATGGCTCCTCATCTGCCTCGGAATTATCATCAGCGTATGAATAGTCTTGCTCTTCAGCAACAGTGTTCTCTGCAACATCCCTCCTTCCTTTAGGTGACCGTGTTGCTTGAGATTGAGTTCCTCCTTTCTTCGCCGCTTGAGCTGCCGCTGTAGACGTCTGTCCCTGTTTCTCTCCTTGCGGTTTTTTTTGGTGGTTTTCCTCGTCGTCTCCCGCAAATTCATACAAAGCATTTTCCTGGGCCTGGCTAAGTAGAGGTTGTTTCGACTTGGAAGGCTTCCTAACTTGAGATCTCGGAGGATCTGAGCCTAGGACCGGTGATGCAGCCCTATGTACTTGATAATCGGGCTCACCAAAGGTTGCTTTTCGACTCTGCCGTCGCTTTTTTCGTTTCCCTGACTGGGAAGGTTCCGGTTGCGGAGGATCTGGCCTCGACTCAGGGTTGTCTTGCTCCGCAGGTTCGGGTTGCTCCACAGACGCAAGCTGTTCTGCTGGTGTACATAGTTCCTCCTGATCCTCAGCCTGTGCTGGAGCCTCATCCACAACCTCGACACCTTTATCAGCCTGCGAGTCTTCAATTTCAGCCTCAACCTCGATCACGTCGCCATTCTCAACCTCAGCATCATCCGCAGCCTCGGTCTCAACTTCAATCACATCCCCATTGTCTTCTTGTGATACCTGCACAACAATTCCAGTCCGGCCCTCGTTCTCGGAATGGTACTCAGCGCTGTCATCAGGTCGAAGCTTGGGCAATTTGTGAATCTGCTCGGTATCCGGGAGGATGGTCTTATTGATGTTCTTGAAAAAGTCTTGTCCTGGGGGAGCCGATTCGTCATCGTCATCATCCTCCACTCGATCATGGTTCTGCGAGAGTTGTTCTTCCTCCTCAGCCCCTTCAGCATCATCACTATGCTGGCGTTTCACAGGTTCGTCCTCGGATTCGCCAATAGTGCGCCGGCGCTTCCTCCTAGGGGTGCTCAATTTCTCGAAGGGTTGATTGTCTGGATGCGACCGTGTCTGACGGCGTTGGCTCGAAGGGGGCTCCTCAGAAGCTTTCGATTTTCGAGGCGGTCGCCCACGTGGGCGTGTGCTGGATTCGGAGACATCGCTTCTTATTGGCGTCATAGTAGTCGTAGAAGCACGAGATCTTCCCCGTCTTTTTGGCTCGGGCATAGAGACGGGGCCTGCCGCCTTGCCCTGAGATCGCAGGCGAGCCATGATGGTGGTTTGTTATTCCGGAGGTTGGGGTGCAAGTGTGCGACGACCGGTCGCACAACGTTGGCGACAATCCGGGACACTTCTGCAGGTTCGCGACGCTTGCTAATAAATGTTTGTTCAATGGGAATCGGATCGAATATGGGCGGCGGGTCTGGTTTTGTCGTTGTCAGAGCTTCTTTGTCGTGAATTATCTGGGGAGAGTTGCTTGGCAGTGGATGGCCGAGGACCTGTCGCGTCTAAGCGCGTTAAAAGGTGGGGCAAGTCTGAAGCTCAAGCTCAGGGTGCAACAGATGACATCAACTTGATGAGCTTCCAAAGAAGGAAGAAACACCGTAGAACTTGGGATGATATTGACTTGGTTAAATTTCACTATTAATACTTTTGTCGGTCTTTGGGGATTTATTTCGCATTCAGCGCGTGGAAAGCTACCTCCCCCGACCTGGAGCTCTCAAGGTCGCAGAGCTGACTAAATTCGGGCATCCACCATCACCAGCTCTTGGTCTCCAACCTGGCACTTACACACATCCACCTTTTAGCTTCCATCACACCATTTAGAAGACGAAACCCTCGAGGCTTCATCCTTTTCTTTCGCCAACATACAGCAGGCTTCTTGAGGTCAGTCCGCCATCACAGGGCATCAGCTCAAGATGACGTCCACTTCCCCTCCAAAACCCCCCACTCTAGAGGTCCTGGATCTCAGCTCCCCGCCATCCTTCACCAAGCCCTCGAAGCGCATCCACGAGGGCACCGACGTCGCCCGCTTCCTCACCAGCCTCGCCTACCGCGACATCGGCATCTTCATCCTCCAGCTCAACCACGCCCTCTGTCCCCGCAACCAACCGTCGTCACCCCGCCCCCGCACATTCCCCCTCACCTCCAAGCCGCCGACATCGCCGTCCATCCAAGCTCTCCAGATTCTACTATCCAGGATCGAACGCTTCATCGACGCTGCTCCTCCCGACCCGGGTCCTCGAAGATTCGGAAACGTGAGCTTTCGCAAGTGGTACGCGATTCTCGAGAAACACTTGAACGAGCTGCTTGGAGAAGGAATACTCGGCGAAACACTAAAGGTTGGCGATGGTGCAGCGTTGGAGGAGGTTTCCAGCTACCTTCTTGGCGGATTTGGAAGCGTACAGCGACTAGACTACGGAACAGGACATGAACTCAGTTTCGTTGCCTTTCTTGGGTGTCTATGGAAACTGGGCTACTTCAAGGATCAAAATCCTAGGGGTGAGATCGAACGGGAAATCGTTCTCAACGTTATCGAACCGTATGGTCCCTTCCCAACTCTACCTTGGTTCGCACTAACACAAACAGATATCTGAGGGTGGTAAGGAAGCTCATCTTGACATATACCCTCGAACCCGCTGGCTCTCATGGCGTCTGGGGCCTCGATGATCACTCCTTTATGCCCTACATCTTTGGCTCTGCGCAACTCGCGCGGCCCATAAACGACACCGAACCCATGCCTACCGAAGGCTCAGTCAAGGGCGCCCCGAAGCCGAGCGATGTTACCAAGGCCACTGTGGTCGAGGACCAGCGCCAGGTCAACATGTACTTTTCCGCCATCGGCTTCATCAACGATGTCAAGAAGGGTCCGTTCTGGGAGCACAGTCCCATCTTGTTCGACATTTCTGGCATCCGCGACGGCTGGGGCAAGATCAACAAGGGCATGATCAAGATGTTCAACGCCGAGGTGCTGTCCAAGTTCCCTGTTGTCCAGCACTTCCCCTTTGGCTCGCTGTTCTCGTGGGAGATCGATCCAGAGGCGGCGACCCCAACCCAGAGTGTTCACATGGCGAATCAGCCTACACAAATGCCACATGTACAACCATCTGGAGTTGGAACAGCTGCACCGTGGGCTCAGGCTACGAGAATGCCAGCACCAACAGGTCCAGGTATTCCGTATTCCCGAATGCCGCCGCCGGGACCCAGCTCCGGCTCCCTTGCAAGATCTCATCAAGGCGGAGCACCAAAGTCAGAATCTACAAGCGGGCAAATCACGATGACCAAAGCGCCTTGGGCAAGGGATGGGTAGCCAACCCATAGGAACTTCAACATGGTTTAGACACGGTTATTTAGGCGCACATTATGGATTCAACGGACTTGGAGAGCATGGAGAGTGTTTGTGCATTAGATATAAAAAGCAGGGTATAGATTTGAAAAAAACATGTCGCGACACTTCTCCCTCCGGGGTATCCAGCCAGCTGCTAGAACAAAAAGGAAACATCTAAGCAAGCCGAGACTACTAAGTAACTAGGAAATCCATCTCTAAGGCAGCCGCCATCGACCAGATGCGGGAGTGCAGTCTGCTCGATTCAGCATGGCCGCTGTCGTTGAGGTAAAAGCAAGATAGATGTCTCCATCTGGCAGCATTAAAAAAGAGCAATCATAAGGGGGCATTTAAGAGGCGGCAGCAGGAGCGGGAGCGGGAGCTGGCGGGTCGGCATCCTTCTTCTCCTCCTTAGGGGCCTCGGCGGCGGGAGCAGCCTCGGTGGGAGCAGGAGCAGGAGCGGGGACGGCAGCCGGAGCGGGAGCGGGAGTCTCAACGGCCGGAGCAACGGCCGGAGCAGCGGCCGGGGCAGCGACTGGGGCGGGCTCCGTCTTGGCGGGCTCGGCAGCGGGAGCGGCTTCGGTGGTCGGGGCAGCGGCCGGAGCAGCAGGTTCAGTAGCAGGTGCTGAAAAATTATTAGCATATCATCCATGACAACGTAAATATTGCCGTTTCGCAGGTAAACGTACCAGGAGCAGCCTCCTCTGTCTTGGCAGCGTCGGTAGCAGCAGCAGGAGCCTCTGGCTTTGTCTCGGCCTCGGGCTTGGCCTCCTCCTTGGCGGGCTCAGTAACGGGGGCGGCGGGCTCAGCTGTAACGCAGAAGAGTTAGAAAGAAGCAGTCAAGACGAGAGCCGCATCTAGCAGCATCTCAGATCATCAAACGTACTGGCTGGGGCTGGGGGAGCAGCAGCCTCAGTCTTGGTGGGCTCGGTGGTAGTCTCGGTAGGCTTGCTCTCGGCGGCAGGCTCCTTCTCGCTCTTCTTCTTGAAGGCGGCCTTGAGCTTGGCCTTGAGGTTGTCGAGGGCGTGGAGAGCTGTTAAGGGTGTTGTCAGTAGAGCTGCCTTGGTGGTGCCTTGGGAGGAGCGCTATCGGAGGTGTGCGCAAGGCATCGCAAGAGGAAAGCTCACGGATTCCGGGCATGATGACGGATTTCGAGGCGGAGATGGATTCAAAGGTGAGATTCTACAGATAAGTAATCGTCAGCTACCGACCGAGATCTTTTCATACAGTTGTCAGGTCAGCTCCAGCAGCATGACAAGCTTGGCCAGCACCAACTAACAGAGCCCATAGAGTACAAGCTCAAGGTGAATGCTGTACCACTTTGCATACGTACCAGATAGAGCTCAGAGAAGCGAACCTGACAGATGTAGGAGGCGATGACTTTAGCAGCAGAACGAAGCTGTGTGAAGGATGGAAGTTGGGGAGGGGAAAGAAAGAGGTCGAGATGGGGGGTGGAGATGAATCCGAGTCCTGATTAACGCCTGGGGCTTTTTGCCGTTTCTGGGTCGTGTTACGGGGTCCCTCACCCCCCCAACAGCAAGCGGGAGATGAAACTCGTGCAAACACAAAGTACCTAACACAGCACAAGAAAAAAATACAGAAGGGTTCCCTCCCTGGGGCAGTGAGTGACATGCAATCTCGACTGAAAGCACGCAGTGCGGGTGGTCTAATCTGAGGCGGGAAGCTCTGGGCCACTGATAAATTAAGCCTTTCCAGGGGTGATGCCAAGTTCGAGACCATCAACGCCAGGGGGGGTTCCACATCGCCCTGCAGCTCTTCTCTGTCTGTGACGGATGAAATAATTATAGCAGCAAGGACCCCTGAAGAAAGGATCATGATTCACACAGAGTGTCCAGGGATGGATGAAGACCGTAATCTTGCGAACCCAACGTGTCCTTATTATCACTCTTGAACTGTCAAGGCCTTGAAATGAATCAAGGGATGGGGATGGATAAACCGAAACCGAGACTGCGGCAGATGGTGAATCAAAGGGATGGGGGGAAAGACTGTAAACACCTGGCACACCCCCGGTCTTGTGACCCGTTAGTGCTCTGCCGGCTCGAGATACCACCGTCGCTAACACTTGTCGCTGACGACAGCGTGCATCTCTCAACGACCCACCACATTTTGACGCGCAACGAGGATGCTGTGCAGGAGGGGACATGAGAAGGTGTCAATGCCAATGCCCGTATCAAAATATCGTCAATGATACAAAGCATCGTCACCCACCAAGTCTCCCCCCTCTCATCTGATCCCTTTTCGTGCTCTTTACCTGTTCTAGACTTCATTCCCTAGGATCACCAAAGTCACAGCCTATCAGACCCTTCTCCACCAGTTAAGCTTTCCCAAGCTTTTCTTTGTCGAGCTGCTTTTTTCGTGGGGGCGGCATATCCATTTGGTGACGGCACTAAAAAGAAACCTACCCGCCCGATGCTAAACAACGGAACGTAGTCGAATGCCAAACCGACGGAACCTTCCATTGCTGTCTTACATGGTGAATATCAGGTTTTTACATGTCGCTCTAGAAGAGCCAAAAATGTTCTAGATCACGCCCGTATCCTCTCTGCCAACCACTCCTCCACAACCCCCTCCCCCTTCTCATCCATCTCCAACGTCCCCCTCTCCTCCCCAGCTTCCTCAACCTTGACTCGCCGGTCCCCTTCATCCTCCCACATGTGAATCTCATCATCCCAGAGACCCCTCTCCTTGAGCTCAACCCTTTCAATGCTCCGGTGCATCATCTCGGCCAGCTCCCGAGCCTGTACCTCCAAACAGTTCCACCAGGGCCTCGCCCCCTTGGGCCGCCCTGGCTTGTTGGAGCGCTGCGGCAGAGGCGGGGAGTCGTACAGCAGCAGGGTCTCGGGGATTTTGAGCGTCGACTTGCGGGGTGGGAACACCAGCCGAGACTTGCGCGGCGCCTTTTCCGGGACAGCTGGCGCGGCGTCTGGGTTTGTCAGGGCCTCGATCCACGCGGCGTCGTCTTCCGACATGTTGTAGGACGAGGGGATGTTGAGACCCGGGTTGTGGAAGAACAGGCTCGGGCTGGCAAAGGGGTCAAACAGGTCGCTGGTCGACTGGAAGAAAACCGGCAGATGCTCCTGGAGGTAGTGCATGTATGCGCTCCCCTGCGGCTTGTAGATGAACCCCGTGCCCTTGGATCGCCAGGTGGTCTTGTTCACCGGGTGGTCGGGGAGGAACATGGTCCAGTTGTAGATGCCGTTGTACAACACAGCACCTCGAACCCCGAAAGGCTTGTGCGGCTGCGACTCTGTTAGAGCGAGCGAGGTAGCTAGGCTCGCGCCCAGGTGAGATCCGTAGACGTAAATATCACGCCGCTGAATGCCTTCGGGTGCGAGGTTCTCGATGAGCCAGGAGTAGGCAAACGCAGTGTCGTGAACTGGCGTTGGCCAGAGACCCTCTGTAGAAGGCATCTGCGTCAATCCAGGGTCAAACGAGTTCCAACGATAGTTGATGCTAGCAACAGGTTTCCCTTGAAGGAAGTTGGGTAATTGAGGATATTGTCCATTGCTAGTAGGAAATGGGGGTAGATGAATGAAGAGGGGAGATTGTGGATGATGCTCAGCAACATTGATGAGGCTATCATGGATCAGTCAGTTACGTTGTTTACACAGATCAAGGAGGATTCTCACTCTATGTTGACATAGCCCGCTGAGCCAGTTCTGACCCTAACCCGCTCATGACTCTGAGAGCTAAACGGCCTCCGCGACGGCCCAGCACAAACCTTGATGAGGCGGTTACGGGTAGCACGGAAGACGCGGAGAAGGCATGCTGGCATACTGCAACCGCATACCCGGGGCACTGGCGGCACGGAAACGCGTCTCTAGTCCGAGATCTAGAGTTTCTGTATAGAACGGAATTAGCCATGTGAAAAGGGGGGTCGTAAGGACGCGACTTATACGCTGAATGTGAGAGATGGCTGAGAGAATAGTCATGTATGAGGTTGACTCGACAACCTCTCCAAGGGCCCTTGAGTTCAGAATCCTAATGAAGTATGCATATAAAACTATGCAGAGAGATTAAAGAAAGTAATCGGCCATACAGCCAAGTTGCTTTAATCGTGAAAAGGATACTGATAGGGCGAGGAGCCGATGTAGGAACAAAATCGAGGTGAGTGGGGAGAATTAATTCAATTGGACAACACAAAATATGGGGCAGCCAAGTTTCTTGGAAGATCACCCTATCTCGATCGACAAGAAGCTCTAGGGTCAGCAGGGGCGTCAGTGCCAAAAAAGCTTGAATTCCATCCGATAATTCCAGCACCTAAGATGAAAGTATCTCTTTCGTACCGACATGATTCAAAACTCGTGATGCCGTCTTTTCCCTCTCATCCGCCGTTACCGCTTCTCTTCCTTTTACGAATCTTTTGGTAAGCCTTTACAAGGTCTTGGTAAACAATGACGAGAAAGTAGCTCCAACGGCAAGGGAAACTGAATTCGGAAAAGCCGCATATCATCTAAAGAAGCTAGTAAACCCGTCTAATGAGACAACCAACCTTTGAAGGACATAAAAAAGACGTCATCGTCCGCGTGTTTTCCCCATGCCAAGATTCCTCAACCCCGTTCAACTTGGACCCTTGATCCATCGCCAAGACCTTTCAAGATCCCAATTGCAACTCTTTAAAGTACGCAATCATCTTTTGTATCATCTGTGCACTCGCATTTCATTTTAACATCTGAAATCGATGGATGCATCTTGCCGCATATGTATCATCTGATCGCACCTCACACCACCGAGTAGCCTCACAACAGACTCCATGGACGACGGCAACTTGGGAGACACTATTCAAGATGAGACCGAGGTCATTGAAGAGTCTGTCGCGTATGAGACGCGGATGGCAAATGACGATGCCCATCTGGCTCCAAGGTGAGCCCATCAGCTCATAGTTACTTCACGTATACTAACATCACCAGCCGCTGGTGGTTTGCCTCTTCGGCATTCCCCATGATCGCCGGCACCCTTGGTCCCGTCGCCTCGGCCTTCAGTATCTGCGCCCTCGTTCGGCCATGGAGACAGCAGCTCGCGCCTGGCGAGGATGTTGACAACGCGGTCTACGTTACTGACCCCCCATGGTTGACCATCATCAATGCCATCCAGCTCCTCATGGCCATCATCTCAAACGTGTTTCTCCTCCTCAACATGGCCAGACGCGTTCGCTTCACCATTGCCCAGCCTATTACCATCGTCGGCTGGTACATCTCGGCCATTCTCCTCATCTCCCTCCTCGCCACGGCCTCGGGGCCACTCACTGATGGCCTCAAGTTTAACAAGGACGAGCTCATCTGGTCACAGGCCTTTTACTATGGCATGTGGGCTGCCATCCTCTACTTCGTTGATGCATCGCTTATGACTGTGACCTTCTATGGCGCCTGGACTCGTCACTATGGCAAGGACTTTAACCTCACGCCCAGTCAACGCACCCTCATGCTCCAGACCATCATGTTCCTCATGTACCTACTCATCGGCGCCCTTGTCTTTTCAAACATTGAAGGCTGGAACTATCTCGACGCCGTATACTGGGCCGATGTGACTCTCTTCACCGTTGGCTTTGGCGACTTCACCCCAGATACAAACCTAGGCCGTGCCCTCATGATGCCATACGCCCTCATCGGCGTCATCAGTCTCGGTCTGGTTATCGGCTCTATTCGAAGCCTCGTCCTCGAACGTGGAAAACGACAAGTCGATGCTCGAATGGAAGAGAAGAAGCGTCGGAGAATGGTCCGAAGCATGACAAAGAAAGGCGACGACGATATTCTGGAGCCCATCCGGGAACCACACCGCGCCGACTCCGAGTTTTCCAGCAAACTCCCAGCAACAGAGTATGAACGCCGCAAGGTCGAGTTCGACCTCATGCGCAAGATCCAGGCTCAGACATCATCCCGTCGTCGCTGGATGGCCATGGCCATATCTACAGGTTCATGGCTCATCCTGTGGCTTCTGGGCGCCTTCATCTTTGTCAAGTGCGAAAAGCCGTACCAGGGCTGGGTGTACTTTGACGGCTTCTATTTCTGCTTTGTCTCTCTCACCACAATCGGCTACGGCGACATGACCCCCAAATCCAACGCGGGCAAGTCGTTCTTTGTCTTTTGGTCCCTCCTCGCGTTGCCGACCATGACAGTTCTCATCTCAAATGCTGGAGATACTGTTGTCAAGCTCATCCGTGATAGCACACTACGACTCGGAAACGTCACCATCCTCCCCGGCGAGGGCAACTTTTCCGGTGATCTCAAGTACATCATCCACAAGGCCACGTTTGGAAGGATATTCCCAGATCACAGGAATCCTCCAGCACCTGCGGACCTCAAGAAACACCAGTCAACTCAAAGTAATACCACCCAACACATAAGCGACACCTTAATCAAAACAGAAGAACAAAATCATGGACAAGACCCACGCGGTCGCTCTCGCCACTCAAACATTGACCGAGACTCTTCCCCCCGACGGATAGGCCACCAACGCACAAACTCAACCTTTACCTCTCAAGTCCGTCGGTCCCTCTCCCGTCTGCGAGACGCCAAAGATGAACTTCCCACCGGAACGGACTTTCACTTCCTCCTCATCTCCGAGATACAAGTTCTCGCTGGCCATTTAAAATCCCACAAACCTCATCACTACAGCTTTGAGCAGTGGGCGTGGTACCTTAAGCTCATGGGCGAAGACGAAGGCAACGCCGATACGCACCGCAAAGCACAGCCAAAGAGCGGGCATAGGCATCACCACCATCACCATCATCATGGGCGCGGTAGGAGTCCGCAACGAGGTGGTTACGGCTCGCCAGATAGAAATGACGAGGATAGTCCAGAGTCGGAAGAGGCCATGGCTTGGTCTTGGGTGGGCAACCGTAGTCCGCTCATGGGAAGTCAGGAAGAAACAGAGTGGATTCTCGAAAGACTCATGGACAGGCTGCGCGAGTCCTTGTCAGCAGAGGGAAGACGACAGTTGAGAGCTGAAACTAGAGCTTTAGGAGCTGGTCATCATCGTCCAGCCAATGGTTCACACCATGATGGACACAACCACGGACACAATCACGAGGACAGGGAAAAGGCGCACTGATATGCGGGTGATTTGAATCACAGGTTGACTCTTCAAGGGGCACGGCGTTGATTTATTGTACATGTTTGCATATAGCCGGTGTAATTTGGTCAGGTTCACGAGACACGAGTTAACAAGTTGCTGTTGATCGTGTGCAACTTCGAGGTCAGAGCCTCAAAGCACACAATGTGTCATATTCATTCCTTATAGCTCTAGGCTTCCAAGTAACAGATCTAGCCCTTCTGCTACTATTCCGTATTCATACATGGATACTCGTACAACATAACTAACGACACATCGTCACCGCGAGTGTCAATCCCTGCTTGTTCCGTAGATTTCGTACAATGGCGATAGAGTATCGCCCATCTTCATCTCATAATTCCATGCTCCGAAAGCTCACTATTCATAGCCGCTGCTCAGTTGCTGTTTCCAAGAAGCAGCCGCCTGTTACGTCGGATGACTTGGTTCAGTCCCTTCTCCAGCTTCTCCGTCTCACGACGAGCAGCCGCAAGGGCGCCCTCAGCATCCTCGACGCTCATCAGGGGCATGCCACTAACACCCATGCCAAAGTTCTTGCCACGCTCCTCGCTCGACATACCGGCCGAGCTAAAGTCTTGCATCGCTCGGGCTCCATCAGGTGGTGTGTAGATGCCAACGCCAGCAGCAGCATCAGGCCCGTAGAAGTAGGGCGCCAGAGAGTTGAGGCTCGCAGCAGCCGCGTCCTTGGTAGGAGATGCCCCCTTAGGGAATCCCATGTTGGTGGCCCCTAGGTTGAGGCGAGGGAGGACGTACTGGTTGATGTAGCTGAGCGCATCCTCACGTTGAAGCTTCCCAATAGGATCCTGCGACTGAGGTTGAGCGGTGGCAGGGAAAATGTTGGGTCGACCGTTGGGAACGGCTCGGCCCTTGATCAGAGAAAAGGCGCCGCTTCCTGGCTGATGTCGAGGAGCGATGAAGGCTCCTGGGTTCTCCGCTGTAGCGGCGATAGCAGCCTGGAGCTCAAGGAAAGCATCCTCCTCTTCAGGGGTAAGACCACGGATGCAGTCTCCGTTGGGGGTGATGAGCATCCGGCTGCCATCCACGTGGAACTGCTTGCGAACAGGCTTTCCAGCGCGCAGAGCTGCCAGATCTTCATCCTGAATCTCACCACACTTGCAAGAGCAGTCCTTGCAATGGCCAGCCTTGTTGGCGTTGCTGTTGGCAGAGTTGGGATCAGTGCGGGATGAGCTGCCTGAGATAGGCTTGAGTAGGTGCAACTTGTCGATGCTTGAGGACCACAGGGCATTCTTGATCTCTGTAAACACAGAAGGGGGGCCTGGCTGTGGCTTCTCTGGCACTTCAGGGGTCTCAGGCTCAGTCGTAGCAGGCTCCTGGGGAGGTGACTGCGGCGTAGGAGCCAACTCTAACTCAACCTCCTTTGCCTTGCCTTTGCCCTTGGCAGCCTTCTTCTGAGCAGCCTTGCTCTTGACGGGCTTCTCTTCCGGCTCCTTCTCCTTGGGTTGCTCTGGCACAGAAGGCTCTGTAGGAGTGGGCTCAGCCTTGGCTGGCTCCTGGACAGGTGTCGCAGGACTGGGCTGGGGTGTCTTGACAGGCTTCTCCTTCTTCTGCTTCTTCTTTCGTCCAAGGACCGGTGCATGCTCCTCCGGTTCCTTCGGGGCTTCAGCAATGAGCTTGGTCTCCTGCTTCAAGGCATCCTTGCGCTGCTTTCTTTGCTGGCTCTTGGTCGTCGTTCTCACCGCCGCAGATCCAATCCTGCTTGGAGGTGGAGAGCTTGCGCGGGAATGGGTCACAGAGGCCGAAATCACCGAGGCGGTGTCACTAACCATCTCGCTGACTGGTGTTTCGGGTCTGTAAGAAGCCGAGATGACTCTAGATGTCGCCGACAATGCGACTGAGGCCATCGTCAAGGCAGGGGAAGCTGGCGCGGGGGCCTCTACTCTTTGCGTAGGAACGACACGCAACGTCTTGGGTGCAGTGCGAGTAATAGGGGATGAAATACCGGCGGCGGCAGGGGTAGGGAGAGGTGGGAAAGCAGCAGAGAGTTCTGCCGTCGACTTCTCAGTTGTTGCCGATGACTCCCCAGCCTTGGAGGGCGAAGCTCCTGGGGTCCGAGTATCAATAGAAACAGGCTTCTTCTCGGCCGTTTTGGCGATTTGCGCCGGCTTCACATCCTGACTCTTGGTCTCCAGGCTAGACCCGGCCTTTGCCAGAAGCTTGTCGACAATCTTCTCTGCCTGTCTCTTAGCCTTGGGGGTTGCCTTTGGTGTCGGTGTGCTAGGCCGATCCTTATTCTTCAGTGCATCCAAAGCCGGGAAGTCCTCGTCTTGCAAGGCGGTTCCCTTCATCTGCTTAGTTTGCGACTGTGCCGTGATCTCCTTTGACAAGCCACTCTCGACCGCAAGAGACTTAAGGTTCTTCTTGGCTTCGGAGCTTGGCGTGACTGGCTTTCGGGGCGAGTGTTCCGGAGTCAAGGCACCCTGTGGGAATCCTGGAGGTGGAACCTTGGGCAGGGCAGGGACAACGTGGTGAAGTCTCGAGGAGCCAGGGGTAGACGGGGGCCTGGAGATGTTCGTAGGTAGACCTGGCGGAAGGGCTAGGCCTGGGGGTACTGAACGGCGTCCATCCAACTCCGTGATGGGATCATCTGCGACCAGCGCATCAACTGAATTCCTGGCCTCGTCGAGAGAGGGTAGCTCGTCATCTGTTCAAACGACTGTTAGCATAATGCCCAACTAATCGCTCGAGATGAACCAAGAAAACAAGACACCAAGACTACGACACCACAGCTTCTTATGTACAGGATATTAGGGGAGCAGTATTCATACTACGGCATCCACCATCGTCTTCCACGGGGGGACAACGAGTATAAAGGGCAGCTTGGAGAGAATAGAGGGTATATGCTATTTCTGACCAAAGGTAACCGCCAAGCCTAGGCGGGCGGTTTCGACATTGTTAACATACATAAGGGCTTGTGGAAGACGATGATGGCTTGCCTGACCTGAACCCTCATGCGCGCGTGGTCGTTGATGGACCTGCCGAAAAACTCGGAGGGGAGAGACCCCATGGGGTGCTCTCGATGTGTCCTCCTTTTCCCCCAAAGAACGAAGATGACGCCTGATGCAAAGCTGGCCTTCTGCGCAGCGTTGATCTCGCAAACTGCCTGCTGAATCAAAATGCGCTTGTGACTGACTTGTGTCCCCCCGAGGAAGATGAAAGGCAACCTTTTGGCCTCATCCCTGAAATGCCCAAGAACGCCTCCCCTGTACATGAAGAAAAAGGGCCAGAAACAATAAGACCTGGCCCGTTATCCAGCCTCCCTGAATCGTGATGGCTCCAAAAAGCAAACAATAACATTACCACCTCGTGAAGCCGGCGTTATACATCATGTTGTACCCACCTTGACTCTGACCTCCAAACAAGCCCTGTCCAACTCCGGCGTTGCCCTGAGACTGGTGCTGCATTCGCGCCTGCAGGATACTCGGGTCTGCAAGATCTACTAAACCACTCCCCCCAGAGGAGGAAGTGTTAGCATGTCTGTGCTTCTTCCCCTTCTTCTTCTGCTTGGAACCCATGTCTTGGAATGCTCCGGGCTGGTTACCGTAGAGCGACGCCGGATGGCCGGAAGCAGGAGCTGGGGTGGAGGTAGAGGATGGTGGGTACTGGTTTGAAAAAGAAGAGATCAGGTACTCACGCTTTCCCGCATCATGGGCCTGGTTATTGCCTGCCCCCCTGCGGTTGATCAAACTTTGAAGAAGCTCAGTCGAGTTGTCCTTGGGTGCACCTCCAAATCCACCACCAAACTGGCCAAACATGCTAGGAGGAGTGCCAGTTGACTTGAGGCCAGGGGGAGGTCCTGGCATCGAGGTGCCATAGAACTGGTTGTTACCCTGGGACTGGAACGAGTTGGGCATCATGGACGACTGCTGAGCCATGATGCGCGGGTTAGCAGCAAGCTTGACATTGGTAGCCGAGCTGGCATTGTCATTGGCAAAGCTAAATCGGGAAGATTGGCGGTTGTGACCTTGTCCCTGAAAGGTGCTGCCTTGTCCTTGGTTGGAGATGCCAGGAGGGACATCGTTGAATCCGCTCTGGGATCGAAGGAAGAGTTGTTGAGGTGTCATGGACCGCGAGCCTGGGTTGCCTGAGCTTTGGTTAAAATTGGGTCCAGTCAGGGCAGGTCCAAATATACCATCGGTCGTACTTCGTTGGATAGGAGGCTGAGTGCTGGGCCGACGATCAAAGCCTCGGCTGTCAGCAGTTGTGTCGCGATCCTCTGGTTCACCTCCAAGGGCCAAGCTTCCACCCGTCTCAGGTTCTCCCTCTGAAGGCTCGCGAGCCTCGGCAGCCTCCTCTTGCTCTCCGGTTAAACGGGAGTCCTCCTCCTCGCGCATAGCCTTGCGCTTTTCACCACCACGGACGTCGAACAAGGGTGGGCCGAGATCGTCTGAATCGGGGTCAACAACACGAGGAAGAGAGCAACTCTGCAGCGCCTTCAAAAGGGCCTTGAGGGTGCTCTCGGGGAGTCCCTTGGTTTCTTTGATTGGCTCAGGCGTAGGCTCAGGCTCCTTCGGCTTGCTGACTATCGATGGGCCAGCTTCGGGCTCCTGGGTATCCTCCACTGCCTCCTCCGGAACAGCCTCTGCGGTAACAGGCAACGACATCGAAACAGCAGGGCTGGACGCAGCACCACTAGTAGCGTGGCTACCCCTACGGCTTCGCTGAGGATTCCGCGCCCAGTTGGCAGATGACGGGAGTGCCGATCCATCGACGCCATTCTCCGACCCTTCCTTACTAACAGAGCGAGTCATGGGATGGGATACGACGGGTGGCGGCGTGGGTTGAGGGGCCTGCTGTCGAGAGGCAGACCTCGAGGACCCACCGCCAGGTAAAGGCCGCTGAGTGTGGATGCTGTTCATGGACGACAGGTCTTGTCTCGAATAGCTATCCTCCTCGTCACCTTGTTCGTGCAAGAACATGCATCCAGGGTTGCCGCATTTCTCGTTCTTGAGCCAAGCAGAGCAGTATTTGGTCGTGCCATGCTGGGCCTTGAGAATTCGGTCACCGTTCTGAGAACCGTGGACGGCCTGGATGCAACGTGTCGCTTCTTCGGGGCGCTCAAACGTCACGTAAATGCCGAGCGACTGGTGTTGGCCATCCGAGCTCTTTCGGTTACTAATCGAAATCTTCTGGATGTTGCCGTACTGGCCGAAGAATTCGGGCTTTCGCAACGTCTTGAGTAGTTCGTCTTCGCGCACGGTGGGGGCGAGGCCTGTGATATAGACCAAGTTCTTCTGCACGACGCGCACTCCGATGAGATTCTTACGGTTCTCCTTCTCGGCCTCGCGTTTCTGTACTTCCTTCTGTCGTTGTTCTTGAGCTCGCTTCTTTTGGTTCTTTTGTATGTTGGCACGGAACTCGGCGACCCTGTAATCACTAGTCAGCGTGGCGAGGCCCAAGCGGCGGGCGGCGACGTACTCTTCCTGCGTCACGACTTTCCACTGTATGGTCTTCTCATCGTAGGGTCGTCGACACGCGGGACATAGCCCATTCATATTATTCTTGATGTTGTTGAAGCAGAACTGGCAGACCTGCGAATAGGGTTAGCCATGTGGCCACTTGACGAGGGAGGATAGATGGCGGGGATGATTCGATCGCACCTGGTAGCCGCAAGGACATGGTCGAAAATTCCTATCGGAGAGATCAAACTCCTCGATACAAAGAGGGCTGTCAAGGGTGTCAGCTCAGGTACCCAACATTGCCCGAGGGCGCAGGGCCAGCGGTGCCAGCAGTCGAGCGCGCCCGGTGCACGCGTTGAAACTTACCAGGTATCCTCCTCCTCTTCTATGAAAGAATCTTGGGGCGCCATGGTGACAGTCTGAGATTAGGGGTGAAAGGTTGATGTGGGGAGGATTCAAAATACGATGCTGGAATTGTGAGGACGAGGAGAGGAACGATGTTCGGTATGCATCGAGGCTGCGGGAAGAGAAAGATCCAAAAGCGATCTAAGCCAATCTCGGCCTAGTGGCGATGGAAAATCACGTGAAAGAATCTCTGTCAGAGCGACAGGGACTTTGGGGACGTGCAATAGCCGGTTACCTTCAGTCTCCGGGCAACCCCGCCTGGCATCGAAGTACCCGTATATGTCCGGCAGAACGCCGGAAAATTCACGTCAAGGCTCAGCCGCTAGGATTCTCGAGCCAATACTTGCAGCATCATTACCAACACCAAAAGGCATTTCGTCTCGAGGACCTCTCCCATCGTCAATTGGCCTCGAATCGTCACATCACCGGCCATGGCGACCACGATCTCTCGAAGCAGGGCCCTGGCCTCAGCTCTGCGGCCCGCGAATCCTTCCGTCCAGGCCTTCAACGGTCAAGCAATCCGCTGCTTGTCCAGCTCGGCTCGTCAATATGTCGCAATGCCGAAGGAGGCACCCAACATGCGAATGGCCCCCCGAGACCACATCGGCTCCCTCAAGGCGCCCATTGTCAACCCTGCCGACAAGTACCAAAGCAAGGCTGACAACATGCACCGATACGGTGCCTGGCTGATGGGTTGCCTGCCCAAGTACATCCAGCAGTTCTCCGTCTGGAAGGACGAGCTCACCATCTACATCTCGCCCTCGGGTGTTTACCCCGTCTTCAGCTTCCTGAAGTGTTGGTATCCCATCAATTGATAACAGGGAACCTGCTAAAACCGTTCAGACAACACCGCTGCCGAGTTCACCCAGGTCAGCACCGTCACTGCCGCCGACTACCCCACGCGAGAGAACCGATTCGAGATTGTCTACAACCTTCTCTCGGTCCGCCACAACTCCCGCATCCGTGTCAAGACCTACGCCGACGAGGCTTCCCCCGTGCCCAGCATTACCGGTCTCTTTGACGGTGCCAACTGGTACGAGCGAGAGGTCTACGATCTGTACGGAGTCTTCTTTGCCGGCCATCCCGATCTCCGACGAATCATGACCGACTACGGTTTTGAGGGTCACCCTCTGCGCAAGGACTTCCCCTTGACTGGTTACACCGAGATCCGATACGACGAGGAGAAGAAGCGTATCGTGACCGAGCCCCTTGAGCTTACCCAAGCCTTCCGCAACTTTGAGGGTGGATCCAGCGCCTGGGAGCCTGTCGGAGCCGGACAGGACCGCACACCCGAGTCGTTCAAGCTGCCGACACCCAAGCCGGAGGAGAAGAAGGAGGAGCCGAAGAAATAAAACGGGTATCCATATCCCAAGCTGTATAAGATGTCACTTGTTAGAAATATTACCTGGATTTGCATCAAATCAGATCAGACCACTCCTTTCTTGGTCCGCCGCCAAGTGAAGTGTCCACCGTCGACCGTCCACCGACCATGGACAAGAGCTTACTTAGCGGACAGGGTCCGGTATTAAACGACCGGGGACAAGATATGACCTCTTCGGTCCTCGCTAACCAAGCAGGCTAGAGGAATGTGCAAGTAGCGCATATGGGCCGAGGATTCCGCCACGCACCTGGGTGCGGGCAAGGCCATGATTGGTACTACATCGGGAGGCGAAGCTGACAATCATGATGCAGTATTCGCAATTGCACACGCCGGCAGAGTAGCACAACATGTCAGCTCTCATCATATTTCACTAGACGATTCTTCCGATGGATTCATGTCGCGCTACCCCTCCCTGCACCTCCCGAGCTTAATGGTCTGGTCTACCGATACATATATCCACCCTTGCCACCCATCTTTCCTCATCTTCTTTCCATCCATCCAGGAACACCACATCTCCTTTCGGTTCGGGTGGGCCCCCGATAACTCGATTCTACTTTTCAACTCACACTTCTTCACTTCACTTCTTTTTATCACCTTTAATCCCCTTTTTTTCCACAACCATGTCGGACAGCAGCGCAAACAGCAGTCCCATCAGCAGTCCCATCAAGACGAGACGATGCTCATCAACAGCATCCAGCGAGTCCTCACTCCGCGACTTGGAAACAGAATACCTAGCTCTCCGGGACGAACACCTGAGCTACGAAGACGACGCTGAGTTTCACATCTTTATCGATGCGCTGGACCGTGTCGATACCCTCGTCACCGAGCACACTCCAAAGGCGGAGAGGAGAAAGTCGTTTGGTCGCATCTTGAGTGGGTTCAAGATGCACAAAAACAAAGACAAGACGTCAGGATCGGCAGAAGAACCAGCTTGAAAGTGAGGTGTCATGAGAATTGTGGCGGCCTTGTTATCACGGCCACATGCATGTACGAAGGGAAGAACCTTACTCTACTACCCGAGACACGGAGCTGAGGGAATCCTAAGGAATGAATTTGATGAGAAGAAACGAGAAGGCGCGTCAAAGAAACGCAGACAAGCAAGCAAGCAACACAAAAAACAGGGAGAACATGCCGCCATCATGTTCAATTTCTTACTTTTAAACGGGGTTTAGCTCTCGGGTCAGAGGCATACCGCTCGTTAGACTTGGGCTGAGAAAAAGCCACAACTTTTTTGCAACTATTCGCAACAAAGAGCATTCCTCACATTACTGCATGTGGAAAACGATTTACCTTCTTTCTCAACGACGTCAAAACGGGCTCTCCCCAGGAAAAAGCCGGTGGGAAAAAGCTGACGACAGCCATGACGAAATCGTTGTCCTGCAGTGGCTTCAGCCTCGTATTCGCTGCAGCACCACCACCAACCAGCTTCATTCAGCCGCTTGTGGACGGAACAGATCCCCGGATAAGGAGGATAGAACGGCAAAAAAAAGAAGAAACATACAACACCGGGCATTCGCCGGTCGTCACCGACCCGACTACTACTCCAGCGGTCGCCAGTTTGACTATGGGAGAGCGGACGGAATCCCGTATTCTCTAGCGCCTGTGGTCGTATGTGTCAGTGACTCTGTCGAGTCGCCTCATATTCAGGGGCTGATGCTGAGGATGGATGCATCCTTCGGGAGGATTGGTGTGGACTGACAATCATGGCCAATCAAGTAGAATGGTAGACAGGTATGCGGTTGGGTAGCTATCCGCCTTGCCATGGCTTGGGGACCAAAGGCTGTCTGCAATAAAGCTTCGTATTATGTCTATCAGAACTCGCTGTCTCAAAGGATTCGACCCTGCCATTTTATCTCTATTAATTCATATCCTACAGCTTCGTTCCTCATCCGCTATTGCAGGCTGCTCATCATCAAGCACACTGCTCTATGAACCAGTCAGCCACACAGCTCGTGGCGGCTCCAACGTCCTCCATACCTCAAGCAGTGGCATCCAGCAGAGATGAGCCTACCCCTCCGTGAACCTAAGCCATCCATTGACATCGCTTCCTCGCAAAATATATACGCTTATCCCTTTGCTCCATCGATCAAGTAAATCCCAACCAAAAACACTTCTTGCAGACGCAATTCCGAGCGAGAACCCAAAGAAAATCAGAGAAGGAACACGAGATGGCTCATCCATGATTGTGCAGTCCGCGCCAGCCTCATCACCAACTCCCATCCCAAAAGACAGAATTGTGAATGCACCTTTGCAAGCCTGTGACGCCCTCGTGCGCTCATCTCCCAAAAAACTCCATCATATGCTAAGTAAGGGGCTGAAAACGCTTCACACTGCCATCAGGCACTTGCCTTGATAGCTAGTGATGGTCAAAACATCAATAAAATGACATATATAAAGGATGGAGTCTGCTGCCAAAGTCGTGCCCGACTACCCCGGCCGTCACCACATGTCATCCCGCCCGTCATGCCGACGATCTCGATCGTCTCCTGTGTCGTGGTACTGGTAGTACTCCTTGACCCCCTGGCCATAACCATCGGATCCATCGTAGTCGTAGTCATCATGGTGGTCTTTGCCGTGCTCATCTTCGTAGATCTGAGCATCATCGACATAATCCACCTCTCCGTCACCAGAGTCAGCATATTGCACTGCCGCCTAGAAAGAGTCAGTAATGCTGGAAAGAGGCCGAGGTATTAAGTACTTACCCGGTGATAATCGAAGTTGTATTGGTCGATGGAATCCTGGGCATCTTGCTCCTCCTGCCTTTGCTGGGCCAGGTACTCCTCTTCTTGCTGTTTCCGCCGAGCTTCCTCTTCCAGCCGCTTCTGTTGGGGCGAAATCGGCACATTCATTTGAGGATGCATAGCTTGTACGATAGCCAAATAACTGTACATAAAGTTACTCAGCAGCACTTGGCTGAGGAGTGACCGTCGGGGGTTGGCCAACTTGATGTGGGCCATTCGGTAGATCGCCCTCTCCTCGAGGAGAGGGAATCGAGTCCAATGGTAGTCCATATCAGGGACCAATGGCTTGTATACCGGCTCCTCGGGGACCTTGAGATGTTGGCTCTTCTTGGCGTTCTTCTCTTTCTCTTTCTCCTCCTTCTTCTTGCTTCCGCCAAAGAAAGAGGCGAAGATGCCGTCTTTGTCCCTCTTTGAGTCGCTCTTGCGGTGGCTTTCCTTCTTGCGTTCCTCTTGCAGCTTGCTTTCAACGTTGTCACGATCAAGAACCAGGCTTTCGCGGCCCTTTGACGAATTCTTGTCGATAGAAGTCTGGATCACGTCCAGTCGTGCGTTGTCTTGGCCCTTGTCACCAACTGACTTGGTCTTGGACTTTCTGCTCTCCTCCTTCTTCTTGTCCTTATCATCGGTCCCGCTCTTGAACCATTTCCAGGCGCTTCCAGAGGACTTGGTGGAGCTAGAGTCGTCATCTCGGTCCTTCTTTGACTTCTTTTCTGGTTTCCGTTCCTCCTGGGGTAATGTGGGAATAAATGTTAGGCTATCTGTCCGGGTCGCGCCGCCGCCAGGGAGAGGTGCAGGATTTGCCGCCAGGTTATCGCTCAAGGATTGGCCTTGAGGATATGAAGAGCGAGAAGTATACTGTGGTTGTGACGACTGTGGTACTGTCTGTCGACTCACAGACCGTCGGCTTGAGCGAGGAGACTCCTCCACAGGTGGTTCTGGTTCAGAGGCCCCTTGTGAAACAGCCTGAGAGCCCGTTTTCTGAGACGATGATCGCTTGGGGAAAGGCGAAGCCTCATCATGGCTTGATGTTTCAATAGTAGGCATATTCGAAGATGACCGGATAGGGAGCTGATCTTGAAACGTTTCACCAGCTGTTGCTGCAGCCTTATCCTCTGTGTCCTGAGTGGTGCCTTCATAATCATAATCCCCCAGTGACTCTTGCGAGAACTTGTGTGTTCGCTTGATTGAGCGATTTGGACGCGAATGGTTTTCTGACAGGGGCTCTGACTGGACTCGTGTGAGCCCAAAGCCCTTGGGGGCATCCAAGGTGGACGAGAGCGATTCGGTGGATTGACTTGGCTGATGCCGATGTCCAGCACGCCTAGAGAGGGGGCCACCCGAACGTAAACTTCCACCCTTGCGGTATTGTGTGCGTGTTGATCTGCGAAGGCCCATTCCCGGGACTGCGGGCAAGATCGGCATGTCGTCTGCACTACTCTCAGGGCCTGTTGGTGGAACTTGAGACTCTTGTGCAAGCTTCTGTACAGCCTTTGTGGGATCCTTGACGAGCTCTTCCAGGCTAAGCTCATGGCTATGGCCGCGGGAACGTTTCCTCTCCAGCCGATCAGCGCCGTCGACGTACCCTCCGGAGTTGTCGATCTGACGTGATAGCATCGACTTTTTCCGCCTCAAGCCTCCAGATGTCGAGTCGGTCTGGCTTGTCTCGCTATCGGCGGAGAGGAAGGAATCACCGGATCTTCGTCGGATCGAATGGACTCGGTTCTCGAGGAATGACTTGAATTCGGTCGGTGCGAGCTCAGGGTGCACTCTTGCTGGAACCCAGAGCAGTCTCGAAGGATCATTTTCGTCATCATCTCCGGTCGGAGCGATTGCTGGCATAGCCATCAAGGACATGGGCGGCAAATCTGGATCCTTGTTGTTTGCAACGTCCATGGATAATCGTCTCAGGGCTTGCAGGTTGCTCAGTTCCTGGGCAATGTCATTCGGGTTGTCGATGTTGGTTAAGGAGAACTGAGAGTCCTGAACATCGCGAAGCGACAGAGTTGGTGAGAGGGGCGATTTAGGCGATTGTTCAAACGAGTTGCTTCGTTGGGTCGGCGAAAGCGCTTGAGGTTTTTTGCCTGGGCCACCGTTAATGGACGTAGTGTCGAGAACGGGTGCATCGGCTTCGGAGCGCGGGAGTCCCCTTCGAGTGTCGACAGACAAAAGCTGATCTTCTGGGGGAGGTCGTGGAAGCTGCTCTTGGTAGGGCGATGGACCTCCGATGAAGCTCAGCGGCCGGCCGTCGCTCAGTGGTCGGCCACCTTCGGATCCCGAGTCGTCTTCATCGCCGTAAAGGGTGCCGATAGCCTCGGTGACATGATGGCTTGGGTCAGAAATAGAGAGATGACCGCGTCTACGGGCAAAGCTGTCGCCAACATCGCCGCGGGGTCGAGATGAGGTCTGTAGATTTGGGATCAGCAAGGGTGGCGATGACAAAACCATGTGATGATGGGGACGAGCGATGAAAGGACCATGACAAGATCCGGTTGAAGTGGGATGTGTCGAGGGCCATAGTCAAGAGTTTTCACGGCACCGCAAGACTGGCGACTGGGGATGATGAGACGTACCATCATCGACGGCTGGGGGGGCCTCAACGGAGGCCTACACACCCTCAATAGCCTCCGCGGTTTCCTGGCTTGGCTGTCAAGGCGATACTCAAGGCTTACGCTGCGCTATCATGGGCGTACGAGCACCACGGTTCGGGCGGCGCAGGAGGACGTAGGGTCGGTATTGAGTCGAGAATAAGAGAGGTACAGTCACCTCCTGAGTCGGTGTTCTCGCGAAGTCTGTTGTCGCATGGGAGGTGGCCAAGGGAGGAGCCGCTGGTCTGGACGCTGTCCGTCAAGGGTCCCTTGGCATCAAATGACGGGCTGCCAGAGTCGATGTGGGCGTCTTCGAAAGGGTCGTGATCGTCGGGACGTCTTGGAGGAGATACGGCTACACTTGGAAATAGACAAAGGGTCGTTCAAGGGAGACAGTCGAGCCTAGTTCAATGAGCACCCAAAGGCGAGATACTGTCGGATGGGATGGCCCTGGAAAGGGTAGTGTTCCGCAATCAAAGGACGCTTGACCAGGGCATGAGACGTGTCACGTGGCGCCTCCAGCGGTTGCCAGCGGGCTGTTCCACTGCATCACAGCGCCATCTGGCGCTAAAGCTGGCGTCCGTCGGGGCGGTACAGCGAGTTGGAGCTCTCTGGCAGTAATCAATGGACCAGCCGAGCGCCAGGTTCCTGGGCGGGCGTTCCAAGGTTCTTTTAGACCGAGAACTGGCTGTCAATATCCAGGATGGAGACAAGGTCTGTTAACTCCACTATGGCAGATTTAAGGGCCATATAAGTTCCAGATGCGTATGGGCATGGTCGCGGAGGCGGTGAATGACTTTGGAAGAGCAACCTAAGTCATCTCTTTCTTCCTGACTTGATTGATCCCTGATCTCTGATCTCTGAGCACCTCCATGCGCGGCCATGTCACCACGGGCTCAAATGAAAGAACCCTGAAAAAGGGTCCAAGCTGCCTGGTTAGGCCGCAGCTCGGCCACATGAATGTCTCCGACTTCCGGCATACGATACAATCAATGAATTCAATGTCAGGTGTGGCATCCAGTCTTCTATGTGGAATGGTCGAATGATGGTTAATTTGGCTGTCAGGTGAACTGGGTAAATACATCGGGTACGAAAACCGTGGTTGGTGGTGGCCATGGAAACAGCCCCAGGTGTGCGTCGCGAACATTCTAGGCCGTCTCGTGATGAATGTCTTGTCTTGGTACCGAGACAAGTTCTACTGTAGAAAAGGGTAGACACTCGCCCAAGATGGAGGCTGAGTGACCTAAGGAGGCTGAGCTCTATGACATCCAGGAGCTATAATTGTTCCATTCAGAGACAAGGCCGCGGATTGTAATCACAAGGGCCTCACTTATACGATGTGTTGGCTTGAGGTTCCGTGCCAGCTGCTTTGTTTTCGAGCAAGACCTGCATTTAATATTACAGCCATTCTTGATTCAGTACTTGTTGGACATCAATACCATTAATAGCTCCGTCTGAGCATGACTGCTTCGCCAGACCTGACACTGGACCTGACATTGGGAAACATACGTAGGCATGACAAGCGTAGGTGATGTTCATGCATGGATCCTGACAACACACCTGCTACCAACAGAGAGATCTCGGGGCACACGCTCAATATGGACGGCCTTTGCAGCAATGAGTGCCGCAGGCTATTTCACTGCCTGATCACCAACTTGTGATACAATTCTCGGTCACCCATTCCATGGCAAGGCCCTTGTAACAAACAAGGAGTTCTCCATTGCAAATCGAACTGACATGGATCTGCGCTACCAGGGTGGACCTTAAACAGCCTCACCTAAGAACTAGAAATTTACCGAACATCAAAGCTTGTTGCTTACCTTGATCCTTCTGGAACAATGATCCCCTGTGTCGGATCGTATTTCTCTCTCCTTTTGGTCAATTGTATCAAGGCGTTTCATGCAGCCCCGTCTTGTTGAATCCGGCGCCTCAATGTAAGGCAAAGAGACGTGGGACAACCTGGTCGGCAACCCCGCCACAAGATGCCCAACAACCCGGTGGCTTAACTAAAGTCGCACCACTCCGCATCTGCCTCCTTGCCTGTCCTGGCAATAGCCTCCCTTCCAAGCGCCCTCGTCATTTCTTTGGGTGGTTGAGCTCCACCTATCATGGGCTTTTCTCCCCATGGGTCTAATCTTTTGTGGTCAGTGATGTCGTTTCTGCCATCGTCAACTCGGGCTATCGCAGCTTCTGGGCGGCTATGGGACCACTCGTTGGCGTTGGATGGTTCTCGCTTCCCCGTCGGTCAAGTTCATCTGGACTGCACCTGGTCATCATTCATGTCTCCCTAATCCATTCTCACAGCTCTTTATCAAATGCGTGACCATGGCAGATGTATGCGCCCTGCCTTATCACAGTCAAGTTTGCTCAAGCCACTGTGTTCCCATGCTTCTTGTCTGTGTAAGTTGAGCAGGCTTCTATGGAACATGAACATTGAGCTACATCCAACCACCTGCAAGTTTTCCTTGGTTGATGTCTGATCTGCACCCAGTCATGAGACAAGAGCTTTCCGTGCTGCCTGGGCCTGAGTGCTGCGTTTGCGCAGATCACTTATGTTCTACTCTGCAAGTTGGAAATGCGCAACTGCGACTTCGGAACAGGGAGGCTCCAATGTCACATCATGACACTTCTCACACACGAGTACTTGCTGCAGAGTGAAGCAACAAATGTTCCAGCATTGTTCTAATTTGAAAATTTGGTAAACCCCGAGATGCTAGGTCTTGATGGCATTGGCAAGGCGGGGATTGGGCATACATGCAAGTAGATATCCGTTATATAGAATGGTAGCCGTCTAACAAAGGATTTGAGAACTGCGTGAATCACAGCACAAGAGTCACCTGCTAGCATACATTTAAAGAGCATGAGCACCTACTTAAAATACCTTGAAAGAAACCTGGTCTTGGAAACAAGCACACTTACCTTTCACACCAAAAGTAGGTGCAATTCTTAGAAAACGGACAAGGCAAACACTCAACACCTGCAAGTGTCGTCGCAGCTCCCGGGTAGGTGTATCCTCAGCTTTTGACTGACTCCTACGGCCAGCAGCGTCAACACCGCCGAACATTAACCGTTACTGAGCTCTCTCCCCTGGCCTAACCCAAAGGTGACTGTGCCAGTGGACAGGTACATCGTCACAGGTGAAAGCTGAGGGGCTAAACCCAATCAGGCAACGGCGTCTTCTCCCGATTCTTGGGGCCACCTCTAGAAATTATCTCTACCTCTAGAGCCTTGCTGGAGCTGCGAAAATCCACCTCCCCGTGATTGCCTCCCCATCCTCCATTCCTCATCGTCACCTTCTTTTGATACCCATCCATATCCCTCCCCCGGAGCTCCCTTCTCCCCCGAGCTTACCCTGACCTGCGCGATACGTCGACCACGCGATCCCCCGACCGGCTTCGAGCGCAAAGAATCAGTTGATTGATAGAATGGCTGCTGTGAGTGCCTCAGATGGTTCCTTCCATGATCTTGCCTATCCATCTCCCTCGCACCTTCCCAAGTGTCCTCTTCAACGAGGTCGCAGCTTCCTATCGTCAAGACCTTGGAGATGGATCACCACTTGCGGCCCATCTACTCCTCTGCCCTTTTTCGGGCGCTGCCTCTACCTCCCTCCTCTCCCTCCCCCGCTCGCGTGTTGTCCCGCTGTTGCGCCCTGTTTGATGGTCTCGACCGCGAGGCTCTACACCTAGTTTCGCGATGAGGCGCTCGTCGAGTTCCCAGAGTTACCCAGGCAGACATTCGAGATACTGCCGGACGAACTCGATCGCTGACCAAAGACAGCCGCGACCATACAATAACCCAGGCTCGAGCTACCTCCAGAACGGTGCGAGCGGCGGCCTCCCTCCCCACGGTGCCGCGCCTCTTCTGCCAAACCAGGGTCGTGTTATCCAAACAGGTCCCATAAGAGTTCTCTGCATTGCCGATGTGCGAGGTGCGTTTCTACGACGAAAAGGACTGGAACATTGCTGAGTTGTGTATTAGGAAACCTGAGATCGCTCAACGACCTTGCGAAACAAGCCCGGGCTGACCACATCATCCACACTGGTGATTTTGGCTTTTACGACGACACTTCCTTGGAACGAATCGCCGAGAAGACGCTTAAGCATGTCGCCCAATATTCGCCCCTGATCTCCGAGCCCGTCAAGAAGGCCATCCAACAAGGCGGCCCCGGCCCCGTCAAGACTCGATTCCCCCCTAGCGAGCTACCTCTCTCAGAACTCCCTCTCCTCATTAGCGGAGAGCTCAAGCTCGATGTTCCCGTCTACACTGTCTGGGGTGCTTGTGAGGATGTCCGAGTACTAGAGAAGTTCCGAACCGGCGAGTACAAGGTTCCCAACCTGCACATTATCGATGAAGCCCGATCGATGCTCTTGGAGGTTGGTGGCGTCAAGCTGAGGCTACTCGGCCTTGGTGGTGCTGTTGTCATGCACAAGCTCTTCGACAACGGTGAGGGTCGCACCACTATTGCTGGTGGACAGGGAACCATGTGGACGACTCTTCTGCAGATGGGAGAGCTCGTTGATACTGCTCACAGAGTCTACGATCCTACTGAGACCCGTATCTTTGTCACACACGCCTCTCCTGCGCGAGAGGGTATCCTGAACCAGCTCTCGGTGACGCTCAAGGCCGACTTCTCCATCTCCGCCGGTCTTCATTTCCGATACGGTAGCTCCTACAACGAGTTCAGCGTCAACCCGACTCTAGACCACTACCGAGGCAAGCTTGCCGCCTCCAAGGCTTCCTTCAACGACGTCTGGGAGACGGTCAAGGGTGAGGTTGAGCCCGCTATTCAGCAGAATGAGGCCCAACAGAACCTCCTTAAGAATGCCCTCCAGCTTGTCGAGAAGATGCCCACCACTGCTGCAGGCGGCAACCCCTTCGGCGGCCCTGTCGCTGGCCAGGCAGCTCTCGGCCAAGTCGACGAGAGTGCATTCAAGAACATGTGGAACTTCAACCTTGCTGATGCCGCCTTCGGCTATCTCGTCCTGGAGATCCAAGACGGCCGAATTGGTACAGAGATGCGCGCCCAGGGTTTCAACTTCTCCCACCGAGGAGCCAAGCAGCAACCCGGTATCCCCCCCGCGTCGGCACAAGCTCCTACCGCCGGAATTCCTTCGCCCGCCCCTCCCTCTACTCAATCCAGCGTCCCGCCGCCCACGAGCCGACAGCCATCTGCAGTGCAGCCTGCTAAGCCTACCGTAGCGACGCCCCTGCCTGGTCCCCCGAAGCCCGCCACCCCCCAGCCAGCCCCGAGCTCGAGCAGTCCCGCCCCTCCCCCTCCTAGCAAGGAAGCTGACAAGGCTCCCGTTCCGGCTGCAGCTAACGGCTCTGCCCACGTCCCTGAGCCTGTTTCTTCCCCCGCCCCCAAGACTCCTGCTTCCGACATCATTGGTCTCTTCATTATGAACGTTAGCACCGAGGACCAATGCAGAGAGCTCTTCGACGAGGAGGACAAGGCCAAGATCCTCAAGGTTGAGAAATGGGGCAACTCTAACAAGGTCGTCCAATTCAAGACGATCGAGGACCGTGATACCGCTATGGCCCGATTGCCCGAGGAGGTCAAGACTCGAACTCAAGAGGATCGATCTAAGCCCCTTGTGAAGATCTTCCAACATCGCGAGGGCAAGTCGTATGGCAACCGAGGTGGTGCCGGTAACTGGGGTGCCAGCGGACGCGGCGGAGCGACTAGCACGAGCGGCTACCGAAGCGCTGGAGGCGCCAGTGACTCGGAATCCAACCGACGTGGTGGTCGCGGCGGCCGTGGCCGTGGCGGAGATCGTGGTCGAGGTGGCCGTGGCCGTGGAGGTCTCAAGGGCGAGACTGGTACCTCGTCACCCGCCCCCTCTACCCCCGCCGAATAATTATCACGATCAACATCTAAGTATTGATACACAGCTCTCATGAGAGTATGGTTTACCCCCATATTCTCAGTACCTAGCTTTGGCCCTTGTGGCACCTCCTTTTTGTCTCGCCTCTACCCGATTCTTGCTGGGGGCTCAAGGGACAGGAAAACTGAGGGGCATCCCTCAACCTGCGTTTTCATGTATTGTGTACCTAATGAGATCTCGGAGTCGTCGAGCTTCGGCATCGAGGGTTTGGCTTCTTTAGTTTTGACCTGTATGGAGTTCAGTTGCGAAGAGAATCTTAAAAAAACATCATTCCGGGCCCTGATTGCATCTCGGGGACGTGAATGTGGTGATGGCATTTCTTGGGGGGATGGATTAGGGGGTAGGATCGAGGGTGCTTTGGAGTGAATGACTTTCTATTTGTACACTGCCACAATTGACTGGCTATTTTCTGTCATGCCCAACCTGAAAACATTGCTTCCGAGACTGGGCTGAAAGTAGACTACATAATGCGTATATTCTTGAGCACTTTATAGGGGCTTCATGCCCTTGTGGATGGCGGCGATACCGCCCGTCAGGTCCTCGTAACCCTCACCAGCGACAACAAAGCCAGCATCCTTGATCATGTCCCTAAATTCCACTTGGCTAGGGAACCTCTCGATACTCTCAACGAGGTATTGGTAGCTGTCTCGGTCTCCGGCGACCAGCTGGCCGATCAAGGGAATGGCACTGAACGACCACTGCTTGTAGATGGTGTTGAACAGGGGATACTTGTCAACCTTGGAGAACTCGAGGCAGGCAAAAACACCACCAGGCTTGAGAACTCGGTGAGCCTCCTTCAGGGCAGCAGGGATGTTGGAGAAGTTGCGGATGCCAAAAGCAACTGTATAGAGGTCGAGAGAGTTGTCCTCGAGCTGAGCGGGGAGGACCTCAGCATTGGCCTCGAGGAAAGAGAGCGCGGACTGGTGCGATGCGGGGAGGGCGAGGGAACGCTGGCGACCCACGGCCAGCATGTCGGGGTTGATGTCGGAGATGATAACTGTCACGTTGGGATTGCGATTGAACTCGTGGGCGTGCTGTAAGTGACGGAAGGCAATGTCACCGGTACCACCGGCGACGTCGAGGATGCGCTGGGGCTGGCCAGGAGGGTTGGTAGCACCGGGGTTGAGCGAAGAGATATAGTAGTCCCTGAGCAATTGCGTGTTAGTTTGTTGATCAATTAGAAGTTCGGGAGAGCCGGTATATCCATACTTCCACAGGCGATGAATACCCAGGGACATCAAGTCATTCATCTTATCGTAGGACTCGGCGACACTGGTAAAGACACCAGCGACACGCTGCTGCTTCTCGCCCTCGGTGACGGTCTCATAGCCAAAGTGGGTAGGGCGATCGGAAGTGGGAGTAGTGTTGCGGAGGGCATTGGAGGAAGAGAAGGGGCGGACAAAAGCGGCAGGGCGTCTTGAGGGGTTCAATGAGCGAGAGAAGCTCCGGAGAGCTGTGCGTGAGGCCATTGTGGACGAGAATTGGGCCTCAGAGGTATGAGGGATGGTCTCTATCGGAGGTCAGTTTGGAATCATACGAGGCTGAGAGATGGAAATTTGCTGGTGGATGAGTGGGGGCGATGTGGCGCCTGTTCAGCCTTGTACCAGCCACAGTGGCTGCTTTATCCTTGTCTCGGTGCGATAAGTAGAAGAGGATGAACCAAACCAACAAGACACATCTGTTTGTAAGAAGACGAATAACTCACGTCTAGGCAATGTCTCCAGCTGTTGTAGCAGCTGAATCTCCCTCCCGCTTCCGCTCACGATGAACGCTGAGAGCCCGAACAAAGGTGTGCACCTTGTCCTTCATGAACCAGGCAACGAGGCCAAAGATTGCAAACAGAGTAAGAATGAGAAGAGCAATGCTAACAGCTGGGTTGGTCATTGCGTGATTCGTGTTAGGATTGCGGATTGAAGATGGATGGGAATTGCGGTTGCTTTGTTGTGAGTTGGACGATGAACTGGGAGATGGATGATGGTGTTTTGAAAGTTGTTTATTTTACTCGTCTCGAAATCTATGCACTGATGCATGGCGGTTCCTGCAAAACCAATTGGCTGTTAAACCCATTGTTTACTCTTTAACGATGCCATCCTGACAGTGGCAGACAGCTGCCATGCACTGCACTGGTTGGGGTTCATGGAAATCTGGAGTCTATCGGAATGTGGGGTACATCGATAAGACTCGTGTGGGGGATAGCAAGCACAGGGCCTCATGGACTGTTCTTGGCTTCAGCATCACTAAATGATTGACAGGGCATCTCGGCAAGGGTATCGAAAACTAGTTCAGCGCAATTACCGACTGATAATGGATGGCTTCGGGGTTTGTTTGAGGCTGGGTATGCCGAACCTCGTCCAGCAACGGCTTATCTCAGTCTCGGCTCATACGGTTGGAGTCGGCTCAAATGACGTCGCTTCAAGTATACAGACCGAGAACAGCCCCCTCGGTAATGTTATTTCTCCTCTTCGTCTTGTCGTTTACCGCAAATTGGAAGTTGATTGAACAAGGGAAAAGTCTATGAATTGAGATTGCTCTTTGAACGGGATCACAGTCACCATGAAGTCTCGAGCTTTGCGACACGTCGCCCTGCGAAGGGCTGCCCTCGCCAGACCGCAGGCCGTGCCCTTTGCTCTTCGATCAGCCAGCAGTCTCTCGCAACGACCCAATTCCGACTTTGTTTCCTTCCCCGGTGCCCTCAAGAGTGCATTTACAACGACGCTTAAGTTTGAGGCTCCCGAGTCGTATCCTGCCCTGCCAACGTACCGCGTTGTCGACCAACATGGCGCGGTGGTGGACGAGTCCTTCAAGCCCGATATCTCGGACGAGGAGGTGATTCGACTATACAAGGACATGGTATTCATTTCCATCATGGATCTGATCATGTTTGATGCGCAACGGCAAGGTCGACTAAGCTTCTACATGGTCAGTGCTGGCGAGGAGGCTGTCAGCATTGGTAGCTCAAGTGTCTTGGATCGGGAGGACGTCATGTTCTGCCAATATCGGGAACAGGGCGTGTTCAAGGAGCGAGGGTGGACGGCAAAGGAGTTTATGGGGCAACTATTTGCCAATAAACGGGATCCTGGCCGAGGGCGAAGTATGCCTGTGCACTACGGAAGCAAGGAGTTGAATATTGTGAGTGCCCTGCCAACTGAAGCAAGATATTGGTGCTGACAATTAGGGTGAAGCATTCGATCTCGTCGCCGCTGGCAACACAACTTCCCCAGGCCTCTGGAGCCGCCTATGCTCTGAAGATGCAACGGCTTCAGGACCCCAATGTCAAACCTAGAGTGGTTGCAGCCTTCTTTGGCGAGGGTGCAGCAAGTGAAGGAGACTTTCACGCTGCATTGAACATTGCAGCCACAAGATCTTGCCCCGTCATCTTTATCTGCCGAAACAACGGCTACGCCATCTCGACACCTACACTGGACCAGTACCGTGGTGACGGTATTGCCAGCAGAGGTATTGGCTATGGTATCGATACTATCCGCATCGACGGAAACGATATCTGGGCTGTTCGAGAAGCCACCAAGAAGGCCCGTGAGATGGCTCTCCAAGATGGTGGAAAACCTGTCCTCATCGAGGCTATGACCTACCGTGTCTCGCATCACAGCACATCAGACGACTCGTTCGCATACCGCGCGCGGGTAGAGGTCGAAGATTGGAAGCGACGTGATAACCCTATTACCCGACTCCGCAAGTGGATGGAAGCCAAGGGTATTTGGGATGAGACCAAGGAGAAGGAGGCCCGTGATAGTCTTCGCAAGGAGATCCTGAAGGCGTTTAGCGAGGCTGAGAGGGAGAAGAAACCCCCGATCCGAGCCATGTTTGAAGACGTCTATGAGGAGCTCACGGAGGATCTGAAGGCGCAGATGGCGGAGCTGAAGGAGATGCTGGACAAGTATCCCGAGGAGTATGACGTTGCTGAGTTTGAAGGAGGCAAGGATAGCCTGAAGCCATAAAGCCCGTGTAAGTAGATAATTACCCAACAAACCACCAAGTGCAATAAGAAAAAAGGAGAGTATCTTGGTTTAATAGTACATATCACTATCATGACTCCTCTGTACTCCATACCAGGTCATAGCTCGCAGATGGAGACACCCATGACCCAATCACACAATGAAGCGCCGGCGTGCTCATGGGACCCTGGTGTTGGGTTCCGCTACCCAGACTAAACAAGGCGGCCGTCGGGCGGCTTTTGTTTACTTTTTTGTGTCTTTGAAGCGGGCTGGATGGTTCCCTACGAGGAAAATGCCAGTTGGCAATGCATCTGGCAACGTGCCGCAGTCAGGCATTCTCCATCTCGTGGCTCTCTTTTTGCATGATGGGGTTGGGGGTGCGTGAATGCCCGTTGCCGATTTGTTAGTGGAGTGCATAATGAAGAACGGCACTCTGACACCCATCAGATTGGAGGGACACTGATAATGGTGATATCCATAAAATAGCTCAAGGCCACTATATTGAATAGCAGTAGGTGAGCTCACGATGAATAATTACCCATGATCGGTATAAAGAACCGTCATGGACGAGGCCTGGCTAAAACATCTACGGACGGCCTCTACCTTGTTCGGTCACGGTGGTTTAGTGCGATTTTTCTAGTGGATTTCAGCGGGTAGCCCTACCCGGAGGGGTGCTGCGTGATGGACGCCACTATGAAGCAAAGCGGGCCTCTCCACAAAGCGGGATCTCTCAACCCAGTCCGCGTCTTGTCTCCATGGATGGTGGATGTCTTGCTTGATAAAGAAGAGAGGCCCGACAGCAGGTGGTGGTGATGCGCTGGCCTTGTCCCCGGCACATCCATTGCTTCTGGATATGGCCTTTGGTGCTGCCGCAGCAAATACTCTCGAGGGTGGCATGGTGCGACAAAGAAGGGGCTCTGCAAGCGAGAGTGAGTCCCCGTGGGCTGTGAATGGGTCGGTTGTGAGATGAGGTGCTTTGCTTCTCGACCGCAGAGCACGGCGGGATACGGATGCGTTCCCTTCCCTTACAGTAGAAGTACTCAGCCATGAATGATGCGGCCAACGGCACAGTGCTTGTTTGCAGTTGATAAGGCTGGCTCACCTACAGAGGTCCTGTACAGTGCTCCAGCTCCCTGGCACATGGCAGACCCCAACTTTTTTTTCGCAAACGTAGCACCATCAGAGCACGTCGTTTTCTGCCGTGTGGCCTGCCCAGAGCCTCTCCCCCCCATGGATGGATAGGTGGATGGAGTCCCTCTCCTCCCAGTGGACCACACACGTCAACCGTAAACCGCCATCTGCCATCCGCATCCGCCAGCCCGCCGAAACAACGAGCATTTCTCTTCTCCTCCCCCCCAAGGACTGCATGCCATAAACCCAAAAATAATCCTCCCTCCTAAACTTCCGCCTCCTTCCCTCTTCTCACAACCCTCGCTCTCGTTGACCGAGACTCTGTGTCCTGCTCCCTCGGACTTTCTAGGCTTGCCTCTACCCACTCTGCTAACAAGCCCATCTACCCATCTCTCCGCGCCGTAAGTTGACGGGTATCGCTATCTCTTCGCCTGCTCTCGTCATCCCGACCCCATCGCCCTCTCAACATCGGAGAGAAACCACGACCACGACCACGATCACCCCGCCGCGCCCGCGCCTGCCCGCTGCCTTCCTGATGGCGTAGGTCGTCTGGGCATGGCAGAACGAAAATCGGCAGGTGACAACGAAGTGCGACTTCCCTCGACCTCATCGACCTCAACTGCCAAACTCTCATCCACCGCCGCCGCTTCTCTAGGCCCCCAGAGGTAGGGCCAGTCTTTTATTCTTCTTTCGTCTTCCATCCTCATCCCTCAGCGCCGCTTCACCATTCACCACTCTCTGCCTGCCTGCCTGCCTTCCAGCCAACTAGCCCGCCATTCATCCCCCGGCAAAGCAAAGCTCGCACAACCACTATCCGCCGCACGCCGCCGCCTCATCCCGCTCCTTGCGTCGCCTGTGCCGGATAGTCGAGACGGGGCTCCGTCGTCACCCACCTGCGCCAACCCAGAGGGATGTCGTCGTCGGACCCGTGTTCGCCCAGTAGCTCCCTGATTCACGCACGCACAAGGCACGCACGCACGCACGTCGCGGGCCTGTAGCTGGTCGCCGTCTTCAATCCCCCGGACTGCTTGCCCAGCTCAAGTCTACCTCTCGCCTGCTAGCCTGATTTATCATCCTGCCACCGTGATCGGGTTGCTGGTCCCTCCCAAGCCGACAATAATCTCCAATCCTTGGCCCAGGCTGAGAGAGGCAGCTGCAGACCCGAATCGCCATCACTGAAAACGGTTGTTCTGCGGGGACGGCTCGTGCTTGTGCTTCTCCTCCTTCCTCGCTTCCCTCCACCTTTTTCGTGCAACCTTCATCGACTCACACACATTCTCCATATTTGCGTTTTCTTCCATATGCATCGTCAGTACAAAGCTCATGCCAATCATGTCTTCTAGAATCACCAGATCTTCGGCCCGTCAAGCAGCGAGCCAGGCAGCCCAATCCTCTGCTTCTGCTCCTGCTGCTGCCACAGCTGCCGCTGCTGACGTTCCGACCATACCAACATCCACCCCATCCTCTCGAAAGCGAAAAGGGCCTACTACTGACAAAAGCCCACCTTTGCCACCCGGGTCTTCAGGTCGACGGTCCAAGAGACAGAAGATCCCCGAAGCCGTTTCTTCCCCCGCCACCACCAACAATCACCCACCCCCATCCAGGACTCGGAGAAGGGGAAAGACAACTGCAGATATGGATAGTCCAGAGTGAGTCTGGGCAGCATCAGGCAGCATACGATGCATAAAATCTAACTTTTCTACAGCAACGAGCGTTCTGGTCCTGCGAATCCCTCCGAACCTTCTATCCCATCCGGCTCGTCTAGTAGAAAGTCGAGTCGATCCAAGAAGCCCACAGGCACGCAAGGTTTGCATCGCCCGAGAAGATTTGGTGGCTATTTTTAGGTTTAGGAACTTACCATTATATAGACTCAGCATCCGGCGCGACTCTCTCGACACGGAGGTCGAAGCGAAATCTCGACAATGCCGCTGATCAGGATACGGTCATGACGGGAACCGACGAGAATAGGGATCCTGGGCCGCCGCCCCCACCGCCCCCTCCGATCGATCACCATGACGATGACGATAGTGAAGACAACGAGGATGACGAAGACGAGGATGAGGCACGAAGATACGATGATGACGACGATGAGGACGAAGATCCTTTTGGCGGATTCAGCGGACCTCCAGGTTCTCTATCGAGCACTCTGCGAGCACTGACCGGGATGATGTCGGGCCTCAGCCATAGGTTACGGGAATTGCTCAGCAGCCTTCGGTCGGATGACCTTTCGGTCCAACTGATAGCTCTTCAAGAGCTGTCGGAGATCCTTTTGGTTTCCAACGAGGATAATCTTTCGGGCCACTTCTCTCCCGATGCTTTTGTCAAGGAATTGGTAACCTTGATGAACAAGGAGGACAGCCCTGAGATCATGCTTCTGGCGTGCCGCTGTCTGGCAAACCTAATGGAGGCTTTGCCCGCCAGCGTGGCGAACGTCGTCTATGGGAATGCCGTCCCAGTCTTATGCCAGAAGCTCCTCGAGATCTCCTTTATCGACTTGGCTGAACAAGCTCTCAGCACCTTGGAAAAGATATCTGTCGAATATCCCACTAGCATCGTCCGCGAGGGTGGCCTAACTGCCTGCTTATCATATCTCGACTTCTTTGCAACAGGAACGCAGAGGACCGCCGTTACAACCGCGGCAAACTGCTGCCGTAATATCCCTGAGGATTCTTTCCCAGTGGTTCGCGATGTCATGCCTACACTCCTCAACGTCCTCAATAGCAACGATCAGCGTGTTGTGGAGCAAGCATCTCTCTGCGTCTCGGGCATCGTTGAGAGCTTTAAATATCATCCGACCAAGCTTGAGGAATTGGTCAGCGTGGATCTACTCCGGGGTGTGCTGCGTCTTCTCGTCCCTGGCACAACCAACATGATTGGATCCAGCATTCACACCCAGTTCCTGCGAGTCCTGGCATTCACCGCGAGAGCAAGCCCTCGTCTCTCTGCAGATCTTTTCAAACTCAATGTGGTTGAGACTTTGTATCAGATTCTCACAGGAGTATCACCACCAAGCGGAACTGAAGATGTGGCATCCAAGCTGGACAGCGTTGTTATCATGCAGGCCCTGATTCACCGACCCCGAGAGCAGATTATCGAGACACTCAATGTCATTTGCGAGCTTCTGCCTAACCTGCCTAGGAACGCTGATCCATCCTTTGGTGATTTCGTCGAGCTTCAGGCATCGACCGAGTCCATCGACGGAGGTGGCAGAAACCGGAGAACTCCCAACGAGAAGCGCATCGAGCTTCTAGAGACCTGCAAAGATGAAGTTCGCCGCTTCGCCCTTATCATCTTCCCCACCTTGACCGATGCCTTCTCCAGCACTGTCAACTTGAGCGTTCGCCAAAAGGTCCTGACAGCGCAGCTGAAGATGCTCTCTAATCTCGACGAGGACATCTTGGTTGAGGCACTGACTCCCGTCCCCTACGCATCTTTCTTGGCTTCGATCTTGTCGCAACAGGACCACGCATCTCTTGTGATGTTGGGTCTTCAAGCAGCCGAACTCCTGCTCAGTCGACTTGACAAGATCTATCGTTACCAATTCTACCGGGAAGGCGTCTTCCTGGAAATCACAAAGATCGCAAACGAGGAGGAACCTGCCGAGACACATCCGGAGGAGACAGATAAGCAAAATGGTGAGGGCGAACAGGCGGCGGAACGGAGAGAAAACGAACACTCTTCAGACCAGGACTCTGACCACGACGAAGAAGACGATGAAGAACGCGAATCATCGGATGAAGATGAAGACGAAGAGCACGAGAACGAGAACGACGAGGCTCACAACGACGACATGTCCCCTGTTAGCTCACGGGGATCGACCATGTCCCTCGAAATTCCCCTCCATCGCTTTGTGTCCGATGTGCGGTCCATGAAGACTCGTATCCGCGAGGTGGCCGAGAAGTTCCTGGAGACACACGAGACCGAAGGCCACGGCCAGGCCATGAAGGCCAAGGCAACGATGATCCTGGATGCGCTGTCAGAGTTGGCGGGTGAACTCGAAACCTATTATCTCAAACGCTCCTCTTCGAATGTCACGCCTGACAAAGGAAAGGAGTTGTTCACGAAGCTTGCGTCTTACTTCGACACGGATGTTTTGGAGAGTGTTACTAGCGCGGAGCTTCTGGCATCTGGCCTTGTTCGGGTTCTGCTCGAAATCTTCAGCAACCCTGATGAAGAGCTGGCCCGCTCAGCCCAGTCGACATTCCTTGAAGTCTTCATGGCATACACTGTCAAGTCGAAGCCCAAGACGGCAACTGCTGAGTCTCCGGCGACACCTTTCAGCGTCATGATCCACAAGCTTCAGGATTTGCTCAGTAGGTCAGAGCATTTCGAAGTCATCACCGTGCACCACAACACCTTTGATGGCAACCACACCAGCCCGGCTTCGATGCTCGGAAAGCAGATTCGCCTCCGCCTTGTTGCTGATGAGGAGTCGGATATCCCTCGCCCATACCGAAATATCATGGTATCGATCCACGCCATTGCGACCTTCAAGTCTCTCGACGATTACCTACGCCCACGGATTAGCCTCACTGAACGTCCCCGTGGCTCCGCTCGCAGAGATGGCGTTGCTCGAGCGCTTGCCGCAATGGCTAGCAGTGCAGGCCTTCCGCTCAGTAGCGCGGCTGCCGCCCGTCTGGCCGCTGCGGAACGGACGAGCCCATTCTCTGGAGGACCTCCTATTCCGCCACCTCCCGCCGCCCCAACACCATCCAGCTCTCGGCCCCTGCGAAAGCTCAAGTCTCAGCCTGCCCCCGCGACCCCAGACCAATCTGCCGGACCGTCTCGGGACAAGGGCGTTCTTCGGCGATCTGCACGACGACACGCAGCCACAAGTACACCTCCGCCTCCCCGTCCTCCGCCAGCAGACTCTGATGAGATGCAAGACACACTAGAGTGCGCTGATGAGAAGCAGCTGACCGACGACGAGGATGCTGGTGAGAGCAGTGCCCTGGATGCTATTGTTGGCGAATTGGAAGAAGACATGGAGGAGGAATCGACACCAGACGACACCTCCGCTGTCAACATGGAGGTTGCTACTGGTGGACATGTGACGGCACGCAAGGAGGATGGCACGAGAATCGCAACTCCCACTGGATCCGGTGCACCTAGCCGTGCCAGCGGGCCTTCCGGAGGCCATGGCACACCAACACCTTCAGCGGCGTCACGACCTTTGTCTTATTCCTCAGCTCTCCAGTCTGTACCCCAGGACTGGCATATCGAGTTCAGTCTCGATAGCAAGCTGATCCCCAATGAGACTACCATCTATCGGGCCGTCCACACCTCGGCATCTAACTCAGATGAGCACCTTGGCCGAAGCATCTGGTCAACTGTGCATCCCATCAAGTTTAAGCGTGTGCCTGGACCTCCCCCAGCCGAAACACTTTCCTTCACGTCCAATGTTGAGGCTGATGGAGAGGACGAGCACGGCATCCCTGCATCCCTTGCGAAACATCCGACCACATCGTCGATCCTGCGTCTACTCAACATCCTCCATGACCTCAATTCCAACATTGAGGATGTTCTAGTCGAGCACAAGACCAGCATCATCGGCCTCAACGTTGAGCCGCTCTCTCAATTTGTGAATACCAAGCTCACCGCTAAGCTTAACCGCCAACTGGAGGAGCCCCTGATCGTGGCCAGCAACTGTCTGCCCAGCTGGTCCGAAGACCTGGCACGACTGTACCCCTTCCTCTTCCCATTCGAGACTCGACATCTCTTCCTCCAGTCCACATCTTTCGGATATGCCCGATCGATGACTAGGTGGCAGAATACACAGTCAGGGGAGGACAACAGGCGAGACCGGAACAATGAGCGGCCGTTCCTGGGCCGACTTCAGCGACAGAAGGTTCGGATATCTCGCCAAAAGATTCTGGAATCTGCGTTGAAGGTGATGGAGCTATATGGTGCCTCTCAGAGCATCTTGGAGGTTGAGTACTTTGAGGAGGTGGGCACGGGTCTTGGTCCCACGCTTGAATTCTACTCGACGGTCTCGAAGGAGTTTTCGAAGAGGAAGCTTAAGCTCTGGCGCGAGATGGATTCGAACGGCTCGGACGAATTCGTTTCTGGTGCTACTGGTCTTTTCCCACGACCTCAGAGTGACGAGGAAGCCGGAACACCCAACGGCGAGCGTATTCTGCACCTGTTCAAGATGCTTGGAAAGTTTGTTGCACGATCCATGATCGACTCTCGCATCATTGATCTCCACTTCAACCCAATCTTCTTCCGCATCGGAGACGCGACTTTGAGTGGAGTGAAGCCATCACTGGGAGCTGTCAAGATCGTTGACCCCGGCCTGGCGCGCTCACTGAAGGCGATCAAGAGGTTCGCCCTTGCCAAGAAGGAAATCGACGAGGATCCTGCTCGAACGGCGGCGCAGAAGGTGGCTGACACAGAGAACATTGTCATTGACGGGGTCAAGATTGATGACCTGTGCCTTGACTTTACCTTGCCCGGCTATCCCAGCATCGAGTTGGAGAGCAATGGCTCCCAAAAACGAGTCACCATTGATAACGTGGACTCGTACCTTGAGAAGGTCATCGACATGACTCTTGGCTCTGGTGTTCGCCGGCAGGTTGATGCCTTCCGCACTGGATTCTCGCAGGTGTTCCCCTACTCGGCGTTGAGTGCTTTTACCCCAGACGAGCTTGTGACTCTGTTTGGCCGAGTCGATGAGGACTGGTCTCTTGAGAGTATGTTTCTTCCGGTTTAATTGTTCAGCAGTTGCTAACGTATCACCAGCTCTCCTTGACTCTATCAAGGCGGATCATGGCTACAACATGGACAGCAAGAGCGTCAAGAACTTGCTTCACACGATGAGCGATTTTGATGCTGCACAGCGCCGCGATTTCTTGCAGTTCACAACTGGAAGCCCCAAGCTTCCGATTGGAGGTGAGCATGACCTGTTTGTCTTTTCGAGCCGTATCTAATATACTTTTAGGATTCAAGTCTTTGACACCCATGTTCACGGTGGTGTGCAAGCCCAGCGAGCATCCCTACACGTCTGATGACTACCTTCCTAGCGTTATGACGTGTGTGAACTACTTGAAGCTTCCCGACTACTCCACCATTGATATCATGAAGAAGCAGCTTTTCACGGCAGTCAAGGAAGGCCAAGGGGCGTTCCATCTGTCTTAAATTGGTCTATCAGTCTTGAAGAGGCGAAAGATGTAATACCGAGGAGGGTGACGAGGCGTTGGAGCTGATCAGGGGCATGTCAATGGACGCCCCCCATGCATTACAGAGCAAATGATACCGGTAATTCCTTTTTTGGACGAATCGGCAAGAAAAGTTCTCATACTCGCTTGATGCCGTCACGACACGACATTACCTATCTCGACGATGGCGCGCTGGGATGAATGAATGAAGGAAGGAAGGAAGGAAATAGAAAGGCAGGGTTTTGTTTGCCGCGTGCCCACAGAAAAAGCACAAACATTGCATTCATGGTTTAGGTGGAATTCAGGCGCAGGGAATTTCCATGAGAACTGAATTGGAGGAACGGACGGTACGACAGAATTTCATACGTCTTCCTCCCATCTTTGGGATGGATTGGAGGATACGAGAGAGAGGCTTCTAGGGAAAAGGGAAGGGAAAGATGGGTTGTGAACAAGTAACGCCTCAATCAAGCGCAGTAGTTATAGACTTTATCTGAAATTGAGTGAATTTGGGCTCTTTTTGACACGATTTGATTCATTCATGGTAAATTATCTTGGTACTGTAATCCACTTCTTTCCTTTCCTTCCCATTCCAACCCTGTTGATCCATGTTGAGGGAACCAGTCCTCGATGCCTATCAGATAGTTACATGCTCCCAACGCCAAAGCTTGCAGTTCATACATGTTTAGACGTCAATAACACGCCATGCTCATCAACACAAAAAAACACAAATCTTGCAGCGAGACAGACGGTAAACCCCCTGACAGATTACTATAGTCGCTCATCATCTTCGTCAGAGTCCCAAATCTCGGGAGGAACTCTCGCGTCGTCGCGGACAAGGCTATCAGGCAGCATCTGACTCTTGGTCAGGAGCTGCGACGAGCCCGCAGCGTAGCCGGGTGGTAGACGGAGGGGTGGCGAGGAAGGACCCTCGTCGTCTAGTAGGCCCTCAGGGAAGCCGATGCTGCTGGACGAGTGTAGGTCAGGACGGTGAAGTGACGCCGACGAGTTCTTCTCTGGGGTCGAGGCCTGTGAGACGGTCGTCGCCTGCGAGGGGCGGACAGTCGATGGTTTAACCGTGCTACTTAGAGGAGGTCGGGAGGCACGGTAGGAGGATGCCGCAAATGGGGTTCGTGGGGGAGGAGGTTTGATAGTTGCAGGAGACGATGGGACGTGGGTAGTTGGAGGAGTTGCATCTCCCTTATTGCTGTTTTCCTCCTCAGGGGTAGAGGGGACGAGGATATCATCCGAAGTAGGGAATTGGGTAGAGTGGGCAATGTCACTCTTGAGTTGAGCTTCAACTTGCTGAGAGACGCTCATGCTTGGTGTAGGCGCAGGGTTCTTATCCCTCGGCTGGGCCTGTGACGAGTTGGCAAAGAGGTCGACTCTTCCGCTTTCGTCATCGTCTTGTGTCGGCGCCTGTGACTGACTAGCACCGTCTCCGTTGTCGCTCTCGGCAAAGATGGCGTGCCGGAGGTTCCAGAGCAGCTGGCCGACAACAGCAGGTGGGATGTAGATGTAACGGCCGATGTCACCCTCGACCCAACCCTCTTCGCGCATGTCATCACCTTCAACGGGGTTGTTGAGCTCATAAACCTGAGTTAGGTGATAACGCCACGCTGGACCCTCGGTCACACGGCCAGGTTCCGCACAGGCGAGGAAGCGGAGCAACTCTCCATCGTACAGCCAGAAGCGGACAACTTGGGCAGGGATCTTGAAAGGGAGCACAAGGGCAACTCGGAATCCTTCAATGACATCGTCCAGCACATCCTGAGAAAGCGGGAGAAGGACATCGGTACGAGCAGAGGCGGGTGGGAGAGCCTGCAGAGTCGCGAGGGGCACACGCTGAGATTCAAGGGGCTGAGTCTGAGTCGGAGGCATAGGACGATGGATAGGTTTTCGGAGACGCTTCGCTGGGCGACGCGAAGGTTTGGGCGTTGGTGAGAGGGCAGGAAGCGTGGTTGGTCGTGAGCTGAGAGGTGGAAGTGGAGGTGATGTCGAGGCTTCAAGTCGTGAACTTGACGACTCCCCAGTTGAGACCTCGCCAAGAGCCCTTCGACGGATGCCACCACCAGTGGGATCTGCTTGAGTAGGTGTCCTGGACAATGCTTCCTCAGACGAGGCAATCTCATTCATGACAAACTGAGTTTCAGGCCCAGCAACGAAAGTGTTTTCGTCGTTTTCGTCACCACCGCCAAAGTTCTCGTCGTTCTCTCCAAAGTCGTCGTCATCCTCATCTTCCGAGTCGGGAATCTCGAGAAGGACCCTTTTCTTCCCTTGACCGGGGGATACCAGCTTCATTTTCCTTCTAGGCGTGGGGCTGCCGTCCCTGTTTCTTCTCTGACTACTTCCGCCCAGCTCGGTGCTCTCGCCTCTGCGCCTCGGCTTTGTAGGTGTCTCCATGTCGCTCAAGACTGAGGAGGACTCGAGCGGCTCAATTACTCCCTTTGGAGTCTTGTTGGGTGAGTCAACGGGCAGTTCCCGGAGAGGAGTACGAGCAAGTGAGCCCCAGCTCTCAGTAGCATAAGAGTCCTGAATGATGCGGTCGTGACGTCGAGGGGTCGTTGCAACACGCGGCTTTCCAGTAAACTCCTTAAGCGGTGATGTGACAGCCGGCGAAGGCCCCTTTCCTTTGACTGGAGTGACATCGACCTGATCAGGAGCGCCGTAGCGATCCATCATGAGGCTAGCCATGGACGATACGCTTGGCGGTGCAGAGAGCTGGCTTGAAGAAGGAATCTCTGCTGACTTGGCGCGCTTTCGTGGTGTCTGCGGTACTATGGAGTCCTCGCGGGTGGCGATCGGTTCCTCTGGCTGCTGCCGGGCCTTGTAGGCAGAACCAGGACGTTTTCTCTTGACAGGGGTAACAGACTTGAGGCGCTGAACCCGCCGTGGGCTTGGGTTTGGGCTTGTGGGATCGCCAAGCCACTGCTGAAACCCGTCGTCCTCTTCCTCGTCTTCAGAGTCCTTGATATACTGAGCTTGGCCATTGTGACCGATGAACTGGGTCAATGTCTGCGTGTGGTAGCTTGAGCTGGGCACCTCCCCCGTTGTCTTTCGTCGGTTCGACCTCTTCGTCTTCGTCTTGACGACTTTCGGTTCTTCGTCCGGTTCCTCGTCATCGTCGTCGTCGCCCATCGTCCGGCGTCGTTTCGTTCTTTGCTTTTTGGCAGAAGCCTTCTTGGAGGTTCCTCGTCGCTTTCTCCCAGTTGACACGGGCTCTTCATCCTCATCATTCCCCTGCTCCTCCTGATCCGCCTCTGGCACTTCCCTTTCCTCATCCCCATCATTGTCCTTTTCATCATCCTCGCTATCGCTCAGCACGATCATATCCTGCTCATCAAAGCTCGACGACACAAAGTCGATCTGGGTCAGGGTCTGCTGCCTCAACATCTTGGAGGGCGTCTCGGCCTGCTTCTTGCGATTCTGCTTCCCATACGTCCGCACAACCTTCCGACGCCCAGGGAAATGCGCTTGCTGCTGTGCTGGTGTCGAGTGGTAGACTCGACTCGGGGCGGGGACGCCGCCTGAGCGGGTCTTGGGCGGCATTATCGAGGCGATCCGGGCTGACTCGGGGCTTGTGAAAAGGTTTAGATCGTTATAGTTCAAGACTCGGAATAGTCTAAACTCGACATGTCGTTTGCTTGTGATTGAAAAGGCTTAAACGCTGGTAGGCAATCAATGAATTGTTCGTCCAGGGTCGATGGATGATGGGTGGAGCTTTGGTGCCAAAGGGCGTAAAGTGGCGTGGCGCTTAGCGTAGAACGCGGCGACGCGACGCGTCTTAAAGTGCAGGAAGGCGCCAGGGTCTCCTCCCCGCGAACGCGTCCGATTTTAATTGAGAGCTATTCTTAGCGTGTCATTGTCACCAACAATTCGACTATGACGTCGCTACCATCTTGAGGACTCATTTTGAGTACTCATCTAGACTCCCACTCAAAGGAACAAGATGCCTCGTCAAAACGCTGATAGTTCATGGCAAATAGATATATCGAGATATACTAAAAAGGTCAACCTCCAGGCGCCACGCAATACACGTCTTCCTATATACCACGAACCATCACGCCTCATGCACTTCCCACGGCTGGTCAAGCATGCTGACTGGTAGTATAGCAATTACTAGTACAGATTCATCCCATCATATCCTCCATCATCCCTTCTCGATACCCGAAGACTTGACTCCTATATCAGTAGCTTCATCGGAAAGCAGCCTTGACATCGGCACGGGGCCACTCGAAAAGGACGTCGCCACCATACACATTGGTCGTCACATCGCCAATTCGCCTCTCCACGTTTTCATAGAACCCTTCACACTCTGATAGCACCTTGGCCACCAAGCCTCGGCTCAGAGCCGGATCGTCTGCGTCGCCAAAGTGTTTCTCTACACGCTTACGCAGCGCTTCGATGCCTTTGCGCACCTCCTTGGAGTCGTAGTTGCCAAGCACCTTGTTGAACACCGTCTTGCTGTTGGATGGCTGCGCCGCGATTGTTGCTGCCGACTTTCCTGATTGGAGCTGCGACTCCATGTTTTCGAGGTGCTCCAGAACCTTGCCCAGTGGTCGTCGCATCACCGCGTTTAGATAGAGGTTCATGTGCTCGTCGTACGTTGCGTTCGCCTGGTCCTTCCACTCCTCAAGCACATCCAATCCCCGAGTGTCCGTCTCTTCTGTGAAATGGTTCATGTTCTCAATCAGGAGGATGTGGAAGTTGAGAGCCTCCTTGTCCTCGGGATCTGCAGAGCCGCTCGTCACACTAACTCCTGGGTTCTCTCGGGCAATGACCATGAGCGAGTCAAACATTGTCTTGAGCAGTCGGTCATACTCGCGGTCAATCGTGCTTCGAGATGCAAGGTTAGCATCCACCCCGGCAAGCATGTTCTCGACGGCAGCTGAGAAAGCAGGGAAGACGCGGATGAATGAGATGACGCCCTTTCGCTTGCTGATCTTGACCTTGGTCTCCTCGATAGCTCGAATCTGCTCATCGACAAATTTCTTAAACCGCACTTCCAGATGCCCGTGGAGCTTCTGCAGCAGAGTGTTAAGGTACTCTTGGTTAGACTGGCTAATCTCGGCCATCTTCTTCTCTAGAGTGGCCAGGACTCCAATTCCTTGTCTGGTAATCGTTAGCATATCGGCAAGAAGAATGAACACATCCAACTTACAGAGGATCCTGTCCAACCACCCATTCCATGAGCCGAAGCAGCTCTGACTCAAGGAATGCAAACACAACTTCCATTGAGCGCAAGATGCGCTTGGCCAACTCTCGGTCTGGCTCCATGAGACGAGGCCGTCTCAGATCGCCACCTCGTCGGTCTCGAGGTGCCCTAGTCGCAACAGAGTCTGGGAAGTCGATCTGTTCGAGGGTTGTGGCGTGGAAGAAGTCGATGATAAAGTTCTGCTCCATCTGCATAAGAGGAAGCAGGTCATCGAGAACGCCCGCAAAAACTTCGTATGGCAGGTCCCTGCCCTCGGCACCCGCTCTCTTCTCTGCCTTTTGCTTGCTGCCTCCATCCTCTCGCTGTGATCGAAGGGCACGAGCGAGTGTTTGACTACGCTTCACTGTCAACTTTCTGGCAGTGGTAGCCACACCTCCTTCCTGATGCTTCTCGACGGGAGTCGTGAAGAGCAATTCGGCCTCATCGCCAGTCAACTTCCTGGCATTCTTACGCCACACCGCAACCACAGCCTGGAACTCGACCCGATACACAGGCTGACTCTTATCCTGGTAAATTTGGATGAGACGATTCCATTGTTCCGTATCCATATCGCGGGCGTATAACATCAGAGGGCTGAACTTCCACAAGACGTCTCGACCAAGGTCATGGTGTGTAGAATCGACCTTGCGAGACAAGGCCCCTTCCATGGCAAGCTTGGTTTCTGTAAAGGCCTCGTCAAACTGTCGGGACATGAAGTCGACGAATCTGCGCATAAACGATGCACTCTCCTGGTCGTAGATCTGCTTCTTCTCTTGGACGATGCGCATTTGCTTGAAGTCGGGGTTGAGGCCGTGGGCTTGGTCGGATTCTCCCGTCACATCCACCTTGTCACCACCGCTGCGAGTGGGATCGATCTTGATCATAGCCTTGTAAAGGACGACCAGGGACTTTTCAACGTCTTCCAAGCCACGCAGATTGTCCAAAGGTGCCATTCGGAGTACTTCAAGTTCGTTCGATGTGATGGCGCATGTCTCCAGCAGAGACTCGAGCTCCTTCTTGAGTAGCTTTTGGTTGGCTGTTTGCACTTGAAGACCCTGGCCCTGGGCCTCAATGTATGCGATATCCTCCGACAGGGTCTACTGCTTGTTAGAACTGCCATACGAGTTTAGTTAACAACTTACCGAAAGTTCAACGGAATAGAGTGTGAGCAAGTTGTCCAGCTCCTCACACTCTGCCATGGCAACATCAAGTCCCAACTTAATCGCATCGACGCGCTCATCTTCCTCACGGAAACGAGCAAGCCAACCTCCAGCCTGCGCCTTGTTGAGTTCTCGCTCGAGATCAGCCTTCATCTCTTCGACGTTGCGTGTTCGCATCTGGTCTCCAGGAATCCATCCGAAGTAATCGAGCCACTGGGAAAATTCTTCACTCCTCTCATCCAAGATTGATGGGTTGACACCCAGTGTTTGGAGATACTTCACGTCATTGCCTGCGGCAATAGACCGGCGAGGCTCCTTCTTCTCAGGTTCCTTTGACTTCTTGGCTTCTTGGGGAGGTCCATGTGAACTCGATGGCCGGCTGCTAGGAAGACTGATTTTAACTTCAGGAACCAGAGAGCTACGATCGGCAGACTTGGGGCGCTCTGTAGACTTGGGCTTTTCAAGCACCTTGGGTTCTTCTGCAGGTTTCGCCTGCTCATGGGGTTGCTCGGGGGTCGTTTCCCTAGAAGGCGGGCGAGGCGGCGCAGGAACAACGCCTGTGATACCGTCGGGTCCTTCGTCACCCTTGGTTTGAGCCTGACGTAGACGCTCTCCCGCACCACCAGGTCTAGGCTTAAAGGCGGTTGCCGCAGATGCAGTAGCGGCAGCCTTCCATAGCGCACCGGCGATCTCATTTCTTGACTTCTTCACCCTGATCATAGGACCCAGACCAGGTCTCGACTCGTCCGAGTCACCTGCTGATGGGCTAGGTTCTTTACGAGGTGGCGAGATAGGAAGATCATCTGGAGCCGAGACGGGAGGTTCAGGGGGGGAATTGGGGGCTGTTTGAAAGACTGGCGCCGGCGAAGGGGCGGCACTCACTGCCGAGTTCGAAGAACCTGGTCTAAGAGCTGGGGGTACTGGTGGTGCTGATATCTGTTCGTGCCTTGGCAATTCCGCCATCCGTCCTGCGGACGTTGGAACCTCTCGATCCTGAAGACTTCCAGTGAGGGAGCTATTCGCTGACTTCATACTCGAAGTATCCTTTCTTGGCATAGTCCGTTCGCTGCTACGTGGTGGAGGTGCCATTGGCTCCTTTTTCCCAGGGCTGATCAAAGGCGGAGGTACCAGGTCTCGGTCAAGGGGTCGAGTGGGATCCATAGGGGGTCTTCTTCTTTCCGGAGGCGGCCTATCAAGTTGGAGAGGTGAGGGAACGGGTTGATGGGGTTGCATAGCTGGCTGAGATTTTGGCGAAGGTGAGGATTGAGAGGTTGGTGGTTGCGGAGGTGTAAGAGTTGTCGGCGTTCGTGCATCCGGAGGTTCCCCAAACCTCCCATAAGCCCCCGGCCCTGTCATACCATTGCGGGAGCGTGGTGGTAAGCTAGAAGCATCATCGCTTCTGGCAGCTAAAGAATTGGCAACCGAGTCCTGACTCTTGTTTCCATGAGCCATCCATCGGGGAGGCGGTGGGCCTCCCCTCGAAGCGCTCGAATCAAAACTTCCAACAGGCGAGTTGGTGATGTTTGGTGGACGAACTGGCGGCGTTCTGAAACGCGGGATCTCTTGGGCGGCTGCGGCTGGATGTCCCGGAAGTTGCACAGGATGAGCAGGTCGCTGAGCTGGTGAACTGTTTATGGGTTGGCTCGGCAGTTGTTCAGGCTGTGATGGCGGCTGCGATGGCTGTTGTGGCAGAGGAGTTCTTGAGGGGCCAGGTGGTCGTCTCGTAGCTCCCATTACTTGCTCATACTCTCTCTGCTCGAACCCGAAAAGCTCTGGAGTTCTACCGCCGGTGTATTTTCCGTAGATCTTGATGAGACTGGCAATAAAGAACTTCTTTTCCTTATCTGTCTGGGCCTGCCAGAAGTAAGGCTTGCCGAGAGTGACCTGGAACCCAGTGTCGCCGGCCCAGTCGCGATGGTTAGCGTTAGCTTCGGGCCCGGTGTAGGACTCGATGCGTGTCAAGTCGTCGAGATTCCAGGTCTTGCCGACTGAAAAAGAACCGTTGGCATTCTCTTTGGACTTGTGCATGCGGACTCGGCCGGACTTGCGAACGGCTACGATAATGATTCGAGGCTTCTGGACATCAGGTGTCCGGGCCTGGGGTGGAGGAGGGGTCGTTGGGTAGGATGAGTATTCGGTGATTCGAATGTGGGTGATATACGTCTCATGAACTAGCGAAGCTCGTCAGTCCAATGATACACCCGCCATCATGTGTTTTCTTGATCTCTGTCTCCTGGCGACAACCCCACGGCCAAAAGTTGATGGACTCGCGGACCTGACGCGGAGATTATGCAGTCGAGAGCTAGGCTTGGCGAGGACAACAACCACAAGACTTACGGGAGCCGTCCACATCCTTCTTGCTGAAGCAACTTTCTATGATGCGGCGCTTCTCATCCTCAAAGCGCTCTGCCCTACTAGCAGCCGCAGCCGCGCCGGGGCCGCCCCCATTTGCGCGGTCCATGAGCAAACGGCGAGGAACGGGATCACGCAGGGGCGACGAATGGTGAGCGCGGAAGCATGTTCGGTCGGGCAGGGGAGGAAACGAGCGGTTCCCGCGACAAGAAGCGGGCTATTCGAACAGGTGAGCGCGCAAAGCGACGGCGCAGTTGTCGACGTGATGAGGTGACGCTTCTCGGCGCTCGGTGACGTGGATTCGTTTCGAGGACAACTTGGTCGTCGAGGCGAGGTCAACGTAGGTAGGTAATGTGGCTGGAGGTTCCCTATTTCGATGTGGAGGTTTCGGGTGGGCACCTGCCTTGGCCTGGGCGCTGGGCACTGGAGCTTTGGGCTGTACCTGCCTTTGTTGCTCCACTGCAGCTCCGGATCTTGGAAGGCTGCTGTGGCTGTCGGCCTATGGCAAGCCACAGAATGGGGTCAGGCTCCGCTAACACGTGTGTCTTATTAGTTCGGTATGTTTGTCTCCCATCTTTGATTGTGCTGCGTGATTCTTTGAACCTGCAGTTATCCGACAGGAACCTATTATTGGGATTTATGTCTTATGCAGATGAAATTGTCGAGTTTCTTTCAATGTCCAAAGTTTGCAACCCTGTGGAGAGCTCTGATTCAGCTTGGCGGTTGTTTACAACACATCAAGACGCCTCCCTACAATGTCCTTGACCATATCAAGATCTAAAGCCTCCACGCTCCTCCCTTTGAATCCCGCCGTCGACTCTGCCATGCACAGTGCATTGTAGATGGCTTCCTCTGTGGCGTCTGCTGCAGCCTCAAAAACCCCGTTGATCGAGTCGTCATCAAGCATTTCTATAGCACTGGGTCTAGGTCGGTACGGGTCCTTGACGAGTGATGTTCCGGGTGCCATGGACACCTCCTGGAATGGTATCTTGGATGCGGTTGAAAATGCCAGGAATATATCGCCCGATGTGTTGTTGCCATAGCCACCCACCTTAGCGAGGCCGACAGTGGCCCGTTTGGCCACACGCTGGAGCTGGATGGGAAGCAGAGGGACATCCGTCGCGATGACGACGATGATACTGCCGTCTTTTCTAGCCTCCTTTACCGTGATATTCTCGAGTGACACCGCGCCAGATGCCTTTTTTGACTTGATGATTCGACCGATTGGAACTCCTCCAATGTGCAGATTCTCCTGCGAGCCATAGTTGGCCTGGACAAGCACGCCTACAGTATATGCCTTGGGATCCCCGACTGCATCAAATCCCTGCACGATTCGACTGCTTGACCCTGTGCCGCCCTTGAACCGGTGACAGATCATCCCGGTGCCACCGCCTGTGTTACCCTCTGGAACACGTTCTGAGCTCGCATTCAGAATCCCAGTCACAATGTGCTCAGGTGTCACTGCGAAACGGCTCTGGTCGCTCAGAAAGCCATCAAACGTCTCTGCGACGACTGGAAATATGAAAAGGCCCATCTCGCCTTCGTCATTGGTGTGGTAACGAAATGCATATTCCAGAATGCCGCGGTGGCCATCGCCGATGGCGGACGTGGTGGTGAGGACGATGGGTGACGTGAGTAACCCTGTTTCCTCGATCCAGTGAGAACCTGTCAGTTCACCACAGCCGTTGAACCTGAATATTCCAGCATGTGACGAGTACTTGGACCAGTCGGGACGAGGAAGGATAGTCGTGACACCCGTGTTGACGTCGGCGTCGGGTCTGATGGACTGAGTATGAACGAGCACACCGGGGACGTCAGTGATGGAGTTGAGTTCGCCCGTTGGCCACTTGCCCAGTTGAAGTTGAGGCAATATATCACGAAGACGAGCTCTGCCAGATGATGTTGAAGTTGACATTGCGGTTTGCGCTGCTGATATAGTGGAGGTGGGGTTTCTGTTTGTAGTGTTTGAGGACTGTTAAGCCCTCACTTTGACTTCCATGATGATTTGTATCTGCTGATATCAGGTGATGAGCCTGGATTATGTCGCTGAGTCAGGCATGCAATTGCGAGATGTTCGTATTGGTTGCAAGTTGTCGGTTTGTCTAACAACCTTGTCTATCATCGCTTGAAGCGAGTTCAGAAGTGAATCGAATCACACAAGACGAGAATAGGTGAATCATCCGGCTCGTACTGAACTAAAATTAGCCTCGGGTCTAACAAATGATGATACAAACTGTCAAAATGAAAGTCAATCACTTTGACAAGCACCAAACATTGTCTCGGCCGAGAAGCCTTCGGCAAAGCTTCCATTTCGGCTTTGTTGACTTGAGTTGCCAGATTAGGAAATTATCTCCCCAGACTTCCCCTCAACTCCTCTCCTCGATCAACAACGTCATTTAAGAGAAAAGACATTAGGTCTGCGATACTCTACTCGGATACAAGGAACCAATCAGGATGAAAATGCCGTCACCAAAACAGCCCCCAGGTTCACCATAGCCGGGGCGAACGCCCTCGTGATACAGCACACACGATCCAGAGTAGATCCGCTATCCGTTCACGCCGTTCTACCCGCTTTCCCCTCACAACTTTACCAACATCGGGCCCCAGATCGGCGCAGCTCTCACCCCGCAATCGCGGTCTTGGTCGTCCGCCATCCGAGGTTCTGCTTACACAATGTGTCGTGCATGTTAGCCGCCGCCTCAACTTCAATTGGCACATCTTGAAGCCTTCTTTCAACCTCTCTCAACTCTGGGGCATCCTGCTGTTGCTGTTGCTCACTGACTCTTCATCCTTCTACTCGTCTTGTCGTACTGCTTCTGTGACATCGCTTGGTGACATCATATTCACCATGGTGCCCGCCGTGAGAGCTATTCCCAACGTACGTAACAACCCCGCAAAGGTTTGAGGCATTGAATATCGCCTCTCACTCGCCTTGAGCCAATTCGTTCAAGCAGCGCTCACAGCAGTCAATCTAGGCCGCCAAGCGAGCTACGAACCTGCTCCGCACCGTTCAGTTCACTCACCCGCCCTCATGTCCCTGCCACTCCAACCCCGGCTATCACCAGTCGCCGCCGGTTCTCACCCCCTCCAGACATGCTCATCAGCGCAAGTATGCCACGCCGACCACGCACCCGGGCCAGAAGGAGTACGCCTTTGAGATGGCTGCCTCGTCAATTCGCTTCGGTCCCGGCGTGACACAGGAAGTTGGCATGGACTTGAAGAACCTGGGCGCTAAGCGAGTTTGTGTCGTGACGGATGAGAACGTCGACAAGCTAGATGCTATGCGACAGGTTCGTGAGGCTCTCACTCGAGAGGGTGTACCCTTTGAGGTTTACTCCAAAGTCCGAATTGAGCCAAAGGATAGCTCGTAGGTTTCTCAAAGACCCCGGTGTCGGTTTTTTCTGACAATGTTATAGTATCAAGGATGCCATCGCTTGGGCTCGTCCTTATGAGCCTGATGCCTTCCTGGCTGTCGGAGGCGGCTCGGTCATTGACACAGCCAAGCTCATGAACCTGTATACAGCGTATCCTGACGCTGACTTCCTCGACTTTGTCAACGCGCCACTCGGCAAGGGCCGTCCCGTCGACAAGCCCCTAAAGCCACTCATCGCCGTTCCAACCACAGCTGGCACAGGTAGTGAGACCACTGGAACAGCCATCTTCGACCTCGTCTCCAAGCGGGCAAAGACAGGTGTCGCTCACCGGAACCTCAAGCCCACGCTCGGAATCTGCGATCCCCTCAACACGAGGACTATGCCTGCAGCAGTCAAGGCCGCCTCTGGTCTCGACGTGCTCTGCCACTCCCTCGAGTCTTGGACAGCCATCCCTTATAATGAGCGAACACCAAGGCCTACTAACCCAATCCTCCGCCCAGCATATCAGGGAGCCAACCCCATCTCTGATGTGTTTTCGTTCCACGCTCTCCGCGCTACTGTCAAGTACCTTCCACGATCTGTAAGGGATCCTGATGATCTCGAGGCTCAGAGTGAGATGCTTCTGGCCTCCACTCTGGCTGGTGTTGGTTTTGGAAACGCTGGTGTTCATCTCTGCCATGGTAAGTCTGCGTGTGAATCGAGTCAACTGGCATGACTAATAAGTTTCAGGCATGTCGTACCCGATCTCGGGTCAGAACCCAGGCTACAAGCACGCTGGATACCAAATAGATTCGCCAATCATCCCTCACGGTGTGTCGGTCGCCGTTTCAGCTCCTGCCGTCTTCCGCTTCACAGCCGCCTCCAACCCAGACCGACATCTTGCCGCAGCGGAAGCATTCGGAGTCGACATCACCAACGTTAAGCGCGAGAGTGCAGGTGAGGTTCTCGCCGAGGCCATCACCAAGTTCCTGGCGGAGCTGGGAGACCAGCCCAAGGGCCTCAAGGAGCTCGGGTTCGGCACGGAGCACATCGAGGCTCTTGTAGAGGGAACGATCCCTCAGGCACGTGTGCTGAGCTTGGCCCCTGGTTTGTCCAGCCAACTCGAGGCTGAGAAGGATCAGCTCCGGAGATTATTTGAGAATGCCATGACGCATTAGGAATTAAGGGTAGAGAAGATGTCGTGATGTGGGTGTATATGCAAATAATAAGACATGGGTGCAAATTCAGAATCTACTCCCACTCCCACCCCTTGCCGGATCTCAAGCTGCAGTGTTACCGTTTATAGTAGCAGTAGCATCCGATCGAAGAAAGCTAAAGTCTGGCGACAATGCGGCTCTGGATTGACGCATACCCAATGGGATACCAGGGAGTAGAGTTGTGCCACCAGATCCAACACATGTTCCCTTTACTTTGTGCAACCTTGTGCCCGCACTATGCCATTCTGTGCAACCCTCGCGTTTTCACAGCATGCACCTCGCCGTAAAGTCCCAAACCGTTTACCCATTTCGTGAACCGTCGCACGGAATTTGCTCCGTTCCCCGCAAAGAGGATTGGATGACAGCTTAAGAACCAGACGCCATTGGACGGAAACCATGAGTCCCTGCAGGTACGCGGTGTCACTGGCTATTACCCCAATAGGAAATCCAACTACAAATCGTGCATGGCTACTGAGACACCTTTCCGACCTCGGCAAGCCCCTACAATTTCTTGGGTCTTTACCAGGACGAACGAAGAGAGACGTCAAGGAATTCGTCAGCCTTGAAGTTCTAGAGTGAACCAGTGTTTGCCTCCTTTTTTTTTCTTGATCAGCCAAGTATCAAAATAGAATGTTCCAAGAGTCATGAGCTCAGCAAGTTTTATTCTTTTTTTCCACGAGTGGGACGATAGCGGGGATCGCCTCTCGGAAGACGTCCCGATGGCCGCAACGTCAGTCATGATCCTGACCTTTACCTAACGAAATTTCCAAGCGGAGGTTTCGCAAGAAGCTTCCAAGACCCAAGACCTCGTCTGAATTTCTCCCTGTGCCACTTCACCAAGCGGGAGTAATATCCACATTGACGTCACTCCACCTGTTGGCATTGTACGAGACCCCAAGTGCACGAGTCGATCGCTGCCCTTGCCGGATATGTACGGAGTCCGTTAGAGCATTGCACCACGATGGATCCTTTCTTGCCTTATAATTAACAAGGCCGGTCCCTTTCATGGGATCCGGAGCTTCCCCACGACTGAGCTTCTGTATGTTGTGGGCATCCTTGCTCAAGTTGCATCCCAGTTCCATCTTTTTTCTCTTTACACGTTCGTTACTTGTTGCTACCAGATCCGATGGAGGGTTCTTCCAAAGACTACAGAGATGAACCGGACCTTGAACTCGGTCCTGATTCATCCAAGCCTGCCAGCGGCAGCGAGACTCCCCCAAGCCCCAAGACAGCTGCTGCCATCAGGAAAGAAAAGGGCCGAGTAAGATTCAACAGCAATGCCGCGGTTACCAGTCCTCCGGTGATTCCGTCCAGCCCACCACCCGAAACCCGAACAACTCCCATTGCAAAGCCGAGGCCTTCACTGCTACGAGGCAACTCTTCAAACTCTGTGACTGGTGGCACCAAGGACATTGACGATGGATTGGATCCCGAGTCGAAGGAGGCAATGGTTGCCGCCCAGGAACGTGCCAGGTTAATCGCGGCGAACCTTAGTCGGGACTCTTCCGCCATTTCCAGAGACTCGCTCGAATCCAGTGTGGGCACCGCTTACGACGACCGCGAGTCTACTGCAGGCTCTAACATTCCCCTTCAAGACCTAAGCCACTCGGCACACAACCGAGACGGCTTCCAGAAGATCCCATCTGGGGAGCACGAGCACCCGACACTCAAAGAAGAAGCATTCAAGCTCGTCCGATCCCACACTAACCGCTTCGAAAACAACACTGCCCAGAACTCACCAACTGCCAAGGAAGCTCCTCGCCAGCGCCGAGAGACTCTAACAGAACTAAACGACGGCAATTATGATGGAGTGGTATACGATCTGCCCGAGCCCGAGCAGTACCGCGGCAGCGTCCTGTCTCAGCTGTTGAAGCTCTACAAGCCCCCCGAACCGCCGTTCAAAAGAGAACACAACCGAAACGCCTCCATAGCTTCATCGATCGGTGGAACGAGCAGCCCTACAGTCCAGGGCACACCCTCCGGGGCCTCAACGCCAACCCGCAAGAAGTGGTATAACCAGAACCGCTCGCAAGACACACTTGCCAACCTCATCGAGGCATCCGCACGGCTTGCCAATCCCAACGAAGGAGAGCAGGCCAGTGACAGTAAGAATGGCGGGAAGAAGCATGGACGACCTCCAATGCACAAGCGAGCTCACAGCGCCAACCGGCTCAGTGGTTTCTGGCAACAACAGGAAGCTCGGATTACGGTTCATATTGCAGAGACACTGTCGCGACAGGATTACATCATCAAGCTCTGCCGTGCCTTGATGTTGTACGGAGCTCCAACTCATCGGTTAGAAGAGTATCTGAGCATGACTGCCAGAGTCCTCGAGATCGATGGACAGTTCCTCTACCTGCCGGGATGCATGATCATCTCGTTTGACGACAGGTCGACGCACACGACAGAAGTCAGAATTGTCCGTTCAGCTCAAGGCATTGACCTGGGAAAGCTCAAGGACGTTCATCTCATTTACAAGGAGGTTATGCATGACTGTATCGGCGTCGAGGAGGCTACCGACAAGCTGGATGTCTTGATGAAGCGCAAGGACAAGTTCCACGCTTGGCTGCGAGTCATCATTTTTGGACTCACCAGCGTCACGGCCGCACCCTTCTCTTTCGGAGCTCGTCTGATTGATCTCCCGCTCATCTTTGCTTTCGGCTGTCTTGTTGGAGTACTGCAGCTCATTGTGGCTCCCAACTCTGCCCTGTACAGCAACGTCTTTGAGGTTACCGCAACAGTCGTCGTCAGCTTCTTGGCCAGATTATTCGGCAGCATCAACAACTCGAACCTGTTTTGCTTTGGTGCTCTCGCTCAAGGCGGTATCGTCATGCTTCTTCCCGGTTACATGGTTTGTAAGTTGAACCTCTATCCAATGAGGAGCCAATGCTAATACCAATGATATAGTGTGCTCTTCTCTTGAACTTCAGTCCAGGGCCATCGTCCCGGGCTCAATTCGTATTGTTTACGCCATTATTTATTGTCTTCTACTTGGATTCGGCATCACGGTTGGTTCAGCACTATATGGACTCTTTGACGATACGCCGTCCAACCAAGCGACTTGCGAAAATCCCATGGACCCCTACTACGGCTTCATCTTCGTGCCTCCCTTTGTTGTCTGCATCAGCATGATCTACCAGGCCAAGTGGCGCCAGGTTCCCATCATGGTCATCATCGCCTTTGCCGGATACATGGTCAACTACTGGAGTGGACAACGATTCAAGTCCAGCCCGCAGATCTCTAGCACACTCGGCGCCCTGGCCGTCGGCGTGCTTGCGAACCTGTACTCCCGACTAAGACACGGCGTTGCGGCAGCCATTCTCATCCCCGCCGTCTTCTGTCAGGTGCCAGGAGGTCTGGCGTCGACTGGAGGTTTGCTGAGCGGCCTCAGTGTGGCCAATGAGCTCACCAACAACAACGGGACAATCAACGGAACGGCTTCTGTCCAGGTTGAGTCGGGAGGGAAGCTCGACAACCTGGTGTTCAATGTGGCGGCTTCAATGATTCAGATTGCCATTGGAATTGCTGCTGGCCTATTTATGAGTGCTCTAATCATCTACCCTCTTGGCAAGCGACGAAGCGGTTTGTTCAGTTTCTGATTCTCGTTTTCACGGCGTTACCAGCATTGCGAGGTTTTTTGCATTGCATACAATGGATGTATTTTAAAAGTGGCATTTATCACATAACGAAAATAGCGGTTACATGGGGGCGGGGGACAAAAATTAGTTGCGTCACAGACGCTTTGCATTTGGTGTTTATGAAATTGGATAGGTCCGGGTATTGAGATTGTTTTCGTGTTTTCATCCACATCATGAATGAACGACAAGGTTTTAGAGGAGCAAGCATATAGACAGCAAGTTTATGTGTCAACAATGGCCTCATGAATTTACAATTTGAAGCTGTCCTTTGTATTAACCTTCAACTTGGCAGTGACATTCAAGACGTCATGCAGCAATGAGGCAAGCCCTACATACAATGATGTATCCATCGGCTCACCGGGGACATGATGATGTCCGTCGGGACTGCCGGGACGGCACCGGCCTCGATGAATCGGTTGATGGATCAATTTTCCCTTCCTTCATTCCGGGTAGCCCCAGCTTTTGCAAACGTGGACCCCTGCCACGGTGTCAATCACCAACGGGTTGGCTTGGCTTGGCTTTTTACTAGGATGATCCGATTACGCGTATCTCCCACATGCCGATCCACGTTTTTGACGGTGTTGTTACCGTTTATTGTGCATGGACGTGTGCGTATGCATAAGCATATATGGGGGATAGGTTGGATTTGTGCAGCTACAGGGTAAATGAAGGCATCTTCAACTCGGGCTCTTACAGATGGAAGGAACTACACTGGGATATAGTTAATTCATAACCAAGTTAAATAGAGAAGGATCAATCGTCTATTACCGTTGAGCTCGATATCTTCCTCCCCAGCCGTGATCTTACTCTTCCATCTCCATCCCTTCCACTCATCCCTCTATCCGTCCACTTACACCCTCCCTACGCCCAACCTACTGCTGCTATCTCTCACCTCCCCCTTCTTAACAAGTTCCGTGACCATGAGTACTTCAGCAGATACATCTCATCCACATACCCCTCTACCGACGCCAGAGTCAGTGATAAAACCCGAAACTCAAGATGAGCGAATCACTCTACCAGCAAACGAGCCTCTAGCGCCACCTGTACAGCTTCCCCTTCCCGACAGGGATGAATCTCCATCGCCATTAACACATCCTCTCCTACCGCAGGTAGAGTCCTTGACAACGCAGCCACCAATACCAGAGGCAGATACTCTGGCATCACTGGCGCAACCTCCTCCACTTCCTCCTCGCATGACTCCCACCTCAGAGCCAGAGCCTGTTCCTCGCAAACTCCCACACACATTAAATCTCTACCGGTACAAGGGCAGCGACATGCCAGTAGGAACCTACACTTTAGGTGAACGGGAAAGTCAACCACTATACCTCTGCAAGGCGGACAGACGCTTTCTCGGACTACTCTCGTCACCCATGGTCATATACTCGGGGCCTACCGACGATGACCCCCCGCTGGCATACATTAAGATATCAGGATGGAGTTGTACTGTCTCGGTCGGGTTGGCAGCTTGGTCGGGCGCCCTGAATCTATACCCGGATCAGGAGGTGAAGGAGAAATTCATTCGAGGTGGACAACATTTCACCATTGAATCTGGCACCAGTGGGAATGAAGTGAAAGAAGAGTTCGAGTGGCGGCCTTCAAAGTGCGACGCGGTAGCAGGCCTAGGAGGTCAACGACGTGGTTGGAAGCTTGTAAGACTTGCCCGAGGACCTCCTGGCGGCGCAGACATGGACTTTTTACCTGGGAATATCAGGGACAGTTATGGGAAGGAGATCGTTGCGGTCTGGACTGAGGCCAAGCGGAATTCGACAGAGATTGGGCATTTCCGGTTTCTGGGCACAGGAGTGACGGGGGCTCTCGGGGACAAATGGGCCATCATGGCTATTATCACGGCGCTGGCTCTGCTGGAGCAAGATCGGGCCATCGCCCAAAGAGCCATCACGTCTATATTCCAGAGAAAGAGTAGATAGGCAACGGTAGGCTGGAAACCTACATAGTCACGGGAGAGGAGGGACGGCCAAGTACATCAGTTTGGATGGGCTTCTTTTTCTTGATGATACCCTAAAGATAGATACTATTTTTCATCGACCTATGAAAATGAAACAAGGAGATACATTAATCCCGACCCCTTTCCAACATTAGCTAGCTTTTGCGCTCGGGAAAGTATGTCAATTCATGAACTTCGTCAGGGGTAGCAGGGCTCCCTCTCCATTGCGGCGGAGGCGGCTGTTGAGGAGGATATGGTTGTGGTGAGTAGGGCTGTACCGGTTGATACTGCTGAGGCGCGCTGAACTGAGGAGGCACGTTGAATTGAGCAGGCACAGGATTGATAACTGTAGGAGGAGGGCCCCCTGGAGCTGCAGGTGCTGGACGTCCACCAGTCATGTCGATCTGCTTCTCGCCGTTGGCCCTACTCCAGTCGCCGGGAGACATGATGAAGCTGCTGGAGTCGGGGTGGAAGATTGTAGTCAAGACGCGGCCTACGGCAACCTGCTTGAGTCTGTGCCTCACGAGGCCGAAGCTGGACTTGCCCGTCACGGCGCTGCCTGCTACGGCTAGGAAGATGAGGCCCATGAAGACGATGACGACGAAAGCCGGGATGCCAAACATCCATCTGTACTTGACCCTGTGGACTGTTGGAATGACTCGTAGCCTGGCAGCTTGGTCGGGCTCCTCGTTGAGAGCGCCCAGGGTGCCTTTGGTACCCACGAGGGCCGAAGCAGCGAGATCGTTCCAGAGGAGCTTGTAGATCTTGGGAGCCGTCTCAGCAGAGGCTGACAGCTCTTTCCACTTGAGCCAGAGACTCATGCTCTGCCGAGCGGTAAAGTCAATGATGGGATCTGTATCGCTACCGCTCTTGAAGATGGTGTGTAGAGCTGAGATGGGCACGATGGAACCGGGGAGATTCATAGTGGAAGAAGACGGGCTAAGCGCCGCAGGACCAAAGATCTCGTCCATAGCGGAACCGAGGAGATACAACTCTGGTGCCTGGGTGGTGCTGACGTTTTGAAAGCCCTTGAAAGCTGGGTCGACGATACCCCAGATGGGCTCAAACTGAGCGAGGGTGAGGGACCAGTCTTCAACGCCCCAGAGTGGCATATCGTCCTTGCTCTTATACTCTTTCTCCTTGACCTCCTTGACGACTAGGTTGTCGATGCTGTCGCTGGTGCCATTGTGGAAGAAGGTGACCCTCTTAACGGTGGCTTTAACGGCTGAGGCGCAGGTGTATAAGGGTGAACTCCATTCGCTGCCGTCTTCGAATAGGTTTGGTGAGCCACCGCCTACTCGCTTGGGAACCCCGCGGAGTAAGTTGCAGGCGACGTAGGTGTTGTTTAACAAGGCTGGGGCATTCAACGAAGTTCCTTGGCAAATAAATTCTAAGGGAAAAGGTCAGTGGTGAGCCAAGGGGCTAGCAGAGCATAACTTACTCGCAGCATCCCAGTAGTCAGAAGTGATATTATGCGGATTCTTGTAAATCTCCTCCCCCTTACCATCAAAGGACTTTGTCATACCAGCAAGCCTCCCAAACTCCGTCATGAACTGCAGTGACTGATACGTAGTGTGATCAACCTCGGCGATGGGCAGCTTCCACTTCTTACCGACCTTGGAGTCGATGCGGTCAAACGCCTTTGTCCCCTTGACCTTGTCAGTCGGATCCGACATGTTCATGAAGAGCATTGTGACGCCGTTGGTGTACCACGCCGCCTGATACGCCCGCGTCTTCAGGTCAGGCTTGTTCACGCCGTTGCGCTGGTCATGCTCCGGGTTGGTCGTGTTGAGGTGGACGAAGCCGCCGCGGTCCGTCATGTACAGATTTGTGACGGCGAGGCCAGAGGTTTGCTTGGAGCTGGTGCTAATTTCAAAGTCGACGGTGACGTTGAGGTTCACACACTCAATCTCTGGCTCTAGGAAGAGCAAGTCTTCAGACCAAGTTGCGCCTCGGGTATGTCCAATAGGCAGAGTATGGTTCCTCAAGCCGATACCGCCGTTTTTGTTGTCGACAATCAGACCCTCCACAGGTTTAATCTCTTCCCTGAGTGCAAACGACTCGAGAGCGCGGAAGATGCCAACAGCGATGGGTGTGCCGTTGTTGTAGATTCGGTTGTATTGCTTGGTCAACTGCCGCCACTCAATATCAAAGTAGTTAGAAATGGTTGTCCTGCGCTTCTTAGTGCCGCTCATGTAGATATCATGCAGGATACTGGGCACGGTTGTGTTGATTTCGTAAAGCGTCGTGCAGTTGAGGGACAGCCCGTCGGATGAAAAGATGGTAACATCCGAAGTGTAAGGACAAGGCGCATAGCACGTTGGAGTTAATGAACAGGTTCGTGTGAAGGAGTTGTTGCTGTCGCGTGGTGAGGTTCCCATGAGGAATGCGCTCGAGTCCTTGGCATATTGGAAAGATGCCAGAGTGGACTGGTTGTCGAGTTCATCTTGCTCGTATAACCCCAGAGGAGTGATAACACCAGCAAGAGAGACGAGCAAGGCAAGCAATGGGACAGCCAAGGTCATCATGGAGATGGTTCCGCGGACTCCATGACGCTTAGCAGAGTCTGCCTGAAGCAGGGGAGGCCATAGAGAGCTCTGAAGGAATCGACCAGCATTTGTCCTACGACGATTAGCTAAATCTTGCCAAGTGCCAAGGCTGAAGGTATAACTCACCATGTGGCTGCTGTCTCGCGATCACGTAGTTGACCAGCGAGGATAAAGGTCATGGCAGTCGGACACCATAGTTGAGCTATTGTCCAAGTTAGAATTCCCACCATGTCTTGTTGCGTGCCGCACAAGAAGCACTTTGCGAGTAGACGAAGCAAAACTCACCTATCACAATGCCAAAGGCAATGATACCAGCAACATAACCAACCGTCAACTCAGGCATCTTGTCTATTTGCCTTCCCACGGCACCTGATTTCTTCTGTTGTCTTGGGTCTGTACAGAAGAAATCTCAAGCTTCACGACGAGCAGGGAGAAAGTGGCTGCCCATATGTCTCCTAATCGGCCGCCTTTCCTCCTCGGGCTGCAAGACAACCCACCCGGGCTCAATCCAGGAACATGTGCAACACGCCTTACGGGGCAGACTTGGCTCCAGAGCTCATCTGCCGTGTCCAATTTAGTTAAACCATGACAGTCTCGCTCGGTCGTATTCCTCGGCAGAGGGTCCAATGGTCAGACCGCCGACCTTGAAGAACTTTAGCCATCTCCAATCATGGCGGATTTCCACAGCCACCAACGATGCAATTCTGCTTGCCCCTGAGAGAGAACGCCGCTAGAAGCAAGAATAGCATGGTTGAGGGTGCGAATGTATGCAGGAACCGTTGTAAGACGGGATGAAATTACACCATGCCAAGACCCAGTTTAGTCTCGGGCACCGCGGCCAACCTATCAACACCAACGAGTCGCGAATGAGCTGAAGTCGGAAAATAAAGATGGTCGTTTAGAGTCAACGCCACAAGCTTAACGCTACGACGCTGGTGGATAAATCCAGGGACAGCATCCCCGCGGAGTAATAAAGTCTCAATGTTAACCCGCGCGACGGCAGCTGATCTTGTCATAAGCACGGGTGATCTTTAGATGCTCGGTGAGGCCGCTGGATGTTCAGGTTGGGCTGCTAGTTCACATAACTGATTGAGACTGGGAGCGTTGGTGAACCTTCTCTTTCATGTCGTCGCGACTGTCCAAGATGATGCGAATGAGTGTTATCCAGAGAGTGCTCCTCGGCCTCTTTCTCGCCCCGGTATCTGTGGCATTGATTTCCCCAGAGGGTCGCGAATACTGCACAGGAGATGGCTCCATCTGCGAGGCGTTCAACAAGATCGACAGAGAGTGCAGAGACAAAACTGGTGCTGCATACACCAAGTGTACTTGCGAGACAGGATGGGTACCTTTGAAGGAAGCGTAAGTAAAGCCACTCGAATGCGTTCGATATAGCAGTTCCGCTAACTCTGAACCACAGCTGCTATGATTGCAGAAGAACGTTTGGCGAGTTCATGTTCAGTCAACTGGAAAGAGACCAATCGGTCTGCAAAGAAGAGGGTCTTGATGTTGCGCCAATCCCTTCAAGCATCATCTCCCAGCAGAAGCAGTACAACAAAACGGCCGAGGTCCCATCCATGCCAGCGTCAGACTCGGCATCAAGCACGATATCGATTGATCGAAGTTATACAACCAACAGCCACGAGGCCTATACCACCACTGTGTACGGAGTTGTTGCGTCGGCCACGCTGCCAGAGCTTTCAGCTCCAACGGGGGAGGTAGTAGAGGAGGATGAAGACAACTCGGCAGCGCGTCAAGTCGGTAGTGCCTCGGTAGTTGCTGTTTGCGCCCTTGCCTTGGCAATGATAATACCGTGAGGGCTAGATAGACGAGAGCCGACGACAGAATAGTCTAATATTTAGTTGTAACAACATATTTGCAAGTCAGGTGTAGTAAAACTGGGAGGCATTTGTGTTTCATGGTTACATGAGTCTATTGAGGGGTATCTTTATTTGAATTTGTCCGGGTCGCTGGGTATCATTTTTCGCAAAATAGCAAGTTGCTTGATCAAAGCAATCTTCTTGTGATCGGAAATATCACGCTTATCGATGCGTCTTGTGCCGTTGGAAAAGACAACTGTGTTGTCTGGCAAGATGGTCCCTGGTGCCAACTTGGACAATTGAGTGACGGTGCAGTTCTTGAACAGTCAGTTGATACTCTTGAAGCTTCGTGGGTGGCATCTACCTTGCCGATCTTGGAACCACAACCAATGTTGGCTCCAGCTTGGATCGTTGAACCTTCGCCAATCTCAGTGCCTCCAGCCTCAATAATTGAACCGGCCTCAATCGTCACATAGTCTCCTAGAGCTATACCACCGGGCTTCGCACTCTCGATATCGGCAGGGCGAGCTCCGATATGCGTCCGTTCGTGGATAAGACATCGTCGTCCGATCAGGATGGATCCTAAGTTGGATTCGAACTTCGATCGTGGATGTACTACCGTCTCTGACTGCATCGTGATCGAGTGTGTGCCTTGCAGCATCGCATTGTTGGAGATGGTGAGGGAGGACGAGAAGTTGACGGGTGGCCTAGGGCCGCTGCGGTCGATGGCAGGGAGAATCGAGTGCCTTTTACTAGACATGGCGATGGCGACTCCAATTTTCAAGGTATGGATTCACACGGCCTTGACGCCGTCATTGTTTGCCAAGATGGCATACAAAGAGGTTGACGTTTATTGGCGGTGATAGTGGGAGCTGTTGTTGCGATGTCGCAGATGAGCATCGTCAAATGAGAGAGCTCACCTGCCTGCTTACGTTACTACCGAGCAGCTCGGATCGATGACTTCAATGAGTCGGCCGAAGGCAAAAGGTACCAGGACCGCTTAACATTTCTGATGAAAAAGACTTTGCCTCCAGCCTATGATAAGTGTGGGGATAAGTAGCGGCTAACTCTTGTGGCTGAATAATCCACTGTCCGCATTGACCAATCACTGATTCCCCATTTCTGAACCGGTCACGAATCTCGCCCGGAAACTCGAAGTGCCGCATCCTGACGTCCGTCTTGTCAACCATCTCCAATCCGCCACCCGACAACGAGCACAATGCTGTCCACGAGAGCGGCGCCCAATAAGGCCGTCGGCCTCTCACGGACCGCCGTGAGAGGCCTGGCAACTGTCCAGGACGGCGCCCCGAAGCGAACGTACGGCGGTCTCCGAGACCAAGATCGCATCTTTCAGAATCTGTACGGACGATACCCCGTCGACCTCAAGAGCGCGAAGCGGATGGGCGACTGGCACAAGACCAAGGAGATCATCCTCAAGGGCCACGATTGGATCATTGGCGAGGTCAAGGCCTCTGGTCTGCGAGGACGAGGTGGTGCTGGTTTCCCCTCGGGTCTGAAATGGGTAGGTTTTGGAGAAGCGGATTCCCTCATCCGCACCAGCCGGGGAGACACCAATTGCCTAACGCTCGGTAGTCTTTCATGAACTTCAAGGACTGGGACAAGGACACCAAGCCCCGATACCTCGTCGTCAACGCTGATGAGGGTGAGCCCGGAACTTGCAAGGACCGCGAGATCATGCGAAAGGACCCACACAAGCTCGTCGAGGGATGCCTCATCGCCGGCCGAGCCATGAACGCGACCGCCGCCTATATCTACATCCGAGGTGAATTCGTCGAGGAGGCCGCCGTCCTCCAGCGAGCCATCAACGAGGCCTACGCCGACGGCCTCATTGGCAAGAACGCCTGCGGATCCGGCTACGATTTCGATGTTTACGTTCACCGAGGTGCCGGAGCCTACGTCTGTGGCGAGGAGACTTCGCTCATCGAGTCCCTCGAGGGCAAGCCCGGCAAGCCCCGTCTCAAGCCCCCGTTCCCCGCCGCCGTCGGTCTTTTCGGATGCCCCTCCACCGTTACCAACGTCGAGACAGTCGCCGTCGCCCCTACCATCTGCCGCCGAGGAGGAAACTGGTTTGCCGGCTTTGGCCGTGAGCGAAACCAGGGCACCAAGCTCTTCTGTATCTCTGGCCACGTCAACAACCCTGTCACCGTCGAGGAGGAGATGTCGATTCCCCTGCGTGAGCTGATTGACAAGCACTGCGGTGGTGTTCGAGGTGGATGGGATAACCTTCTGGCCGTCATCCCTGGTGGTTCTTCCACTCCTGTCCTGCCCAAGCACGTCTGCGATGACCAGCTGATGGACTTTGACGCCCTCAAGGACAGCCAGTCTGGTCTCGGTACTGCTGCCGTTATCGTCATGGACAAGAGCACCGATATTGTCCGAGCCATCAGCCGTCTCAGCCACTTCTACCGCCACGAGAGTTGCGGCCAGTGCACACCCTGCCGAGAGGGCAGCAAGTGGACGGAGCAGATCATGAGCCGATTCGAGAAGGGTCAGGCTCGTGAGCGGGAGATTGACATGCTCCAGGAGCTCACCAAGCAGGTTGAGGGTCACACTATCTGCGGTATGTTCCCACTGACATAGTAGTTTGAATTATGCTAACATTGTCTCAGCTTTGGGAGAGGCTTTCGCCTGGCCCATCCAGGGTCTTATCCGTCACTTCCGACCCGAGTTGGAGGCCCGGATGCAGAAGTTTGCGCAGGAGTCTGGTGGTGCTCCTCTGGCTGGTGGATGGAGCCACGACTCAAGGGCTCAGGGAAAGCTGGTGTCTCCTGGTCAATAATTGGAGTCTCGACTAGTTAGAAAAGGACAGTCGGGAGAAGAGGATGCTAGAGGGGCATACGTGTGTGTACCTGTGCATAGCTACAAGATTTACGTAGACGCCCTGTGTTATATTTACTTGTGTTAAATGGAGTAACGAATGTTGGTTACAGTTATTGTTGGGGCACCACATGTTGTGATTGTTGATATTAAAGGTGTAAACGCCTGCTTGTATTCAGGCCTTGTATTATTCGTCAATACCAAGAGGACAAACGCCCAATGATGCCATTTCCAAAACGTCCACGTCAAGCCAAACAGACGTGGCCGTGGGGATCCCCCGCGGCAAAATTCATGCATCAACCAGCTGACTCGCTCCCTATCTTTATGGAGCTAAATAAAATGGTCTGGGGGTCCAAGCCCAACACCGCCTATTCAAACCGCTTAACTGTGTCTAGTCAATATTCTGCATTTTTCTCTGTTTGCATTTTCTCGAGCGTCCTTTTTTTTTATTATCGTTGATAGACCATAGATTGCAACGTTGATGGTTCTGTTAGAGTTGTTGATTTTCTTCTATTTCAATATCAGCTAGCTCATCGAGATGGTTGACACGTATGAGCACTTTGTTGCCTTTGGCACCGACCTCGGTATGTATCTCTCACTCACTGTCTCAGTTGTATGCACAACAGCAGCAACTAACAAGCCTCTTCAGTCGGTATTGAGCGCATCCTGCGTCTCTTCCAGGCCACATGCTCCATCCTCATCTGCTACCCAGCTCTGTTGGCCCTCTTCCTCCCCGGCGCCTCCGAGATCGTCCAGGCCTCCAAGGCCACAGGACTAGGCGTTCTCCGGGGCCAGCTCAACGTCTCTCGGCGCTTCATCCGTTTCTTCCGCTTCCTCGACACTTTCCGTGCCGGCTGGAACGTCTATGTCGCTGCTGGTGACAAGGGCCTCGATGGGTGGCTCGAAGTCGTGAGCAAGACTTGCTTTGGCATATTTGGCATGATGGAGACCATGACCCTTCTGGATCTCTGCAGGATTGAGAACCTGCGCATCTTTTCCAAGGAAAAGTATGATGAGATTGATTACCAGTCTCAGCTGTTCTGGTTCGCTGGACTTTACACCTCCATCATCGTCTCCTTCATCAGAGTGTTCCGCCTGTTCACTACACGACCTGCCGTTGTGCCTGCCGAGAGCGTCAGCAGAATCCCCACCGAGAACGCAGACGAGATCATCTCTGCTGAAAAGGAGCTCTCCGAAAAGTCTGACGCCACAAAGGATGATGAGACCAAGTCCAAGGATGATCTCGACAAGGAGCGTGAGCGCCTCAAGAACATCGTCACTAAGCGCAAGGCTGAGCGACGAGCCTGGCTGCAAAACCTCAGCAGGGAGGGCTTCGTCCTGGCACGCAGCATCTTCTCTGATACGCTCGATATGCTTCTTCCCACCACTACTGTCGGCTGGGTCAAGGTTGAGCCTGGTGTGGTTAGTCTGGTTATGTTCCTGACTACCCTCTCGACGGGTATGGCTGTGTGGGAGAATGTTGGTCGACGTCTCCAAAAGAAGGCATAAATGACACCCCACAAAAAGCGGTTATGAAGTGGTTTATTTTCTTGTTTATTGTTCATGCTATCCAGTAGCGAGCATAGTTGCAAGCATAAGGAACGAAGGGTTCAGATATGGTTGCCTGACATGAGGCAAATATAGCAATAACTTAGACCAAAACAATGATGTTTTCCCTTAACGTATCATTGAGCCCCCCAGTATCGTCAAACGTAGACGTCGTGACTTTTCCGTTCATTCCTTCACGACTTTGGCATCCTTTCACCAGGAAAGTCACAACCGAACCGTCCTGATGAACAAATTGACCTCGGATGCCGTGCTTCACAGAAGCTTTCTAAACCTCGGAGGAAGTCGAGGCTCGGGGCTCTGAGGTGTCGTCTCGGTACAGCTCAGGAATGGTATAGGCAGGCTTGTCGTGCTCCTCGGCCTTGTAAAAGACGAGCTTGACCTTGCGGAAGATGCTAAACAGAGACAGGAACGCAATGATGAACTCCAGCGTCCTATGTTGAAGTTAGCTAGACGTCGAGATGAAAAGTGGATGATGGAAAATACTTACGACAAGGTGATGCACAGCCCACCAACATTGCCAGTATAAGACCAAACGTCACTCGTCAAGGCAATGACACTGGGGATGATGAAGAAGCCACCGAAGCCAAGGTCGACCAAGTTGATGAGATAAGGCCTCAACTTGACCAAGATGCTCCTCGTCTGGGGAGAGCCAAGCTGGATGGCAGACGCAAAGCCAAACGTGCAGAAAAAGCTCCCAAGCGTAATGTCAACCACATTGTTGCCACCCTTCTTTCCGCAGCAGGCACAGTAGATCAGGCCGCTGATGAGGTGGTACGAGTTCCAGAGGATGAGCAGGATGGACCAGATACCGAAGAAGGCGGCCAGGCCGTCGTGGTACCAGGGCATACAGATGAAGACAGTGGCCGTGATGCCGAGAGCGATGACGACAAATCGGAGGAGGAGGACGGGCGAAAAGGTGATGGAGACGGATGGCTTCCTTTCCTCCTCCTCTCGCTCCTCGGGGTGCAGCAGAGCCGCCGAAGGGTCGTCCCTCGGAAGACTCTGGTAAGCTGTCTCGGTAGCCTGGCCCTTTGCCGCCATTTTCAAGATTCTGATGAGATGGTTTCCGTTTCGTCGAGTTTAGTTTGTGTGTGAGTTAAGGTGTGTAAGCTGAGATTTGATGCCGAGATATTCTGGCCAACTTCCAAACGCCAGCATCCAAATACTTATACGAACCACCGATGGCTCACGCACTTCCCTTCTGGGAATCGGCCGAGGCGCCGCCAAGGCGAGATTGCATTGCACCACAACAACAAAGTTACGAGAGGACGCCTTGGAGCCTCTCGAATTGTGCATGCCTAGCATAGCCTCCAGGATTGAATCCTTCGCGCAGTAACCGGAGAGCTGGGTCATCCATTGGCCCACAAACGATTGACAGGTCTCTCTGACCAGTAAGAACCAAGAAAACAAGGGTTATTGGAGCTTGGCCTTGTTTTGGGTGAGCTTGCGTAAGTCTCGCAAAGGTTTCCAAAACCAAAAACCGTCCACTCAGAGGGCGACGAATTGAGTCCGAAAGACCCAGCAACCGGTGCATCGACTCATCCGATCGGCAAGAAGGGTAGATCTTGATGATCTGGCCAGTCGGAGTGCTTCTCACAGGGCTGAATAACAAAGCTGAGCCTTGGTAAACACACCCTGGCCCGGACAATCAATTTGCACTACACATGCGCTATCGTCGACCCTTGATCACGAAGCGCCCGGTCTCGACCTGCATCTTCCATCCGTCCTGAAGCAGAGCTGCAGCCACAGCCTGTCTCAACTGTGACACACCACCAGCACTATGGCGACCAAGCCCAGTGATGACAGTAAATGGCTGCTGCCGCGCCTTTTCAGACCGAAACTCGCCTAGAGCTGACCACCAGGCCTGCGTCCTCTGGCGGGCGATGCGCACACCATCCTGCACGTAGACGCCGTGCAAGTCGATCGAGCTGGCTGTGCTCTGCTCCTCAACCAGGAGATCGGCGGCAGTTGAGGTGGCCTGCGCAGCATAGCGACCCTGCTCCCTAGCAACCTCTGCGTAGTACCCAGCGGCTTGTCGGTAGAGAGGATTCGAAGCGCCTCGCCTGCTGAGCTGTGCAGCAGAAGCTGCTGCCTCACGCTTGGCCCGTGTATACTGGCTAGCCTTCTCCGCAGCTTGCGTGTACGCGGTGGGGTCAAAAGGGCTGCCTAATCTGGGGGCCAATGGCTTCGTCATCTTGGCCTTTCCATATGTAACAGTTCCGAAACCATCGATTTCCTCCTGCGGCAGTGGCGTGAGGGGGTAGTTCAGATCGAGTTTCTGCGTCCATGGGTTCTTTGCAAAGTGCTTGCTCAGCAGGGCGGCTATGTCGTCTGACTCCTGCGAGATGGAGCCAGTAACCTGAACGATGGTCGACATGTACTTTTCAGGAACGTTGCGGTATTTTTGAGCGAGTTCCTGGGCGTACTTCTTTGCCGCTTCGTCCTGGGTCTCGATGCCTTGAGCAATGTACTGGTCCAGGATTTCAACTGCTGTTGCGCCGCTTGCACAGCGCTTGTTGTAGAAGATGCCAGAGACGAAGCCAAATGGCAGATCGAGCCTATCCGCAAGATAGGCAATCTCATCCTGGCCTGTCGCGGTTGTGAGTAATCATTTGATAACGGTATGGTGGGAGAAAGTGCTTACGTTTCATCTCCTTCAAGTCTCCGGGCGTGCTGGTTCCACTGCTCGACGACGGCGTATCGTCAACCGAAGGTTTCTTTCCCTTCTTTCTGTTCTTTCTCTTCTTCCCAACATTCGTCTCTGGCTGAAAGAAGCCATCAACTCCTTTCTGCTCTTGGCCTGTTGACTTGAGGTACTGAATATTGAGGAGATCGTCAAGTGCGGTCTGGAAGTCTCCATTTGCCTTTTTCAAGGAATGCTTGATGTCGAATTCCTTGAGCTCAGAGAACATGCCCTGAAGGAGGAGAACCTTACTCTCTTCGCTGTCGTCATTGAAGGACGTGAGCCGCGGGATGGAGTATGCCGTGCTTGCGGTTGACGAAGTAACGTCGCTGACAGAAGTGTCGGTATCTCTTGCGCGAGAGGCTTGCTGGCTGCCTGTCTCGGTGGTGCTTGTTTCTTCATTTGGGTCTTCGTTCACACTAGAGATACCACTTGGGTTGAATCCAGTTGCTTCTTCGGCAGTGACATCTTGAGCTAGGCCATCAAGGATAGCCTTGGCCGCTTCATATTGGCCTTGTTGCTTGAGATCGTGATCGCTAGCGATAGCGACTACGAGAGCCTCATCCAGAAGCGAGCGGAAAGATTCCTGTTGACTCAAGGGTTAGTATACATCACCAGACTTGGTCACTGCTGAGCGTCATGGCTTAAGGAATGTGTCTAGCACTGGCGACGCGTTCAGTGAGCCAGAGACTGTTCTTCCTACGACAGGTGACTCTGTATCATGCATCTCACTTGACGGCTGCCTCGCGCCGAATCGCAGTACATATCATAAAATAATCAAGACTGTAGACCACATACCACCAGCTTCTGGACAAGTTCTTCTGAAGTTTCGTTGGGCATGGGGGAGGGATAGAGTGGGGTTGAAGATAAGCAGTTCCAGAATAGAGCATGATACACGTAAAGCTTTTCACAGTAAATGTTGTTCGTGCCGTAGACACCAGATCTCGACTCTTTGCTCGTGGGATGTTGAAAGAAGAAGAAGAGTTGGGTTGGTTGAATGACGCATAGCCCAGAGTCATGGTCTTTTTCCAACTCGCAGCCCAGTTTGTGGAACCGTATCAAGATGCTGAGCCAGTCAGATCACGTGTTGAGAACAATGCTTGTATAGATGCTTATTTACCCGGATAGGTAGCTCTGTGTCACGACGATGCTATACGCACGCAGATACTTGTATGCTCACAATAGCTGATTGTTAGAAATCATGATCCCCAAGCAGATGCACTTGGCTAGAATAGGCCGTGAGGTCTGAGACATGCTTAAGGAACGCGCGCTTTTACTGTGCTGCTAGCCTAAGCTTGGTGATATGAGCAGAAGAGTAGAAAGCAGAGCGTGAATTATTAAAGCTTTATTGTGAAAAACTTGTGTCTTGCTCTCAACGTCTATGCGTGAATCAATCTGAAGGCTTGTCATTCGAAAGCCACGCATAGACGAATGTCTAACGTTAATTTGGGCGCTCATGCTACATTAGAGGCTATCCAGGGCGGGAGATGGTTGGAGAAGCCACCCAACAATCTGAAAGCTTAACCAAATTGTATAGTTATAGTTGCCAAATGAACAATAATGGAAGCTCTTTTCACACCGACTCCCAATATCATACCTTGGCGATTCAATAGGGTAACGTTAACTAATTACCCAGGTAGGCAGCTCTCACTCTTCATTTGATGATTCATGACGGAAGGCTCACGCGATCCCCAGCAACCCCAGCCTTTTGAGTGCATCAGCCACCGAGTCATGCCTCATCTGGCGAATCACGGGCCGCTCCTGCCCCAGGAACCAATGACGCAGGTGACCTGGAACGCCCGTCGCCAAGCTTGTTACTGGAGGTAGGTACCGTAACCGTCCTCCGAGCTCCCGCCGCCGCCTGAGTCGTTACGACGACATCACCATACCTTACGTTTATTACCGTCATTTAGCTTTGTCTCTCCGCTCGGCGCGTCGTATTCGGTGCTTGTTTAGACCGACCTCTTCTTTCACTTCTTACTTCTTCAACCGCATGCCTACGATTGCTTCTACAGCATCTTATACCCTGTTATCGCACTCTCGTTGCATCATCTAGTCGATCAAGAGATATCCACATCGATACCCGATCGCGACCGACCAGGCCGACCGACCCCATCTTCCGCTCGGTCACCGCCGCGTGCGGCCCCGTCATCTCGAGATGCATCAGCGCATCCTCCCACAGCTCGGAGCTGTGGCTGGCCTTTTGGTTGGGCTGGGCCTCGCTGAGCCATATACTCCGAAACACGAAGCTGGACGTTGCGCGTTCCGCGGCCATTGCGGCAAGCAGAGCCTCTTTGGCAAAGAGCTCCCATGCGTCGACAACGACGTAGCTCAAGACCCCGAAGAAGAGCTTCGCAATGAGCTTGTCGAGCTTTGTGGCGAAAAATGGAGGACTGGACCCGTGTGCTGTAGCCTGGAACAAGTGAGCACAACCTCATCTCGATACTGAGTCGTCATGCTAACGTCGCACTTAGGTCCAATCACTCAAGTCCGAACTCGGCACACCAGCCACCATCGTCGGATCCTGTCCCGCGTGCAAAGAAAACTTCTTTAACCTATTCTGTACCTTTACCTGCTCTCCCGATCAATCATTGTTCATCAATGTCACCGACTCGGCCGAAAAGAACGGCAAGCACCTCGTGACGGAGCTCGACCAGCTCGTGTCCGAGGAATATGGCTCTGGCTTCTATGACAGCTGCAAGGAAGTCAAGTTTGGCGGCGCCAACAGCAGGGCCATGGACCTGATTGGCGGCGGTGCCAAGAACTATACCCAGATGCTCAAGTTCCTTGGTGACAAGAAGCCTTTTGTCGGCTCTCCCTTCCAGATCAACTATCCCACAGAGTATAGCGACCCGGAAATGCACCCCTTGGATATGAAGCCAAAGAAGTGCAACGACGAAGACCCCGCCTATCGCTGCGTCTGCGTTGACTGCCCCGAGGTGTGTCCAGAGCTCCCAGCTGTTAAGGACTCCAAGTCTTGTCATGTGGGCCTCCTGCCTTGTCTATCATTCGCATCCATCTTTATCTACAGCGTCCTTTTGTTTGCTCTACTTGCGTCGATCTTTGGTCATGTCGCCTGGAAGAGGTATGCGCAACGGCAAGTTGAGAGGACGCGTCTGTTGCATGAATCTTCGCATAGCGATGACGAGGATGAGGGCGGTCCGGTTCAGACGGAAGCTATGCGCGACCGTCCGACCAAGCGGTATTGGGTTAACGACAAATGCGACAAGGCATTTTACCAGCTTGGTCACGCTGCGGCTCGCTTCCCAGGCCTCAGTATTGGACTGAGCCTGCTCGTCGTGGCCATCCTTAGTGCTGGGTTGTTCCGCTTCGATCTTGAGAGGGAGCCTGCTCGACTCTGGGTCAGCCCATCTTCTGCTGCCGCTCAGGAGAAGGCCTACTTCGACTCCAACTTTGGCCCCTTTTACCGGGCCGAAAAGGTGTTCCTGGTCAACGATACCAACCCCTCCGGACCTGGCCCCGTTCTCAGCTATGAGACTCTCAAGTGGTGGATGGATGTTGAAAAGAGCATTGAGAAGCTCGAAAGCCCTACATATGGCAAGTTCCTGAAGGACCTGTGCTACAAGCCCACTGGCAATGCCTGCGTTGTTCAATCTCCTACGGCCTACTGGTACTCCAAGGGTGGATTTGACCAGAAGCACTGGGAGGAGGATCTTCGATCGTGCGCCAAGACTCCCGTGGACTGTCGACCAGAGTTTGGCCAACCCATCGAACCCAACATGATCTTTGGCGGTTACGATGATGACGTGTTGGAAGCCAAAGCCATCACCGTTACTTGGGTGGTCAACAACGCCCAAGAAGGAACCGATGCTCTCGCACGCGCCGTGGACTGGGAGAATGCCCTGCGTGACCGACTTCTTGAAGTTCAGGAGGAGGCCAAAGAGCGAGGCCTTCGTCTGTCCTTCAACACCGAGATCAGCTTGGAACAGGAGCTTAACAAGTCAACCAACACAGACGCCAAGATCGTCGTCATCAGTTACATTGTCATGTTTGTCTACGCTTGCATGGCGCTGGGCACTCCTCTCAAGCACGTCTTCAGAAACCCCGCGGTCCTCCTGGTCGAGTCCAAGATCACTCTTGGTCTTGTTGGCATTATCATTGTCCTCATGTCGATTGCAGCGTCTATTGGATTCTTTTCGTGGGTTGGTCTCAAGGCGACCCTCATTATCGTTGAGGTCATTCCGTTCATCGTCCTTGCTGTGGGTGTTGACAATATCTTCCTGATTGTTCATGAGCTCGAGAGAGTCAACGTCAGCTGCCCTGATCAGATGGTCGAGGAACGAGTCGCCAGAGCTCTTGGTCGCATGGGTCCTTCTATTCTGTTCTCTGCTCTCACCGAAACAGTAGCCTTCGCGCTTGGAACAGCCGTGGGCATGCCGGCGGTCAGAAACTTTGCCGCATACGCTGCTGGCGCAGTTTTGGTCAACGCTCTGCTTCAGATGACCATGTTTGTCTCGTTCCTGTCACTTAACCAGATGCGGGTTGAGGACCACCGATGCGAGCTGTGGCCATGCTGGCAGATCACTAAGGCTAGGATCCATCTCAATGGCGGCAACGGCTTCGCGCAAGGGGCTAGCCGTGGTTCTGATATGGCCGAAGAGAGTTTGCTCCAGGTCTTCATCAAGAACACATATGCCCCTCGACTGCTCGGAAAGAAGGTCAAGGTTGTTGTTGTCACCATCTTCCTTGGTCTGTTCGCGGCTGGACTCGCTCTTTTGCCGCAGATCCAGCTTGGTCTTGACCAGCGAGTCGCCATTCCTGACGGTTCTTACCTGATCCCCTATTTCAACGACCTGTATGACTACCTTGAGACAGGCCCTCCTGTGTACTTTGTGACGCGTGGAGTGGACATCACCAAGCGTGAGCAGCAACAAGAGGTCTGCTCGAGGTTCACCACCTGCCAGGACCTCTCCCTCACCAACACCCTTGAGCTTGAGCGACAGAGATCTGACATTTCTTACATCTCTGCGCCAACTGCGAGCTGGATCGATGACTTCTTCCGTTGGCTTAACCCAATGTACGAGAAGTGCTGCGTGGAGCATGGTCAGACATGCTTCGCTGATCGCAAGCCAGCATGGAACACCACGCTTTATGGAATGCCCGAAGATGAAGAGTTTGTTCATTATCTCAAGAAATTCTTGTCGAGCCCGACCAACGACGACTGCCCACTTGCTGGACAAGCACCATACGGCCAGGCTGTGGTCATTAACGAGGCGGGAGCGGTGACGGCCAGCCACTTCAGAACGGCTCACACCCCTCTGAGAAGCCAGGATGACTTTATTAGTGCCTACACTTCGGCACGCCGCATCGCTTCAGAGATTGGAGAGAGAACTGGCGCCGACGTATTCCCGTACAGCGTCTTTTACATCTTCTTCGACCAGTACCTCAGCATTGTGTCCTTGACAGCGGGTCTCCTGTGTGCTGCCGTCGGCATTATCTTTGTCGTCGCATCTGTGCTCCTGGGTTCGCTGCTCACGGCACTGGTGGTCTCTCTCACAGTCGTGATGAGTGTTGTGGACATCATGGGCGCCATGTCTGTGTTCGGCGTGTCTCTCAATGCTGTTTCACTGGTGAACCTCATCATCTGCGTTGGTATCTCAGTTGAGTTCTGCGCGCACATTGCGAGGGCATTCATGTTCCCTTCACGAACGGTGATGGAGGGCAATAGTAATTCTTTCCGCGGTCGTGACGCCCGAGCCTGGACGGCCCTTGTTAACGTTGGTGGCTCTGTCTTCTCCGGCATCACTGTCACCAAACTCCTGGGTGTGTGTGTTCTTGCCTTTACCCGATCAAAGATCTTTGAGATCTACTACTTCCGAGTCTGGCTTGCTCTCGTCGTCTTCGCTGCTCTTCACGCTTTGGTCTTCCTTCCAGTCGCACTCAGTATCGCTGGTGGTAAGGGATACGTCGACCCTGAAAGCGAGGGAACGGCAGCCCAAGACTTGACCGATAGAAGGTGGCGAGCTATTAGGATTAACGACAATAGTGACTCAGATGATGAGTATTAGAACTACTGGCGATGGTCTGTACTCAGGTTGTACGCACCTGGGGGAGCAAGAAGGCCGGCCCGTGATAAGGAAGAGGGTTCAAATTCAAACAGCGCATTATCCACGATATTGGAAGAAGAATCAGGAGAAAATGAAGATAACAGGGAGGGAAGAAGACACCAGGCGGAAGCATCAACAGTGTCAGCGAGGGTCACACCACAACCGGTCGTTACAGAGGAGACTCCTTTGCTGGAGCCTTCTGGATCGAAGAGTAATGCGCGAAACTACGACACAATGAACACGATTTCACTACTTCCACCCCGCGAAATGAGCAAGAGCCTGGATGGCTACTTGGAGCCCTTTGTGAATCAACGGCTCAACCCGCCTCAAGGAATATTCGAAGGCCTAGACGGCATCGGCTCTGAGAAGAGAAGGCTAGGGCCCCAGGTAACTCTGCAAGACTATCACAGAGCCCTGGTTGAACATCATGCTCTGGTGCTCAAACCTAGGCTCCTCACCAGGAGCAAGTCAGACTCGGAGCTGCTCTCACATGCGCGGAGTCGAAATTTGACCGCGTTGGTAATGGGCCTCCAAGCTGGTGTTGAGCCTCAAGAGACAAAGCCTGTGGGCATTCATACCGAGGGCGAAGCTTCCACCAACAAGATCGAAGGAGCTGCATCTTCAAGCCAAAGTTTTGTGTTTACGACATGACGGGACAGACTGGCGTGGCAATGATGTGTGTCGGAGATGATGAGTTAGTATGGTTTCAAGTATGGCTTCAAGTATGGCGCTTTGGTTGGGAGATGGGACTTTTTTCTTCGATATTAGACAGCGAAAGAAGCGATAAGCTTCGTAATTTTCTTTGATAGCGAATATCAGGGTGTTTTGATACTGAGCTTCTCGGTGTTGGGCTGTGATATGGTTGTTTAAGGAGCGATGTTGAGATATGAGCAAACAAAGCTTTAAAGTTGCCCGGTTAGTACTCCGTCTAAGCCACCACCCTCTGCGGCTCTGCAACTTAGGAGAAAGTCACGAACGAGCATCGTGATCCTGAACATGGGCGACTTTTAGCGGATTAGTTCAAAGGACTCCAAGTCGCTCTAGCAGACTGCGAAAAAGACTGCCCAGACGACCACGTAACAGTTACGGAAGTCGAAGGAAGAGATGGAACATAGAGTTGAGCGAGGCAATTGTTCTTCGGCTGAAACTATATTAACGCTAGCGTTGGAGTTGTGGTCCTGTGAGCGCCAGTAGAAAGTCAATCTCGGCATGATGGCCAAGATGTTTCAGTGATTCCGGAGAGAGAAGATGATGACTGATCTCCAGGGAGACCCCACGGTTGATCCTGACCGACGAACTACTGAAGATGGCAGTGCTGCTGTTGTTGGAGGTGGCCTGCTCCCACTGACGGGGGTGATTACTCGACGCTTCGCTGGTGGAATAGAAACCAATGAATGGAGTGAAGAGAGGGACCTGACGCAGGTTCGACAACTCATGTCCTCGCAGTGCTCCCAGTGCTCTTCCATTTGCTTAATGAGATCATCGTTCTTGAGCGCGTCGTTCTTGAGCTCGATACACCAACACCGAGTATGTCAACCCCCTCAGTTTGATATAGCTGGCGGCGGATGGCTTCGTGTTTGTCGCATCAGCAGGCAAATTCAAGTGTCAAGTTCGCTGGTCAACTAGGGATTCGAGTCGCTTGGAGAATATGTAAAAGACCAGAAAAGAATCATGTCTGATTTGAAAAAGCATTAAGTAACAACCAGAACTCCCTAATCCCTATGCCTATGCCTGCTTTTATGCTAATGGTATCGTCCCATCCTGTCATTTAGTGATCTACCCCTTCCATTCGCAATCTTTGGCTCTCATTGTCGAGCCATACCGGTCATGATGGGCGTCCCATTCCCCAGATAGAGGAATTGGTAGGTCGTTGGCTGGGACACTCTGTCCCAGGAGGGATGGTGGACGGCAGGGGCCGAGCGTACGGATGGATACTGTCGTCCCAGCTGGGACTCCAGTACCCGCAGTACTCGGCGCTCCAAGCCTTTGCCCTCTCTTCGACGGTGGAGTGGGCAGTAGGCTGTCTTGTTGTTAGTATGCGGCGTTGAGTTGGTGGAGGAGGTCTTACAGGAGGTGCGAAGTAGAGACGGTCTTGGAGCCTTAGCTCCTTGAACTTGGCCAGGAGGGTCAAGGAAATTTGGTCCTCGAGTCCGAGATTCTTGAGTCTGGTCAAGATCTCTTCGTCAGACCCGAATGTCGAGTCTGCATTCTGGTTCTGTTGTCGTTGTTGTTGCTGTTGCTCCTGTAGCGGCTGGGCAGTGCTGGTCTTGGATGCCCCTTCGGTCGACATGGTTGTTTGTTTGGATGAGGAGGAGAAAAATGGTCGAGAAACCGAAGACGAGAGACTTTGAAGATTCGATAAGTTGAATTATGAGTGGAAACAGTAGCAAGAAGCTCAAGACTGTGTCTTAGTTGTTGTTCTCGTGTAGATGAGACGATGATGTCGAGGGGAAGAGAAGAAGGGAGGAAGACGAGAGAGAAAGCGGGTTTATATGGATGAAGGAGAATGAATAACTAAACAATACCTTATTGTCCTGTTGGGGTTGCTATTGTGAACAAACCGAAGGGAAAGTGAGGTTTAATCTGATTGTACCTTTTTTGACCGTGATTCATAGCCTCATATTCAACTCAAATTTACCAGTTTGGGACCCAGGCAGCGACCGTCACTGCCAACACAGTGCAACTTTACCCCAATAGAAATTGAAAATTACAATAGCTTGAATAGAAAAGACTAAACAGAGATAATAGGTAGAATCCTCGTTTGTGTGCACATGATCTAAGCTGGAGGTAGAAACGACGCAAACAACCCCCCCTGGATCGCTGCGTACATGGTGATGAAGACGACGATGCCGTAGCCCAGGCTTGATCTCTTCTCATCCATAAGGCATGAGGCTACCCACCAGTACCATGCTGGGTAGCCAGAAGATAGCCGGCTGATGATCTGGACGTGGTAGTTGGTGATGGCTAAGACGGCGAGTAGAGTCTGCATGCCCGCCAGTGTGCGAACCAGAACTCGGCCCTGCGAGTCTGTAGCCCTGAGGCTTAGGTTTGACTCGCCCATTAACTCAGTGCCAGACTTTATTAGCAGCGTGAGCATTGGGGCTGCGAGGAGGAAGAGGGGGATCTGGTTGGGGGTCCAGTACTTGAGGAAGCCGACGTCCCTGCCCAACGGTTAGAAAACTATACAGAATTTAGGGTATGAGAAACCTTACCAGTATTCTTCTTGGACAAAGGTGTAAATGCTCGGCATGAGACGCACACACCAAGGTCGCAGCTCCCCTTCCACATTACAATATCTCATCCACGCAATCACCTGCGGTGCAACAAACCCAACAGCGACAAGCAGACCTCCAATCACAGGGGCAACAAGCCTCAAAACCTTGGAGATGGTGAAGCCGTTGGTAAGTGCCAGAAGGTTCTTGATAGCCTCAACGGCAAAAAGGATGCCGCCAAAGAGCCCGTTGCTCCGAAAGGTTGCGGAGATGCCGTATGCCAAACCTGCTCCCACAACAGCGGCGTTTCGTTGAAGAGAGTCTGGGCCATTCTTGAAGCTGATGGCAAAGAGAAGGTTTCCAATAAACGAAAGGCACGAAAACGTGCCCTCGGCGTATGGAGCGGACAAGAACAGTCCCGCTGGTGAGAAGATGTGCACAGCGGCCGCCAGAAACGCAAGTCTCCGGTTTCCAAAGAGTACAACAGTGAGTTGATACAACGCCAACACGGCAATGAGATGCGAGACGTGAGAAACGACGACAGCAACGGTAGCCTCCAAAGCATCAACACCCAAAAGATGCCTCACACCGCGCACAACAACAGGCAACCCAACACCAAAAGCCCACTCCTGCTCAAAAACCTTTCCAACGTGCGCATCATGCATAAAATACAATGCATCCCACCTCGTCAGCCTCGCAGCGAGGGAAGCGTGTCCAGGTGCGTCGTCTCCGTGCACAGCCTCGAAAAACAACGACGTCGACGTGTCGTAGTCTGGGCCGATGGATGCGCCGATTGCTATCGAGAGGAGGAGGGTCTTCCAGCCTGTGAAGGCGGCTGTTAGGGTTAGGATTGGGTGCGTGGTATGGTTGAGGATGTTCATCTTTTTGGTGGTGGTGATGAGGTTGGAGGGTTTACGTGGGGTTTTTGACACGTTGGTGAGATGATGGTTTGTCTCGGTAGTGGCTGGTCAACCATGAATAATCTATATATACCTAGGTAGGGAGAGAAATTTGTAATAAATTGCAATTGTAGCTGTATATGCGTGCTTGGTGTTTTCTTATGCAACAAATTTTTTTTATATGTCGTGGTTTTGCAGTGTTAGTCCTCTGGTCGTAGATTCGAGGTGCTGACCTATGAGCGCTAGACCTCTCATCACCCAACTTGGCTCATACAAACCTTCAACCTTGATTACTTCAAGATACAAATTTTACGAGCAGGCATCAATCCGTGGCAGAAATCTTAACAGGGCGCGATAAAGTGTATGGTTCTCACTCTTCTTACAGACGGTTGCGCAATTAGATCGAGAATGTATGCTAATGTATCACCAGAGGCTTCACTTTGGCCCATATCACGTTCATCAACCATGTCATCGAGCATGGACACACCACAAACCAACCCCTCACGCCTTCAACCAGGCCAATTCCCTCCTCCCCTAACCTTTCCTCCTCTCTCATCCCACGCCCTCACAATTGTCATCCTCCACGGCCGAGGCTTCAACGCCCAAAAGTTCCATGGTCCCCTCCTCTCTTCCATATCTGCAGAGCCATCAACCACCCTCCGAGAATCCCTCTCCCACGCCCGCCTCATCTTCCCCACAGCACCACTAGCCCGGGCGACAAAGTACCGCCGGTCTCTCATCCATCAGTGGTACGAGGGCACCGGCGATTGGGAGCCTGAGACACGTGGTGAAATGCGTCCCAGTGTGGAGCATATCCACGGGATACTAAGAGATGAGATCGAGAAGCTAGGGGGCGACTCTCGAAAAGTCGCGTTAATGGGGTTTAGCCAAGGCGGTGCCATGACCTTGGTAAGTTCGTTGCTCTGGGAGGGAGCCCCGTTGGGTGCCGTTGTGGTTATGAGCGGCTTTATGCCATTGGCTGATGCTATGATGGATATATTGGATGAAGACACCAAGTCTGAGGAATCGGCAGATGACATGTTTGAAAGAGACACCGAGGAAGAAGAGACAACACCGTTACAGCGTGCCATTGGCGAGCTACGACAAGAGGCTGAGCTTGATTCTGCACCACCAGCAACATCACATCCCTTCTTGTCTACCCCTGTATTCATAGGCCATGGTCAAAAGGATGAAGATGTCGAGTACAAGCATGGGCAGCGAGCTGCGGAGCTTCTGGAGCGAACGGGAGTATTTGTTGAGTTCAGTACCTACCCAGACCTGGCTCACTGGTACAACTCCGACATGTTGCGAGATATAGTCCAGTTTCTTGACAATCACTTGGGGTTGTAAATATCCAAATATTTCCAGAGACATTTAAAAAGTAGGAAGATTTAATAACTCATAACATCATATAATTTTCTCCGTGGAGTATTCTAAATCACGAGCGGCATCCCGCATTTTTCATCCACATTTAAATCTTCTCACCATCGAGGATAACTCTAGCCTCCTCGGAAGTCCACCAACTCACACCCTTCTCACCGGGGTAGAGGTACCGATCCATGCTCTCAGGCTTCATCTCGACACTGTAACCCGGCTCCGTGGGGGTGGTGTAGTATCCATCCTTGATCACCGAAGGGTGCAGGAAGTGCTCGTGAAGGTGGTCCACGTACTCGAGAACCGACAGCTTGCCAGAGACGACGACGTAGTCGATGGTGCTCAGGTGCTGAGTGTACTCGGGGAGACCGACACCACCAGAGTGTGGCACGATGGGCACTCCGAACTTCTTGGCCATGAGGAGCACAGCCAACACCTCGTTGACACCGCCCATGCGGCAGGCGTCGATCTGGCACACGTCGATGGCACCAGTCTGGAGAAGCTGCTTGAAGATGACACGGTTCTGGCACATCTCTCCCGTAGCAACACCAATGCCATAAGGCTTAAGGGCGTCTCGCACAGCCTTGTGGCCGAGGACATCATCAGGTGAGGTAGGCTCCTCGATGAACCAAGGCTTAAAGTCGGCGAGCTGCTTCATGTAGTCGATAGCCTCAGGGACAGACCACACCTGGTTGGCATCGGTCATGAGCACGTTGCCCTTGTCATAACCAATAACCTCGCGAGCAATACCCAGACGCTTGCGGTCTCGCTCAATGTCACCACCGACCTTGACCTTGAAGTGGCGGTATCCGGCGTTGAGAGTCTCCTGAAGCAGGGACTTCATCTTGTCCTCACCATAGCCAAGCCAGCCAGCACTCGTCGTGTAGGCAGGGACAGCTCTGCTGTTGAGCGCATCCTCCAGACGCTGAGGCTTGGTGGCTTCCTGCTCCTTAAGCATCGCCACGGCCTCCTCAGGGGTGATGGCATCGGTGATGTAGCGGAAGTCGATGCAGCTGACAAACTCCTCGGGGCTCATGTCGGCGACGATGCGCCAGACGGGCTTGTTGAGGGTCTTGGCCCACAGATCCCAGACAGCGTTGACGACGGCACCGAGGGCGAGGTGGATGACACCCTTCTCGGGTCCGATCCATCGAAGCTGGCTGTCGTTGACGAGGTAGCGCCATGTCTTGCCCCAGTCTAACACGAGGGAGGAGAGGGTCTTGCCCTTGAGGCGCTCGGCGACGTGGTTGATGGCTGCGCAGATTATGTCGTTTCCGCGGCCGATGGTGAAGGTCTGTGGGAGTCAGCTATGCCACCTATGACTGAGGCTGTATCAGTTACTGACCATTCCGTGACCGGTGTATTTTGAGTCGGTCTCGAGAATGCAGTAGGCGGATGAGTAGTTGCCAGCGGCGTTCATGGCATCTGAGCCAGTTCCGTCGAGGGACGTGGGAAACCGAACATCGCGGGTCCTCCAGCCGGTAATAGTGATCTCAGCCATGATTGCTATTCTATCGAGTCGTAGTTGTAGTTGTTACAAAGGTAAAGAGGTCGAGGTGAAGCTCAGTGACGAAGCATGAGCTAAGGTGGGGTGAGCTCCGAACGCGGGGGAGGGGTTGAACTGTTGTCAGAGCTGCTGCAGCAAGATGTTGGACCAAGTATCACAATGGAATAGTCGCGATGAGAGGTGAGGGACGATAATATGTTCAATTGATCCAGGTAGACCCCAAAGCTGGGCGCGTCATGCTTTATACCCTCCCCTCGGTCTTCATCCCCAGAGCTCATGAGACGGCGCATCGTCGACATGTGGGGAAGGGCAGCAGCAAGATGCCATGACGGAGTGTTTTATGACCTCTGATTGATGGATAAATCAGTTTCCGCCCATTGAACCCCCATGGGATGAGCTGCTAAGATCAGTCTGTCATGAGTAGAGATGGGGCGGTTAACGGCAAGCTCTCGCTGTTCGGAGAGGCACAAGACCTCAGGGTTGGCTGGTGAGGCTTGGAGAGCGGCACTGAGATGCCGGGGTTGGGGGTGGCTTTGGGGGATAATGTTAGTGTTGTAGCAAAAGGAACTTGTGAAATGACTGAGGACTGTGTTAATTGGGCGCAATGACTAGACGGTGCAAGTATCGTGAGATGACGGTGCAACGCCTCAAACCCCCGCAGCTGTCCCGCCGCCCCCGCGCATAGATGCTGTCCCCGTTTGGTAGCATCACGTTCCCCCCGCGGGAGGAGTTAGATCCGCAATCGGATATCCAGAGAGCCCAGGTTCGGAAAAGTGATTGGATCAATGGCAAGGCTGAGTTTGAAGTATGTGGTTGCGTCGAGAACCCGTCTGTTGCCGTCTTGTGCATTTGATGGATGGGACTGTAACCCCACCAAGAATTGGGAGGAGTTGCCCCTCATTTCATGGCCCTGAGGAGGGGCAGGACAGTGTTGAGGAAGACCCTCACACAGTAAATCAGCACTGTAGCTGCGTCGTTCTCGAACCGAGGTATCAGTCAGTGGCTTTCGTCCGTCGACCAGTAACATGGCCAAGGTTTCTCAGCAGGGAATTGATCTAAACATTGCTTTTTCATGATTTTATTACTGTAACAGTTGTTTATTTATTGACCATAAAGCGTTGAAGAAACCAAGACGTCAAAGAATGCACGTGCCGATAAAAGCTTTGATCGGGACCTGAAATCTAACCCTCCAACTCAACCTCGACATGGACGCCTCCTCATCAGAGACCACACAAAAGACCTGACCACACCAGAGGCCGGCCAACACCGACGCGTCAAACCTCCAAAAAAGACGATGGAAGGAAAGGAATGGATCCCCTTCCCTCGCCTCGCGGACACGTCGGCTGAGGGTGGGTGACGTTTGGTGGGCTGCTTGCTTGCTTTTTAACTGTTCATCTCAAGGGTCCTCCCAGGTCCCGCTGTTGCACATGACATCAGCCAACCCAACTCGAGGACAGACACGTCCACCCACGCGACGCGCAGGAAAAAAAAGAGCCTGGCCAGGCCGAGGAGGGATCAATCAGGAAACTAAAGATTCTTTAGTGTGGAAGGGCTAGAGTGCATCGGCCTCGGACTGATGGACTAGTCCTCACCGCCAAGGCAGGGTGTCATTCTGTGCCTTTTCATCAGATTCTGGAACAAGGACCATCCCTCGCCGCATTTCGTGATGCTCAGGCTCTGACTCTTACCCGGACTTGAGCGTCGCGTTACCCGCTGATTCTTGATTGATTCTTGATTTTCTCAACAGACCAACATCAAGTTCAGCACCGCCGATCTAGTACTCGATCGGGCAGAGCGCACCTGGGCACCCCGGTCTTTGCTAGGTCTTGAAAGTTGCAACTTGGCGAAGCATCCCTGTCCATCAACGCTTCTCCAGCCACCAAGATGGTGGAAAACCACTGGGGCTCTCGTAGCCCTTGACCCATGACGTGGGTATTTCGTCCTCCTCGTGGTTGCGTCGATTGGGCTTCCCACGGCACCGACGCGCCTCTCCCTGCAGGCCAAAGCCACTATCCAGCTGGTGCCCGCTTCTCGGGTGACGGGCCCATTCGATGGAGGATGGAAGCGGTAAGGGCTCTGCAATTACCGAGTACTCAACACTCTGCCCTGCTGTGCCCTGGCTTGTCTGCCCTGCACTGTACGGCATGGATACATAACAGTCGCAAGCGACCCGTTCTTGTTTTTGCTGCACCTTGCTTTTTCCCTCCCGTCATAAACTCCTTGGTCCTCAGTTCCTGTTTGATTCTCATGGCTGCAATACCCGAGTGTCTCGTCAACTTGATCAACGTCGATTCATCCACTCGGCCACAACCAACACACAACAACTCTTACCCACCAAGGACTTCCTCGACTACGATCCATTGCTATCACCTCGCCTCACACCCAATGCGATATAGTTGAAACCGAACTGTCAGCGATTTTAGAATTATAAACAGCAACCATGGAGAACACTCTCACCAGAAGCCAGAGCTTGAAGCCCCCGAGGCGCAAGCTTCAAAAATCGGATCCCAGACTCAAGTCGAAGCGTGGCTCTACAGAATCCGGCCACAGCCTCGACGGTTCCTTGTACTCGCCAACACATCGCCGTGTTTCGAACGGCGCTCCCGACTTGAGCGATGCCAAGTGGAATCACTATCTCCGCCCCGAGACCGTGGTTGACCCATGGTTCTCAGAGCCGGAAATGCCGCCCGAGCCGCGGGGATTCTTCAGAGAGCCGAGAGTATCGCGGGCTTCCTCTCAACGCCAGATCCCCGAGTTTTCGCACCTCACAATCCAGGACCCAGAGAGGCGGCCCTCGCTTGATAATTCGTCGATTTCTTCACCAGCATCATCAGCCTCAACAACATCTACCATGCGACGACAAGCCAAGACGCCCGTCTTCAAGATTGGACAACTGGAGCAGCACGCACTGGCACGGAAGGGATTGGATGTGCCGGAAAAGACAACGAGTGTCGACCTCATCGCTGATCAGTATCGGGAGCTCCTTGAATCGAGGGACGGCTACTCCGAGCATTCCTTCGGGAACTCTTCATTCGACAACCACTCATTCGAGCATCACTTTGAAGAGCCCGGTCTAGTGCCGCACGATACTCTTCAGGTACCTCGCAGCGATCCGTGGAGATTAAGCCCGTCATCTTCACGCACCAACTCGCCTGCCCCGATAGCTCCCCTTCGCCAGTCGAAGCTACGGACTCCATCTGCTGCCACTCGAGACACCAACCTGGCGGCATTTGAGGGGGATACTATTTACTTCAAGCCTTACTCGTTCTCTCCCCCGCCTTCTCCCGACCAGACTCCCCAGTACCGATCAGCAACCCCCTCGGGTCACTCATTCCAGGAGAATGTCAGCCTGCAGATCGCTCTCGATCTGCTCACCAGGGAGCTCTCTTCCGTTGTCGCAGGCAGGCCTCAGCACAATGGCCGCGACACGGCAGCGCTGCAGGTCTGGGTCATGATCGAAGCGTACGAGAGGCTCCGAGATCAGGTCACGAGAATCGAATCACCAAACGGACGGTGCGAGAAGGTCGGGGCCATGTTTGACTGTTGGTTGGCTGCTCTGTACTCGATCCATTCCTCACTGACGGGCGGGACACTGCCGAACCCGCAAGAGTATGCAGGGCTAGAGGAGGAGGTGGATTAGGTCTTGAGACATGGGCTCATGTGATGCGGTGCCTTGATGGATTAACGTGCTTGGCGTATTTTGGAAAGACGGGGTTGGCGTTTCTGTGTTTTGGGTGTGGTCAATGGGTTGGGAACTGGCGGGGGACACATGAAGCGGTCTGGACGGAAACGGCTGCATATGGGATCGGATCGGATTGGATACTGGATACCTAGTTTAGATACCTAGAGGGAATTTCTTTCTCGAGCAATTTGATATTTGACATTTACACGCATCTGCCGATCGTATCGTCCTGTCCTGGAGATCAATGGTGTTGTCACGGTGGAGTAGAGGACGCTGGGCACTGCCACATCCTTCGATTCATCGAACCATGAGACGCAAAAGTGAGGGATAAAAATAGGGCCATCGTGATCATCCAGTCTCAAAAAGATCGGCTGCATCCGATGTCAAAAAAAAAAAAAAGAACGATGGTCGTTCCATGTAGATGAGGGCTTTAACCGCAGATGAATGTGACCCTGCATGGTTTGGGCCGCGCTTTGATGCTTGAAAGCCTTGGAGCGGGTCTGGATCTGATGTTTTTTGTTCGCCTTGATCTTATCATGGTCCCCTTGTTTGTTGACCCATGTCTCGTTTGCCATGACGTAGAGGTGTTGGTGAACAGTTGGTTGCGTGTGCTGAAGTGAAGTCGAGTTGAGTGCCAATGCTGCTTCTTGTGTAGTTTTACAAGATTTCTATAGATTATGATGATGGTCAGATATGATTTATGAATAATATCGAGTGTAGTTTAGGTTGAATATCTTGTAACACATGCCTTGTCCATTGTTTAATGGTCATCCTAGACGCCCCACTCTAGCTCAACCTCGACTCTTCAACTCCGTGAATGTCGTAGAATCAACAACCCACCTCAAGCGCGAATACAAGGCACCACCAGCTCATCAGCCTTGTCGCAAAAACTGTAGAGGATCAGTAGCCATGGATGATGACTATGGAGCAGACGAGGAGCTTCTGGCCGCCATGGCCGCTGCAGATCCAACCCCCATCCCACGCAGACCCATCCAGCAACCCACGCCGAGCAAGATCCAGCAGCCAACGCCGCAACGCCTCGACAAGGCGCCTCCATCCGCTTCAGGTGCTGGAAAGGTAGTTCAGCCTACACCACAGGCTCTGCCGCAGAAACAGTCCGGTTCGACCATTCTCGTATCACCGCGACAAAGGGGGAATCCCGTCTTGACCAGCATTCGGTCGATGCCATGGGAGTACAGCGATATCCCGGCTGACTTTGTCTTGGGGCTGGGGACTTGTGCTCTATTTCTAAGGTGAGAATTTTAATCTTTGCGACCAGGAATATGCTAACAGATTGTTGCGCGACAGTCTCAAATATCATCGCCTCCATCCCGAATACATCTACACACGAATCCGCAACCTCCAAGGCAAATACAACCTCCGCGTCCTCCTCACCATGGTCGACATTCCAAACCACGAAGCCAACCTAAAAGAGCTCTCCAAGACATCTCTCGTCAACAACGTCACCCTTATTCTGTGCTGGTCCGCCGCCGAGGCCGCACGCTACCTCGAACTATACAAGAGCTACGAGAATGCCAGCTTTGGCGCCATTCGTGGCCAACAACCCTCAAGCTACGGCGAAAAGCTGGTGGAATTCGTCACCGTCCCGAGGAGTCTGAACAAGTCGGATGCGGTCGCTCTCGTGAGCAATTTTGGAAGCCTGAAGAACGCCGTCAACGCGGATGCCGAGCAGCTCGGCATGCTCAATGGCTGGGGCGGCATCAAGGTCAAGAGATGGACATCAGCAGTCGGAGATCCCTTCAGAGTCAAGAAGGCAGCTAAAAGGGGTGCGAAAGCTACACAGCGCTTATCAAAACTAGACCAGGCTGTTCCGCTTTCACGTGTGCCACTACGGGAAATGCCTTCAGCCGGGCCGTCAACAGCAAAGGACACGCTGGAGCCAGCAGCGAAACAGTTTCAGTTTATGGATAATACAGATGATGAGGATGATGAGGAGGCGATGCTTGCGGCTGCTATTGAGGCGTCTAAGAAGACAGCTCAATCAGATGAGGCTAAGCGAGCGAGTCAAGCAGATAAGGATGACCAGCTTGATGGAGGTGTTGCTGCTGCATTGGCGAGGCTACGGGAGAGCGGCTGATAACGCAGCTTCTTTCGTCCGTTTTAAAACTTGGACACGACAGTAGCCTCAAACGACATTTTCATCCACGACGCACTAGGCTGCTCATTTCGGCCTGGTATAACAGGGCTTGGTCGTGGGCATATCATGTCCCAGCCTGTCATCACGGGTATGGAACCTCCAAAGCAATGCCCCTGAATGGTCTTTTCAAAGTCACGGAGACTTAGCCAAATGGTGCATTTTCTCAACAGCCATTGCAAACACAGATGGGCAGGCCAAAACCTTGCTGGTCGAGGTCTTGAAGGGTTTAGCCCTACCAACTGGCCGCGTTGTTTCGTGACCCGAAAGTTTACCATGATTCACGCGGGTACTTGCACAAGACTTGTTGCAAGCTGAAGCGACCTAGGCCTCTATATAACAGACGGTAAACAACTGGCAGTTCCCGACAAGGCAGGACTGGCTCCGAAACACCATAAGATGTACAGTCGGAGGGATCAAGTGACACTTGTGTGAAAACGGTGAACTACAGCTTGACTCAAACAAGTGATGGGTATATGATCTTTTCAAGTGCCGAGCGAGATAATATTGCCTAATCATGTATAAATTCAGAAGAGAACCCAGCTCGTCTCTTTATCTAATGATTATTCTTCCTGTAACGATCCCATGTCAAGCTCGCATCATTGAGGGTATTCCCATTCATGGCCGGCTGATGGAAAGGGCCGATTTCTCGAGGCTTCTCAACTCAAAATAGATGGTACTCAGCGGTTGTAAGAGAAGCGTGACCATGATCAAACACACTTTGCATTTACAACCTTGAAATAAAATCTGTCCTTATCATCCGTCTTGAGCTTTTCCCCTTGCACTTTCGATCTTCTCTCCCCTTCATGTTCACTAACCCATCCACCATCAATAGGCGTTCAAAATGCTGCTTCCTCGAGTGCTCCCCCTGATTCTGGGCCTCGCGGACTGTACCTGCGCCGTCTTCCCCGAAGCCCCTAATTACGAGGAGGGGAATTACAAGTATGATTTGTCTTACCAACTCCCGGTCCAGATGTCGGAGGAGCCTCAGTACAGAGACGACCCTGAGAAAACCGAGGCCATCGCCGAGGCCTTTCGACACTCTTGGATGGGCTACTACACCTACGCCTTTCCAAGGGATACCTTGAACCCGTTGAGTGAGACATTTGAGAATGATTTGTGAGTAGCGCAACCCATGATGTTGCTGCTGATACTGATCCTTTCTGATAGGAGTGGATTTGGTAGTACGGCCATCGAGTCGTTGACCACAGCCATCATCATGGGTGAAAAGACCATCGTAGATCGCATCATGTGGTACGTTGGCAGCGCCACTTTTTATGTCACCAAGCTGGTCGCCGAAGAAGTCAACGTCTACGAGGCGACTATTCGACTTATTGGCTCAATGGTCTCGGGTTCGTCTACCGCAGCTTCGTTTTCTAACACAACATCCGCTTACATTGATACAGCTTACGACCTCCTCAACGGCCCCTATCGAAAATATGTCACAACAAAGTCCAGCTTGAACGCCCTATTGGACCAGGCCGTCATCCTTACAGAGGCTTTGAAAGTCGCCTTTGGCACGAAAACAAGAATTCCCGCCAGCGGTGTCCTCTTGACGCCCGTGGTAACGAGGTCAGGACGTCTCGAGACAACCCTAGGAACAGCCGGCGGAATGGGCGTGGAGCTAGACGGCATCCACCACCGGACTGGCCTCAAGAAGCTCTGGAAGAACTTTGTCAACGGATTCAAATCCCTCATCAGGCAAGACATCCTGCACGGCGAGGTCATACCAGGTTTGTTCCCGGACATGGTCAACACCAAGCAAGGGGGTTTCTTTGGCAATCAGGGAGGCTACACGAAAAACACGGCACCCTTTTACTACGGCATGATAAAGCTGCGCAACATGGACTCGAGACGGTATAAACGTACGGGGGACCTGTGGGTAGAGTCGGTCGAGCCACTTATGAAGCATCTTACCTCGCATCCCATGAACCATCCGAATTTGACCTTTTTGGCTGGCGTCCAGGACAAACTGACTATACCCAGGGCAGAGCTGAGTATGAAACTCCCAGAGACACCCCTCATTTGATATAGCTGACATGAACGATAGCAAGCTGCTCTGCCGGTGCCATGTTCCTCCTAGGCGGTGCCACCCTTAAAAAGCAGCGCTACATCGACTTTGGCCTCAGAATCGCCGAGACGTGCTGGGCCGTTGCCAACAGCATGCCCTCAGGTCTTCCCCCCCGCGTGTTCAAATGGGTCGACGATAAACTCCCACCCGGCACAAAAGATAACCCCCTCCCGCCGGTTTACTTGGAAGCATTCGCCAACGAAACGGGTTTCTGGCCTACGCAGCGCTCCAGCACTCTCGAATCAGAACTCTTTGAGACAATGTACTACGCATACCGCATGACGGGGGATACAAAGTGGCAAGACCGCGCATGGGACATGTTTCTAACCATCAACTCTACATGTCGCGTCGAAAACGGCTTCGTGGGGATAAAAGACGTGACAGTAAATACCCGACTTGATCTAAAAGGAGCCCTGGTTTTTGATAACAATCAGTGGATCAACAAGATGGAGGGCGAGTGGATGTCGCGGACGCTCAAGTACTTGTACCTCATGTTTGCTCCCAATGGGCCGTGGCAGCTGAAGTGGGATGGTGACGGGGCTTTTGTGTTTTCACATGGTGGACATTTGATACAGAAGCCTCTGTGGAGGAGTCTGACCGCCTTTGGGAATAAGAGACGTCCGGTGCTGAAGGACTGGGATGAGATTGATCCCAGGCTTATAGGTGGTTATCAAGGGACGGATCATGAGGGTTGAGTGGGATCTACTTGGTGGGTTTGTGGTTTTGGGTGCAGTTGTAATGTTGTGTTATTTTAGTTTAGATATCCAGAGTTCAATGTTGTTGTTTTCATGTCTCAAAGGTAGATCAAGGTAGTTATTTGGTGACATGGACAGAACTAGTAACACATGATAACTGTCTCTGGCGGGCGTGTAAGAGAATCTATCAAGTTTTCCCCCCAGTTTATGTTTGGTTCATCCCACATGTATAGTGAAATCGGCTAGTTTAGACAGCCTCCTATCCAATACTTGTTTAAGTATGGTACTGCTCGTCTTACATGGACAAAGAAATCAGTAAAAGTTGTAGCAAATACGATAAGTGGAAGCGCTTAGATCCTCCAAAAACTATGTTACCTTTGCAATAGTGATAGCAAATGAAGCCATTCTTAATTTGAATGACGGGTAGTCTGTTGTGTGCTTCATTTACACATTGAAATTAATTCATTTAAATACCATAATCACCAATTCTTTATTGAATTATTGAGTAGAGTTTCCTACTACCATATATATCATCCCATCATCAAGTTCATGACATAAACTCATCCCGTCTAAGAACCGCCCTCACGCTTAGCATACTCCTCCTCCATGGCCTCCTCATACAAACGATCAGCCTCCTTCTCCTCCTCAGTCTTGGGCCTTGTCACGCCAGCGCCCGTGTTGGCTCCCGCGCCTGTAGCGACCTGCTCAGTCTGAGTCTCTTGTTGCGGGGTCTGGTCCTTGGTTGTGGACTCAGAGAAGGTGGGGAGACCCATGATTATTGAGGAACTGGTTTTTTTGGTGTTTGATGTGTTTTGACTGGTTTTCGGGATAGAATTCGATTAAAGAAAGGCGCTTTGTTGATGGAGTAGTAGAGTTGTTGTTCAAGTTGTCGTTGTTCAAGGCTTCTCCTCTTATACCTCAATGTGGCAAAGCCGAGGTTCTGTGGCGAGTGAGGGTACGTCACCTAACCCAAATGTGGCTGGAGCTGCCAGGCAGCTTTGCTCCGGGTTGACACTTGCCACTTGCGAGATCCGAGGTCCATTAAAACTGTAGACATTCGCTTTGGAACATGAGGGAGTGTTATTTCGTCTTGTAAGAGGCAGCCAATATGAAACAAGGTTCCAAAAGGTTCTGATAAGACTACGACAGTGGCTGCGAACAACGTGATTTGCTGCCATGTTGACCGGGCTTGTCTGCAAGATGATGATATTGCCGTGTTATTCCTAAAGAGTCAGTTAAGGAGGTACCCTGATTTCTCAATTTCGTCTCGGTAAAAACGTTCTAGACCACCTATGACGACAACAAGAAAAGCACCAAGAAGCAATAATGGATCCATTGTTCAATAACATGCCGTCAACACCCTCAAACATGAAAAGCCTTGGAGTTTGCCTAATCACAAGCTATTCTCAATTGGCCAAACAACTCATCGGAGGCCCTTTAAACGACATGCCGTGATGACCTCATCCGAGCAGACGGTGCATCAATTGAGCACAGCCACTCCGGTTTAGCGGGGAACGGCATCTCCGCTGTGACTCTGCGGCGAGGCGGGAGGCTTTGATTGTGGCTTTGTTAGTTCCCCACGCAACAACGCATTTTTTTTCTACTCCATACTGTTTGATCCAATACCTTCATTGGCAAGACAAGGCAATCATTTCAAAGGGACCTTTGGAAACCATGTTGTTTTCTTGTCTTGGGCTTCATTGTCGCGTGATCGGCTACATGCAGTCATCATGTGCACTCTCCTTGTCCAACGCAGACACATCCACCACGAAGAATTTATTGAACACGCCCAGAGCACAAGAGAAAGCCCCCCATCTTTCAGGCCGTTGATGCATATTGCCCCCAATTGACCAGTAAAAGGTTTCATTCTGCGCTCAAACACGACTCCCGTAAGCGCTGCCTAGACTTGGCCCGTCGTACATTTTCAATCCCCAAGTCCAGTTGGATGCCTAGTTTTGAGGGACGCAATGAGACCCAAAAGAGGTCTGGATCTCGAGATACGGGCTGTGACTCAGGTCGCCGGCTTACCCTTGTTGTCCAATCAAAGGTCCCTGCTCGTAAGATGCATCCCTCCTTGTCTCCTCCCCGCCTTGTAAGGCTGGAAACGGATGCCTCCTCCGGGTCTGGGTGTATCCATTCTGGCGGGCGGACTGCAGGCCGCATCGTCTTATATGCATTAGATGCGATCATGTACCTACATCGTCTACGTGAACAAGAGGTATAAATTCCTCGCTTTTCTCGACTTGCATTTTTCCTTCCTCTCTTCCACTCACAGCATCTGCTTCTGCAGTCTTGGTTCTTTCCCCATCTTGTCCTTTAGTCTCTGCCGTAGACTTTTACTGGGCAACCCACTCCCTCCTAGTGGCGGATATCTTTGACAAAACAACACACCGTGATATCACCACTTTTACGACGTCTTGTGTCAGCTTCGTCCATCATGGATACCATCAACGCCTCAGGTCCTGGCCTGGGAGCCCCTGACGCAGCTTTCAAACCTCCTCAGGTCCCTTTCGCTCTTCTCGACTTTCTCATCCCCGGCTTTAGCGTCTTTTCTTCTGCCATCCAGACATACCTCGGTATCGACCTCAACATCTACATTCCCCTCCTTCTCGTCATCTCTGGCATCACCTTCGCTTGGACCTACATCAGCGACTATGCCTGGGGCATGATTGAAAAGTATCTCATGTCTGTCGTGCGCATTCGCACCGACGACGAGATCTACAACATCATCATGTCCTGGGTTGCAAGCCAGAAATTCGCCCGAAGCTCTCGCCGCTTCATCGTCAACACCAACATCAACTCCCGAAGTTGGTTCCTCTGGCGCTGGGACGAGGATGAGGATCAGTATGAGGATGGCGACGGTGACGGTTCTCACGGCTCTGCCCCCCGCAAGAAGCCTCTCCAGTACACTCCATCATTTGGCACCCACTTCTTCTGGTATCAAGGCCACCTTCTGCTTTTCGAGCGTCACGAGAACCGCGAGCAGTCTGGCTTCCTTGTCGTGAGCGAGCGTGAGGAAATCTCCATCTCTTGCTTCGGCCGCAACCCCCGCATCCTTAAGGAGCTCCTCATCGATGCCCGTGCGCAGTACCTAAAGAAGGACGAGAGCAAGACTTTGATCTACCGCGGTGCCTCCGGCAGTAACGGCGGTGATCCTACCTGGCAGCGCTGCATGACCCGTGCCAGCCGTCCCGTTTCCACCGTCATCCTCAACGAGAAGGTGAAGAAGGACCTCCTTGACGATGTAACCGATTACCTTAACCCAAGCACTCGTCGCTGGTACTCGAACCGCGGTATCCCCTACCGTCGTGGTTATCTCCTCTATGGCCCTCCTGGTACTGGAAAGAGTTCTCTCAGTCTTGCCCTGGCTGGCTTTTTCCGAATGCGCATCTACATGGTCAGCTTGAGTTCCGCCATGGCAAATGAGGAGAACCTGGCCTCTCTTTTTGCCGATCTTCCTCGACGATGCGTTGTCCTACTCGAAGATATTGATACCGCCGGTCTTACCCACACTCGTGAAGAGGGCAAGGAGGGCGCTACACAGGAAACTGTCGCAGCCCCTGCCGCTCCGGTTGTCCCTGGAAAGGGCGCCGCTGTCCCTCTCCTCCCTGGTAGACTCTCCCTCTCTGGTCTTCTCAACATCCTCGATGGTGTGGCCTCTCAGGAGGGCCGCGTCCTCATCATGACCACCAACCATCTCGAGAAGTTGGACAAGGCTCTCATTCGTCCTGGCCGTGTCGACATGATTGTCAAGTTTGGCCTCGCCGACTCTGGCATGATTTCTTCCATCTTCCGCGCCATCTATGCCCCTTACGAAGGAGAGAACTCTCCTCAGTCCAAGGCTGACGAACTCGATGCCGAAGCCGCTCAAAAGAAGGCTGCCTTGGAAGAGAAGGAGCGTCTTGAACTCACAGAGCGTATTGAGGCCCTCGCCGAAAAGTTTGCTACCGCGCTTCCTGAGCATGAGTTCAGTCCCGCTGAGATCCAGGGTTTGCTCCTCAAGCACAAGCGGGATCCTGAGGCTGCCATCGCGGCTGTGGATGAGTGGATAGTCGAGACCCGCAAGGAGAAGAAGCAGAAGGAGATTGATGATGCCGAGAAGAAGCGCAAGGAGGACGAGAAGGCCCGGAAGGCCGAGGCCAAGAGGGTCCGCAAGGAAGAGCGTCGCAAGGCTCGCAAGAAGAAGGCCAAGGCTAAGCGTCGCAGCAACGGCGAGAGCTCTGGTTCTGATTCTTCCGATTCTGATTCTGATTCCGAGTCTGAGAACGAGACCAAGAAGGACGAATCCAAGAAGGACGAAGCCAAGAAGGACAAGGATGACAAGGCCGAAAAGGCTGAAGAGAAGAAGCCAGAGGCTGAGGAGCCCAAGGAGGAGCCCAAGGAGGAGACCAAGAGCGAGGCCAAGGATGAGACCAAGAATGAGACCGCAGAGGAGACCAAGGAGGAGGCTAAGAAGGATGACAACGAGGCTGCCGCAGCCAAGAGACCCAAGGGCACCTCTGATTCTGGTTACGACACCCCAGACCAAACCTCATGAACAACTTAACGACCAGCATATCGCGGAAACGCAACTGTATGAGACATAAACGAGAACAAAAATGGCCACACATGTGGTAGAGCATCATAGGCGTTGGGGGTTGTCATTTTCGCACCAGGTGCATCAGTCAATAGTTAGAGTAGCACTCAACTCGTCATGTACCTTTCATTACACCAACAGGGTGCAAGTTGTAATAGTCAAGTAATTTGAATCAAAACTTACCTTGCATTGATGCCGTTAAGAATCAATTGTGCAAAGTCCAAGACATGAGGTACCGGTACTGTCAAGACCTCCACTAACAGTAAAGCCGCCGGCCAGAGAACACGAGGGGCAACGGACATCTCTAGTCTCGGCAGAGAGATGCGGAAGGATTGGCCCCTGGGAGATCGAAGTGATCAAGCCAATGAACCTTGGGGCACAACCTAGGCCGGCAAGGTCAGTGCAGATTTGCTCCGACTAGATGCGCGGCTCCATGCAACAGCGGAGAGCAAGAGGGATATTCGGCATTCGACCGGAGCAGCCAAGTCGGGATCGAAAAGAACCCACGCAGCAAGGCCAACCATGAATGGCCGGACGCAAGCCGCCGTGGGAGCCGTGGGATGAGACTAATGACGTGCCGAAGCGGACAAGGGACCTACGTGGGTGATGAAGCTGGGCTTGCGGCCATGGTACAAAGAAGCAATGCGGCTTGGAGGAGCCTCAACCCGAATAAGAGGGACCGAATAAGAGAGCGAAAATCGAATAAGAGACCGAATAAAGACACTAGGGACATACGTAGTGTCTTGCGTATTCTCAGCTTTTCATGGATTCTTAAATTGCAAAGATCCTTTGGTTTCTTTCCATGCCGCTTGACGCGAAGCAACTGGGTACGGGTACGTGATAGTTCGCAACACCCCCGCGGCTTATGTACGCAACGTGCCCTGCCCTGCCCACCCAAGCCCCAGGCGAGCCGGCCGGAGTCGTCGAGCGATAATCAAGCCTGATGGTGGTGCCTGGGATGCAGGATCCTGCACGTTGATTATCTTAGGTGGGATATAGCCGGGGACTAAGACGCCCAAGTGTCTCAAGTCTCGGGACGGTTGAGGCAAAAGACGTGAGGCTAGCTGCATCAGACTTAGAAGGGTCCTTGTCGACCCACGCCGAAGAACGGAATGCGGCGGTCCTCGAGTTTAGCGATTGATAATGGTGGGCAAGTTGACGTCGTCACAAGTCAAGAAATGGTCCAAAGGTCGCATCGATGAGGGACAAACCGGGAAGATGACGCTAAAGATGTGGTCATGGCGTGGGACGCAGGACAATAAATTCCTCATGGACGTGGCGAGAAGGTACTGGAGCATGGGGGTGATGAGAACCTCGGCCGTGAACGAGTTGGTTGACTGAAGAAGGGCCATGGAGTTGAGAGCATGGTTGAGGGATCTTTGACATGTCAGGTTGAGCAAGATGGAACTGGTCGAGGCATGTCATGATGCTTCGACAGGGTTTCGAGATCATCTATGACAAGATTCATGATCTGACTCCGAGATTGAACCCGGGAATACCTAGATCTGGATCTGGTCTGGTAGGGATATCCCAAAGAAGGAGAATGCCGACGGCACATGGAACGAACGAAGCACAAGTACTGAAGGGGTGGGACGCTTGCTGAGTGGTACCCATCACACACGAGTGCGGAACGGCGTCCTCAGAAAGGCCAATGCATGCAGCCAAAGCGAAAGGGAACAAAATGGCGTCAAGATTGTTCTCGGGTACAGTTCATGATGAGGGTGTTTCCTGGTGAACGCGAATGGCTACCGTTGATGTGCGGCTAAGAACGCAAGGTGAGGTTGATGAAGAAGATGGAATGGTGGAGTCGTGGAAGAATGGAAACGGGTGTGGTGACCACCTCTGTAAGGACAATGCCAGACAGGGCAAGTGCGACTGTAGGTGATTCTGGGCGATGATACGCTGTGGCCCCGCTACAACTTCTAGCCCCTGGGTACCACCCGACAGTAGCGTTAGCGGGTGGTCCCCTGAAATGGGACTGGCTCTGGCCCTGAGTTCCGGTCCCTTCTGTCCCATCCCATCCACTCTGTGATGGATGGATGGCGCCAGCTGGGGCCGGTCTCGGTGGAGTTTTGGCTGCTGAGCTGCCTGTGAGAGTGCAGCGTGGGATCAGATAATGAAAACTCGGAGTGGGTTGGATCACCAAGAAGAGAATTTTGCACCGAATTAGAACAGGTACAGCTCGAGGCAGTCTTTGTACCTCTGTGAAAGAAGTACCTCTTGAGTGGCGACTAGGCATGGGATGGAGTGCTTGGGCCGGCAGATCGGGTATCTAGAAACACCTCGGAGCAAACAAGCACCTCAACATTTACACAACCTAAGCAGACGGCACAGGGACAATCTTGGCCAAGCCCGCACTTACACCCATCTAGCACAAGAGATTGACGTCTATATAAAGGATTCCCATCCCTCCCCAGACTTTTACCAGATAACAGCTGCATCTAGAGCATCTTGCCGGCTAGAACCAACACCTTCCCCAAGTTTGATCGACCAACCAACCAGTTGTCGTGTTCGTGTTTCCAAACAGCCTTCTCGCTATCCCCGTGTAAGTCCCACCAACAGCACCCAAGCCCACTCCCACCACAGACAACGAAACGTCAAGCCCACCACGTTTTTTTCCCCTTCGGCGCCCACCGGTTGAGGCGTGCCCCTGACAGGAGACGGGAGGGAGGAGGCAAGAGACTCTGTCCGGGCTGCATGAAGTGCAGTTGCAGTGGTCATGGAGCAGGCAAAGTCGAGTCTTGCGAGGGCAGTTGTGCTTCCATGATAAACACAGAGCACAACATCTCGCATAGCACACATCTACGGATCTGATTCAGGCACTTGATGCATTCGACTCAACCAGGACAAATGATTGTCGTTGTCCTGGCGGTCTGGTCTTAGCATCCCTCTCACCGTGCCATCTCCCAGGTCGGATCCCATGCATCATGGTCACGTCCGAGGATGAAGACATTTGCCTAGCCCAATTACTGCACCCAGCCCCCCAAAATACCTCGATAGCAAGCACAATTGCCAATCGTCCAGCGGCAAAGCCAAAGGGCGGTGAAAAACCTGATACCTCTGGATCTAACTAATTTGCCCAACAATCATAGGTCACTCCCTTCACCCCTCCAAGTCCCGAAGCTTGCCTTGCCCCCCCGCCGCGCCGCCTGAACAGCCATCCATCACCCCCCCAGAGGCTTGGGCTCCGTCTAGATTTCGTTTCGAGATCCAATCTCAATCTCAGTTAACAAACCCGCAATCTCGCGCCTTCTTCCGGGTCCCTCCCCCCCTTCCCTTCCCTCCTTCCTGGCGGTTATTATATCTCGTCTCTCCTCCATCTCCACGTCCTCTTCCTCTTCCTCTACCTCTTCTTCTTGTCTTCATCTTCCTCCTCCACCGTCACCTCTCAACGAAAGACAAACACCTCCCAAATCTTTCAACATGGCTGCCCGTCCTCAGAACATTGGCATCAAGGCCATTGAGATCTACTTCCCCAGCCAGGTAAGTCAGGGTCCTCCCTCTGCCCCGTGCTCTTGTGCCTCAATTGCTCTCTGAGCATTGGGGAATGGATTGTTGTTGGCCGCTGCCCCTCACCAAAACTTTTCAATTAAAAAAAAAGTCCCTGCGTTATTCTCGTGTTCGGGTTCCTGGGTCGTGTGCCCCTCCATTCCAACGCCTGCCCCTCCATCGCAAGCCCTCAATGACGCCCTCAGCTAACCACAATCCGCCTCACTCTAGTATGTTGAGCAGACTGAGCTCGAGAAGTTCGATGGCGTCAGCACTGGAAAGTACACCATTGGTCTTGGCCAGACCAAGATGTCCTTCTGCGATGATCGCGAGGGTAAGTTTTGTCCCGAACTCAGCAAATGATCCATGGCGACGCGCCTGGCTTCATACGCTCTGCAACACGCTGCTAACATAATTCTGCTCTTTCATGATAGACATCTATTCGTTCGCCCTGACCGCTACCAAGAACCTCCTCAAGAACTACAACGTTGACCCCAACTCAATTGGTCGTCTCGAGGTCGGCACTGAGACCCTCCTCGACAAGTCCAAGTCGGTCAAGACTGTTCTCATGCAGCTCTTTGGCGACAACACCAACATCGAGGGTGTCGACACCATCAACGCCTGCTACGGTGGTACCAACGCCGTCTTCAACACCATCAACTGGGTCGAGTCCTCTGCTTGGGACGGCCGTGATGGCATTGTTGTGGCTGGTGACATTGCCCTCTACGCCAAGGGTAACGCTCGTCCCACTGGCGGTGCTGGCGCTGTTGCTCTGCTCATCGGCCCCAACGCTCCCATTGTCGCTGAGCCTGGTCTGCGCGGTACCTACATGCAGCACGCCTACGACTTCTACAAGCCCGACCTGACCAGCGAGTACCCCTACGTCGACGGTCACTACTCCATCAACTGCTACACCAAGGCTCTCGATGCCGCTTACCGTGACTACTGCAAGCGTGAGGCCAAGCAGTCCACCAACGGTGTCACCAACGGCAGCGACCCTAACCGAACCAACCTCGACCGCTTCGATTACCTTGCCTTCCACTCTCCTACTTGCAAGCTCGTCCAGAAGTCTTATGCCCGACTCCTCTACCACGACTACCTTGCCAACGCCGACTCCCCGGCTTTCGCCGAGGTCGCCCCTGAGCTCCGCGATATGGACTACGAGAAGTCTCTGACTGACAAGGTCGTTGAAAAGACCTTCATGGGTCTCACCAAAAAGCGCTTCCAGGAGCGCGTCAACCCCTCCATCCAGGTTGCCACCAACGTTGGTAACATGTACTGTGGCAGTGTTTGGGGTGGTCTGGCCAGCTTGATCAGCGTCGTCGACAACAAGGCTCTCGAGGGCAAGCGAATTGGTCTCTTCAGCTACGGTTCCGGTCTCGCTGCCAGCTTCATGTCTTTCCGCATCAACGGCAACATCGAGCGCATCTCTGACGTTCTCGACATTCCCACCCGCCTCGCTGCCCGCCGCGCTGTGCCCCCTGGCGACTACGACAAGGTTGGTGAAGGATGAGATAGTTACAGTTCAAGCAGTCGCTAACTTTGTGTAGATGTGCGATCTCCGAAAGCAGGCTCACCTCCAGAAGGACTACACCCCCAAGGGCGAGGTCTCTGGCATTGTCCCTGGAACTTACTACCTTACCAAGGTCGACGACATGTTCAAGCGTGAGTACGCTATCAAGGAATAAAGGACTCGCACTCGTTCAGCTTTATGACCCTTCTGCTTCTCATTCATTTTTGACCCGGGTTTCTTTCTACTTGCTGGCCTAGCCCACAAGAGTCGCGACCCTGGACCGAGAGCATATCATGAACATGACGACTTGAGGGGAGGAAACTAGACGCATTGGGAGGCGAACTACAGCGCTTGGCGATAGACTTGCGCCTTGGGCGCAACGGAGATTGACGCGGATTCCCCCTAATTGAGCCTACCATGATGGACATGGAGGCTTGTGTAAATATTGGGGATATTGTCTCTCCTGAGAAACTGATTTATGCTGGAAGCTGTCAAAACCCATAGATGCGACCATTTGGCGCACAAAAGATGTCGGCATTTGAATACAAGACATCTATTTTCAAGTAAATTGCTATCTTTTGATGTTTCACCTCGCTCTCGTACAACCAAGACTTTCTATATACCCAAAACCTTGTATACAGGCCTTTCGGCAGCAAGACTAAAAGCCTTGGCTCTATCAACTCTAACACTCAATACTCATACAGTGTATCCTCTATTTCTTCTCCTTGAACTTCCACTCGGCGTGGCGGTGCAGCATGTAATCCTTGCTCTGGATACCCTTCCAGATACCATACAGACCACCCAACGGTGGCTTGCTCTTGAGGGAGCGCTTCCACTTTTGACGCTCCTCCTTGCGGGCCTCGACGTCAACCTTGACCTTGTCGTGGACGGTGGGCAGGGTGTCGGCGTGGTACTTCTTCCTGAGAGCCTCATACCATGGTCGGTCATAGAGCTTCCAGAACTCCTCCTCGTTGTAGTACGTGTGCGCATAAAGCCACTTCAAGCCACCCAGCTCGACGAGCTTGTCCTCGAGAGCGCGGTTCTTGGTAACAAACTCATCCGGGTCAGTGGGGCCCCAGCCCCATAGCCCAATGTTCAGAGACGGAGGGGTGGACACGGTACCGTCGGCGGCGGTCTCGGTCTCGCCAGTGTGCGGGTGGAAGGTGGGAGGAGGAGTCTGCTTCAGAGGACACAACCAAAGGGGCCAGATGTTGAAGTTCTCAGCCGTGTAGTCGACAAAGGCCTCGGCAGTGCGGTAGGGCAGGCCGAGGTCCTGAACGATGAAGCGGGCGGATTCACCACTGCCGTGGAGGGCGCGGTAGAGCATGCGAGTATGGAGAAAGTCATCGAGGAACCAGCGGAAGAATCGGGTGAAAGGTACGCCCTTGAAGTAGTCAAAGGCTGCGGCGCCTACCCAGAAGCCGCCGCGGTCATAGCGGAAGAAGTATTCGGCGAGGGGGATGTAATCGACGGGGGAAGAGGACGAGGCGGCGGAGTCAACGGTAGGACCAGCGGAGGGGACGTTTTGAGTGCGATCTTTGACGTGGAGGTAGTACCAGGGATCCCAAGCACCACTGAAAGTCTGGATCTTGGTATCGGCGGGCTTCTCATCGGTCAAGGTACCAGTGACAACTACGCCATGGTCCTTGGAGAAGAGGATACCGTCGACGTAGTCATTGGCGGGGTTCTCGGTTTCGGCGCGGATACGGGCAACGGCCTCGGCGACGCTGCTGGTGCGATGATATGTAGTACGAACAAACTTCTTAGCCTCCTTGAGCTGCAGCTCGAGCAGCGTGGTCACGCCGAGGGAGCCGACGGCACCAGCGGCGCCGCGGAAGAGGTCAGCACGCTCCTCCCGCGACGCACGAACAACCTCTCCGTTTCCAAGCACAATCTCTGCCCAATTGACCGTATCGTTGAAGAATCCGTACTTGAATGATGAGCTCTCGCCCGCTGTACCCGCGAAGCCGCCTCCGGCTGTGATACCGGGGAACTCCATGACGACGGGGGGAACAAGGCCGTGCTTAAGCGTCGACTCGACGAGCTTATCCATTGGCACATTGGGCTCGACGAGGGCGGTGCGAGTAGCACGATCGACTTGAAGAACATTGCGAAGAGCGCTGATGTCGACGACGGGCTTGCCGGTCAGCTGAGGACGAGTGCTGTTCGTGGAGCCATGGAAGATGCGGTATGGCTCGCGACGCTCAAAGAAGCCGCGGACGGCCGAGGCGATGGAGGCGACGGCCTGCTTGTGGCGCTCCATTGGTATCGTGGGGAACCCCTCGGGGATGGCGGATGATGATGTTGGAGGGAGCTTGGAGCTTGCGGATCAGCCAAGTTGGAGAATTTTGGTGGGTCCGGCCGGTGTCGGGTTCGGAAGCCGGAAGCTGCGGGGGCGGAGCCGATGGGGATGATGACGGTGATTGATAACGGAGATTATAGAAGGCGTGTGAGTTGTATATAAAAAGTATCTGCCATATCAATCATTCCCATATGTACCAAACATGTATTCTACCATATATACAAAAAAACAAGTTATCGACATGCTACCTATAGCTTTGCAATTGGCACCTCTAGCAACCTCTCCTCTAACCCTGCCTTTTGCAGCACCCTCTCCTGTACCTCTTTCTCCGAAACATCACTGAGCTCTTCAAACCGCAGTGGAATCTCCTCCAACGTCCTCGCCTTGACCGTCACGGCCCTCGTCTCAATCGCCGCAGGGTCTTCTACAGCAGCGCGGATGAAAGCCGCCCATCCATCGTAACACCGGCGCGTGGTGGGTACGTCACGCAACAGCAGCGCGAAGCAGTGAGGCATGGCCTCGTACTCTTCAAACACGACCCGCACGCCGTCAGCCTCGAGCTTGCGCGCGAGGTACTTGTCCTCGTACGCGAGGATCTCCCATCCTGTGCAGATGTAGACGGGCGGCGCGCCCTTCCAACTGCGCGCCATGACGAGTGATGCTAGTGGGTGAGCTGCTAGGTCATCGGCAACGTACATGTTGCGCCTTGGTGGGTTTGAGGGCCAGGCATCACATGGAGGAATGTCTAGTTTGTCCATGGTCTCGGGCTTGGGGAGGTAGTCATACGGCGTCGGCGTGGCCATCTCCCATGTCGGCGAGCTCTGTGTGACGTCTACCCAAGGAGAATTGACTGCAATGCCAGCTGGCATTGGAACCTCACGCAGCTCGCCGTGCCATAGGATCCGAGAGTCTTGCTGACGAAGCTCGAGAATGAGCTGGAGCAGCGAGAGCGCAAGATTGCCGCCAGCACTATCAAGTTTCATATTAACATGTGGCTATCCGGGGTCCCGAGAATAGAATCGTACCTATCACCGGCAATTACAATGTGCTCCGGCTGCACAGGATCGTGGTACGCATCCGGAGGAGGGTACAGCAGGGTAAAATAAGACACCAGCGCATCAAGCAGCGCAGAAGGGAACGGGTGCTGCGGTGCGAGGCGATAACGCACCGAGTAGCACCGACCACCCGTCAGCTCAGCCAGCTTCTTAGTCGTAGGACGATGTGTCGAGGGGTCGCAGAGGTAGTAGGCGCCGCCGTGCAAGTACAGGACCGTCGTCGGACGGCGGCACTCGCGCATCATGCCGTGGTACCGCTCCCGCTCCGACACGTCAGGCAGCGGAGCGCCGCGGGCCACACCGCCCCGGTGGCCGGTCCACTCGGCCTCGACGTCGACCAGGTCGGGCACCGGGACCCGGCATGTGGTGGCGCCCGCGAGGCGCTCGAGGGTGCTGATGAGGGTGTCCCGGATGGAAGTCTCTGGTGGCCTTGGGCTGGCATACTTGCTAACCCATATGTGGCCTCTTATGCCCGGGTCTCGAAGGGTGAGCTTTTGCGTGGAAGAGATGCTGTGGGGTGTTGAGGGGACAAGCAGAGCTCGGAGGCAGGCGACGACGAGGGAGCTATGAAGGTCGAGATACTTGGCGGTATCTGAGATGCGCAGGATGTGGAGGAGAGAGTGACGGAGGATGAGGGGGACTAAGGGGATGACCGCCCGGATGGTCTCGAGGGTTTCTGAGTTCATCTTGAGGGGAGATCAAGACTTGGATGTATCGCAATTGTGAGGAGAAGGTGATGGTGTTGTGGGTATGAGTGGTGATGTAAGTGATCCAGATGGGATGGTGGAGTAAAAGGCCAGCGTCTAACTCTTCTTCTGTCAAGTGTATCCTGTCGGGTTTATTGTTGTTAATTCATAGAATAAGCACGTTGTAAAAACCCTCATCTAAAAACCAAGAACAGACACGAAAGCGGTCGAATTGAGGCGTCGCGATGGGAGGTGTCGCAAGGGAAAGATGGCTGAGATCAAGAATGAGACTTGTCCACCGCCTAGCCAGCCACCGTAGCTGCTCTTATTGGCACGAGAGCCCAATACCAAGCAAATATTGAGACCTGAATTGCCTCCAGAGCCAATGACGCCTTCCTGTCAGTCCATGACAAGGTCAATCAGTGAACTCTTCGCCACTAGTGGATGGTCTGGCAAGCCGGGTTATCTCTCTCGTCACGGCATAGACAACGCTCGGGGAAACTCGATGAAGAAAGTGACATGTCATCAATTAGGAATAGTTTATACAAGAGTTGAAGTGACGGAAGCGGGCAGAGATCATGAGCTTTGAAGCGAGCCTCGGCACGGATGTTTAGGCTAGCGGTTTTCAGCTGCTGGGGTATGGATGTGCCGATCATCGGCGTCCACGGTCCCTGATTTACCGAGACAGCTACTGAGAATCTGGCGCTCATGAAGGATATTCTGTATCATGACTCGTCTTAATCCTTGCTTGCTAGAGGTTATATCAGAGAGGTGTGTTGGGCGGTGTAGGTGATGCCTCACAGCACTGCTCAAAGTGGTAATTTTTGCGGGAACTGCATAATAAAGGACATACAAGCATTAAGGAGACGCATGCAAAGGCGCTGCAGAACGAACAGCTTGCATCTGAAAGCTAGTGGCGCATACAGGGTCAACTCCTCTGATTGGCTTCAAGATGTGGCTTCAGAGGAACAGAGAAAGATCAATTACACTAAACCACACATCCACATTGTGATATTATCACCTGCGAATGATAACCAAGTTTGTGATAGTCAACATTGATATCTGACAAGACGGATTAACGCTACAACTACCCCATAAAACACTCCTATCAGCCGACCCTATTATCCCAGAGTCTCCATTTGTCCAAAGTTGTAGATGCATAGGATACTGTACAAGCGAGAAGAAAAAATAACTAAATATCAAGACATCTCCTAAGAGCTGGAGCCGCTAGCGGCCGCCTCCTTGGGCTCGTCCGCCTTGACCTGGGTCGACGAGGTGTCGTTCTGGTTGGCCATGGCCATCTGCCAGGCAGGGATAGACTTCTTGCCAGTCATGTTGGCAAGAGGCGACGAGGATCGGTTAAGCAAGGGGGCCGAGGGGAAGGTAGGCTTAGGAACCTCAGCAGCGGGAGTGGTCGTGGTAGACTCGACTGCGGTCTTCTCTCCGTTGGTCTTGGGGGCCGAGCTGGGAGCCGCCGGGGTGCTTGTGCTGCCGACGCCGCTGGCACCACCACTAATGCTACCGCTAGCGCCTCGCAAGAAGGTTGAGCTTGTAGGGGTAGAAACGCTGCTCGACATGCGCTGCGAAACCAGGGTCTTAAGGCTGGTAAGCTCAGTGTTGATCTCACGCAGTCGTCCATCGGTCAGGCCCTTCTGATTCTCGAGCGCCTTGGGGATCGCGTCCTTGAGGGACTGGACCTCATCCCGGATTCGGTTCGCATCATCCTCTCGTCGTCGATTGGCCGCCTTGAGGTCTGTCATGACGGTCTCGAGGTCCGCAATCGCAGCATCCAACTTTTCTGTTCGCTCCTTTTCAGCCGTCTTAAGGCTCTCGGTGTCCTTTGCGAGCTGCTCGACAAGAGTGAAGGCTCGGTCAAACTGTTCTTCGATCGATTTCTTATCTTGCTCGAGCTTCTCTGGCGTCGGGGGTGCCACCAGGGGGTAGATGTAGCGCTGCCTCCTTGTTAGTCCACAATAACCAAGTCATGTCGCAAGAGGTTACAAACCTTGCCCAGAGAGTACACTCCGTAGGAAACTCCGCTAACTACTGTCGCCATGATGAACCAGTCCCTCCAGTCTCTCCTTGGGGGAGGCGGCGGCTGCCAAGCATGCTGTGGATAGGGCGGATAGTATTGTTGAGGAGGAGGAGGACCGGCGGGAGCGCCGGCATACGAAGGAGTCGGTGTAGGCGGCGCATTGCCTCCTGTTCGGGCCAGAGCAACGTCGATTTCCTCCTGGGTCAGGTTCTTGCTTCGCAGGAACGAGATGCGGTTCTCGACGGAAGACGATGCGACGCTGGGATCCTGAAGGACTGCGATCAGTTAGCATTGACATTCAGGGTTGTTGCTATCGCATAGGAAGAAACCAACATTGCGCCTATTCAGGAGTCAGTATTCAAGTCCAACATTGCGGTCGCGGTGGCTGGGAGACGCGATCAACTTACCGCAGAGGCCACGAGGTCTTCGCGAATAGCCATGATTGACTTGTAGCCGTCAGACGGCTCTCACCACAGCATCCGAGTCGCAAAGAGTTGAAGGAGTGATGGCCGAACACGTCCGGGTGATGATGGAAGGGAAAATGACAAATGCATGTGCTTCTTGCGGAGGCTCGAAGTTGAAGGCGTGGGGACGGAGTCTGGAGCCGGGAGCTGGCCCGGGGAAATGCGTGGTCGAGCCGAGGCAGGCGGTACGTACCTCTCCAACGAACCGGTCGACACCAGGCTGTCTTGGGAAGTTGCGATGAGACTTGAGTCACGTGCTGACGTTAATTGATGCCCCACTCTGCCAGCTCAACCATGCTCCACTTGCAACCACGACCTTCTTCTAGCCAATCAAAAGCTAGATGAGATCGTTTGTTTACTTTCCCGCCGAGCAACACACTTCCAGCGCCCAATCTTTCTAATCTTGCCCTGACGCCTCTTTCGCACCCTCGCATCCCACCCCTCGCAACATCATCACCGACAAGTTACTGACGAAAAACTAAACCTACAATACTCGCCGACATCGCGCGTTCATTCCATCGCAGTCGCGTGCTGCCTGTCACACCGGATATGTCCCAAGATACGGGCCTGTGGAGTGTCAGAAGACCCAGAGAGGTGCGACCGCTCCCCGCCTTTTACAATACGCGCGCCTTGACTTGCAACATTTTTCTAACTCTCTGCATAGACCCTCGGAGGTATCAGCGCAAACAGCGCCCTTCCACAGCCTGGTTCGACTATGAAGCGATCCGGCCCCAACAGTGGCGCCAATTACCCGGGCAGTCATGTCCGGTCCATGTCGGGATCTAGGCAATCCCTCGCCCTGCCGCGCCCAAGTCAACCTCTTTTCAAGCGTTCGTCGTCCGGAACCAACCTCGCCGACCTTGGTCTGTCCTCAGTCAAGCGTTCCTCGTTCCAACCGAAGCCGACTTTTACTCCCGGTGCCACGACGACGCGAGCCTCTACCGATGGTGACCGACGTAGCAGCGTATACCGGCCTCGCCAGTCGACAGCGGCTCCCATGACCCACCAGAGCTTCTTCCAGGCTACTCCCCAACCTGCCGGTGTTCCCCGCGACCCCCGACCTCTGAAGGATCGCGCCTTTCAAGCTCGCATCGGACAAGAGATTTTGGAGTACATGGTCAATTACAATTTCGAGATGGAGATGAAGCATGTTCTTTCGCAGAATGTCCTCAAGTCACCGACCCAGAAGGACTTTAACTACATGTTTCAATGGCTCTATCACCGTATCGACCCCAGCTACAGATTCCAGAAGAGCATCGACCAGGAAGTGCCGCCTCTCCTGAAGCAGATGAGGTATCCTTTTGAGAGGAGCATCACCAAGAGCCAGATCTCTGCCGTGGGAGGACAAAACTGGAGCACATTCCTTGGTCTTCTTCACTGGATGATGCAGTTGGCCCAGATGCTAGATGGCTACGCGAACTGCAGCTACGACGAAGCTTGTATGGAGAGCGGGGTCGATGTTAGCGGTGACCGCATCATCTTTGACTTTCTCAGCAACGGATACCGGGACTGGTTGGCCATGGACGATGATATGGGTGACGAGGAGGCGGAACGTGTTTTGGCGCCTCATGTCCAGTCCATGGCCGCCGCATTTGAGCAGTCAAACTCCAAGTACACGTCACAACTCGAAATGCTCGAGGCAGAAAACGCACGACTACTCAAGGCGATCGAGGACATGGAAAAAAACACACCCGACCCGGCAGTTTTGGACAACCACTTCAAGATTATGGAGGAGGACAAGATCAAGTTTGAGGAGTACAACGCACTGGCCATGCAACGGTCAGAGAAGTACGAGAGTCGATCACAGGTTCTACAGGAGGAGCTCGACAAACTAATGGAGGAGCTCCAAGAAGCTGAAGACGAGCGACGTGGTCTGCAAAAGGCCGTCGACGCTCAGGGGATCAGCATGCAGGATATTGACCGCATGACTGCGGAGCGAGAGCGGCTACAAAAAGGCATCGAGTCGGCAGGCCAGCGACTAGAGGAAGTCAAGAAGAAGGTGTCAGAGAAGGAGATTGACGCAAGCCGGAAGCTAGATGAGCTCGAGCGGATGGTTGATCGGTACAACACCGTGGCATACCAGATCGCCTTGATCCCATCGACAGCAGCCAATGCTAAGGGAGAAGAGTTTGAACTCCAGGTTATGGTCAATGACAGCTCGGACCTCACATCTTCCAACTTCAAGGGGTCTACAGGGGCGGCTTCGTCAGACCGCTTGCTAGCAGACCACGCGACTGGATACCAGCCAGGACACATTCTTAACCTGGACCTCCGAGGCAAGATTCGAAAGAGCTTCTTGGCGCTACGCAAGGAGATTTCAGAGCGTCGAAGTGCCGCAATGGACGAGATGATGAAAGACCACGACTTGCTGGATGGAATCAAGGAAGCCATTGAAGACAGGCGAAGCGCTGTGGAAGCACTCAACCACCGCGTACGCGCAGCAGAGGAGGAGTATGAGAAGACCAAGGAGATTACAACAGCGCAGAAGCTGGCGTCTGATGCGCAAATCGAGAAGATGGAGAAGGAGTTGTCACGCATGCGAGCTGGTCTGTCCGACTCGGTGCAGGTTCTGGAGCAACGCGAGATCAACACAACCATCGAGTAAGTCCATTTGATGCAGGCCAATGACGGCAATATGCTGACCAGATGATAGATACGAGCAGCTTGTACTCCGGGCCAATGCACTCCGTGAGGAGCTGCACACTGAGATTGACCGGATGCTCAACGATGTCATCAAGTTCAAGATTCACGTTCAAAAGAACCTAGATGACTACGAGGGCTTCGTGGCAGACGAGCTAGAAAAGGAGCTCGGCAGCGAGGAAATGGGCGAGGACACTCGACAAGTCGATATGTGATGACGCTGACGCATGAACCAATCTTTCAAGACGCTTATGAGATGACGAATTGTTTTCCGGCGGCTTTCTGGCTTGTTTCGGGCGTTTGGCGGAGTGATGGACGAGCTGGTTGGAATACAGTCCAGGCTGGTCCTTGTCTTGTCTTGTCGACCTTGTCTATGTTGATGTTGTGTGTTTACTGTTTTGGTTCTTGTTGATATAGGGGTGGAGAGCGGACTTGCATCAATAATGCGCTAGATACCTGGTAGTTTTTGGTTTGAAGGATACCACCCACGGGCCTGATTTGACCTGACCTGGTTCGATACATGCAGCGAGTCTCAACGGGCGGCAGTTTTCTATGCGGACATGAAGCCGCAACTATCAAAGCGTAACAGACAAACCATGCCCTGGTGCAGGGGGCCTTGCTTGGCTTCCACGTTGAGACACCTGCGCTATTGAGGCGCCACAGGGGAACCACATGGCGATGACAGGGATTATGCGAGGGGAGAGGGATGGGCGGCAGATGCAGCGCTTGATGATGGAGGGAGGTGCATTTTAGGTATTTCGTATTCAAAGCGAGAAGAGAGATAAAGCCGAGGTATAATCGAGGTTTATCAAGTTGGTTTCCTGTTGATTATCTGTGTTCATGGATGCAATATGCATGGATGGATGATGTATGTCTTGTGCATGGATATACCGGACTTGAACTCCGCACTCCGGTCAACATGGAGCGGCGTCTGCCTGGAACCGTTGAGAAGAGGAAGATAAAACAAAGGAGAGAAAAATGAAGCGAGGGTAATCAATCACAGGCAAGGGAAAAGTTACGACGGCCTCGGATTGTTCCCGCTCGCACTCGCATACTCTTCAAGGCAATGCTCCTCTCGTCTCCCCGGATGGCTCGGGAAATGGCTCCGCCCACGCGGTCGGCGTCGGACACACGGGGACATGCGGGTCTATTAACTCCGCTAAAGCCCTACGGGGCAACCAAAGGTGCTTGTTGCGACGGTGATGGTGTGTATGTCCCCTTTTTCGTACCTCTCTCTTTGCATTCATTTTTCTTTCTAGAAGATCCTTAAAAGCATAGACCTCGATCTCAAGCCTCTTTGTTGTCCGTGCTTGCGTCTTGTGCCAAGGCTACATTGTTTGTCACTGACTCGTTGCATTGGTTGGGTACCGATCGACCTCTAGTTTTGTATACGCGGACGAAGAGACGAGGCGGACATCTCCATCACTCCGCCCTCAACCATACCAGACGAAAGCTGCTGGCGTCAGCAAAAATCAGATTGTTTTCCCTTTTTGTACAGGACAACAAGCACCGTCATACATTTATTCTTTCACTGCAGCATAAGCCACATACACATACGCGCACCCTCTCGCTACCTGCTTCGTACTTATCTCGCCTCTCTTCTCATCCATACATACCATCCCTCCAAGCCCTCAACCAACCCCCGGACGGCACCTTACCACCCCCGGCCATCCATCCTCCCCTCCCCCCCTATCTACCCTCTTTTAAACTTCCCACCGGCCCCGAAGCCTCCGACGCCTTTCCCGTTCACCATATGCCGCGCCTGCTCCGTCCACCGACCCGTCAACTCTGGCATCAACTCCAACAGACAAATACTCCAGTACAGCAGCCGCAGCAGCAGCAGCAGACCTACTCGTACTCTACCAGCTCATCGGTAGCTTCGCCCACCATGGCTTCCGTCGCCAACTCAGCTTCCGCCAAGCTCACCTCCACCGAGTCCGGCTCCCAGGACGCGTCCGCTCCCAAGACCCCCATCTCTACTACTTCGATCGTCTCCAAGATTCCCGGCCGGTCTACCATTCCTGCAGAAGCGGCTTCGAACCCCCATCATGAGATCAAGCGCGGTACTGTAGTGGGATTCAAGAACCCTTATCCTTCATGGAGTGGTGCTCCTGGTTTCGGCACCATGCTTCGACGGGTCGTCTGGTATGTAGAAACTGTCCCAAAGCTAGCAGTCCCGTGACGGCCAAGCTGACAACACCTCAAGGCCTTCCATCACCGGCGATCTCAAGATGCCCGATACCAGCCCTCCTACCGTTCCCGTCGTCAAACCCCAATGGCTCCCTGATCGTGATAGCTCCGACAAGCTTCGCGCAACCTGGCTAGGCCATGCCTGC